TAGCATGGCTCTTCGCTTCTACCAAATCATCAATCCTTTACATGACGACGTCTACGAGGAGTACAAGCCGTTTGCGATCGTCTATAAGATGCTCACTCCCCCGAACCGCCAACGGGCTCGATCACTTCATCGTACTTTGTCGCACGAGAGGCACCAGTCCTTCCTTCGTCTTTTTGAACCCTAGCCTGCTAGCAACTTTGCTTGTGAGGTCACCTCCTGCAAAGTAGAGCACCAGGTTAGCAACGTCTCTGTCTAACTAGGACACCAGCAGCCTTTAGCAAGCCAAGATAAAGCAGCGGAAAAGTCTCCATCTCCAACTGCAGCACAGTCCCTTCTCACTAAGATCACAGCGGCATTCTCCGGCAATGAGGTCTTTCTGCGGATAGTTGGAGCCTGCTGCAGAGCCAATGCCTCAGCCTTGGCTGATTCACCTAGTAACACATTCAAGTCTGCAGCTTTCTGCTTTCATTGAAGCTTGCCACAGCCGGGCTCAGCCTCTCCACACAGGCTGGCCACGTGAGGTCTCCTTCCAGCTAGCAAACAAGCCATGCCTTCACCGTCTCGCGAGATTCTGCTCGAGATTCTCCTGAAGTCGCTCCACGTCCCACTGACCATCTACCTACCCGACGGCATCAGTGAGCACATGGCCACATCAGCCTCAGCAACAACTCATCTTGCCCCGAGGAGGCTCCTCTTCACTACAGAAGACCTTGAACGCACGGCAGAACGAAGCATGCGAGTAGCATCACGTCTCTGCAGCTTCATATGTCACTTGGATCGGTACCTGGCTTGGCGCGAGGGCAGACACACAGCCCTGCCCCTAGAGGCTAGCCCACGTATCTTGGCAGGTAAGCGCAAGCACATTGACGACGAGCAGCCTTCGACGCACCTACCCTGGAGTATGGGGCCCCTCCAGCGCCAGCAAATCATGTACCTCACCCTCATGATCCACAACTACACAAAAGACGGCGAAGGCTCGTCGTCCTTGAGCACGTCTGAAGCTGATCAGGCTGGTGCTTTAACCTGGCATTATCTTACCGGGAAGCTCTCGCAATCAGAGCTGAATGCCATTCTGCTCCGCACTTTGGAGCAAGCCAAGGTCATTCTGAGGTCTGAATTCACTCCAGCACATCAACGGAACCTACTCCAGCTGCATCCCCAAACGACGGCGGAGACCTGGCAAGGCCAAGCATATTTCCCCCTAGGCCTCCGGCTTCAAGACCCACATCAGCTTGATCTTGAAGAATATGATTTCAGAACGCTCAAAAGAGCATCACTTCAGCTTCGCCTACTACAACAACTGCGGACTATTACGGCCTCCACACCTACATCGGCCAGCGACCAGATCCGAGATGGCTGGGATTTCCTTGAACAAGACCGTGATCTCTCAAAGCTTGACTACGAGGACTACCACACCAAATTGGTTTCAATGATCCCGCACTATCAGGAGACACTCCGAGAGATCCTGACACTGTATCGCCTATGGCTGTCCACCCCTCTGTCCGATGAGGACTTCCATTGGGTGCGCAACCTGGTAGCGAATCAGCTACTACCTAGAGATACTCTGCATCGCTACTTCGCTGACAGTCTCTGGCAACAAATACGACACAGATATGGAGGAGACCAAGGAGATTACGAGCAGGCCCAAGGAGTCATCACAATTCTTTCCCCGCTCCACGACCAGGTCTATGATGACTATAAGAACTTTGCTGTGGCGCTGACACTGCTCCTCGTTCGACATCGTCAACGTCTGAAACAGACGCTAGACGACAAAATTCGGGGCTAGGGACCATCCGAGCACCACAGACTTCCAAACGAGTGAGGTCCCCTCCTGTTCGCTGCACTATCTTCCCAAATTGCGGGGAAAAAGCCTGTAGCTCCAATCTTTCCACGTCAAGCCTCACAAGCACAGCTCTTCTCGCAAAGTTTTCCCTCAGGTTCGCACGAGTGAGGTCCCCTCCTGGCGAACTTCCACCTAGGCCCATGGCAGACCTTCACCCCGTTCTCAGCCGTGAACAGGCAATGGAGGTACTTCTTGAGTCTCTATTCCTACCGCTGCCGGTTTACCCTACAACTCCATCTGGTGCCGCCGCAGCAAGCAATCTGGACCTGGCATCCTCACGCACCCCTGCGGGAGAAGCGATCCCACACTTGAACCGCCAGATACGGATAGCCTCGCGCACCTGCAGTTTCTTGAAGCTGCTCGCGGAGAAAGTTCACCGGCACATGGGAGACTTGCGGCTCTACCTTCCCAAAACCGCACCTCGAAACTTGGCCGCAAAACGGAAGCATGAAGAGATGATGCTGACAGAGCCTCGCTCTCCTACTCTGACGTACCATCAGAAGCGCCAGCTCCTCTTCATCTCTCAGGCGATTCGAGACTACACCAACGATGGCCCTGGCCAGAACTCCTTCCAGCTCGAAGATGCGGAACCTACCACCCAGCGCATCTGGACGTACCTGACGCGCCACTTCGGCCAAGGTGAGGTGCACTTTATGATTGCTAACGCCCTGTCGCATCTGCACCTTCTCATGCGATCGTCAACTCCATGCCTACTCTCAGGCATTGAGCAGTCACAGCCATCGTATGCTCCAGGACAGGGCTCGGACTACTTCCCTGTCAATCTTCGTCTGCACGATGACAAGCAACTGGACCTTCAATACTTCGACCTGCAGGCGCTAAGGCGAGCCTCCACAGTATACCGGGTGCAGCAGCTGCTCAAGGTCTCTTCTTCCGCCGAAGGGGCATCGCCAGTTAAGAATGGATGGCGCTTTCAACATCAGGACCATCACCTCAATGGTTTGTCCTACGACCAACATCTCCTGGCTCTGCTGCCTCATCTTACTCACTACCAGGACCAAATTCGCGAAGATTTGGTCACCTACAGGCAGTGGCTGCTTCGAGAAATCAACGCAGAGGAAGTTTCTTGGATTCAATCCTTGATCGCGGACACGGTTATCTCGCGAGGTGAACTACTGGAGCTCTTCGAGGATGCCCTGCTAAAGCAAGTCAACTCTGCATTTCAAGCTAATGCTGGTATTCCTAACCCTGAGGATCATTCTCAAGACTTCCAGAACAGCATGGCCCTCTGCTTCTATCAAATCATCAATCCGCTCTATGATGACATCTACGAAGAGCACAAGCCCTATGCAATAGTGTTCAAGATGCTCACCTCCTCTCATCGTGGACGGCTTCGGTCCCTCCTTCGAGCTCGAGAAGCTGTCATTCTGGCGTCCCCACATCGGACAACCAGCCTGGTTCCAGTATGCGAGTGAGGTCGCCTCCAGCAAACTGAACCATCAAATCCCTAAGTTCCTCTAGTCCGAATTCTGGACTTAATCACACCTCCAGACCACTGCTCGCACTGCAGAAGAAAAGCCTCCATGCCTTATAATGCACAAGCGCCAGCCTGCTAAGCTGATGCCCCCCAGACTCGGCCTGCCCGCCAGCTTGCCTGCTGAGGTTGAGGACCAATCTCGCAGAGAAGTGTACAGAAGCGCAACCCGCCTGGCTACAATGGCCAGGACATCGAAACAGACCAGGCCCCGAACGAGTAGGTCACTTAATTTTCACCCTCGATGCCCGCCAAGGTGCGGGACATAACCCGCACATGCGTTCGAAATGAAATGAAATGAAATGCTGCTGCTGCTACTTCTCCTGCGACTACGATTACGACTACTGCTGCTGCTCCTACTATTACTACTACTACTATTACTACTACTACTACCACTACTACTACTACTACTACTACTACTACTACTACTACTACTACTACTACTACTACTACTACTACTACTACTACTACTACTACTACTACTACTACTACTACTACTACTACTACTACTACTACTACTACTACTACTACTACTACTACTACTACTACTACTACTACTACTACTAGCATATATATATTATATATGTATACTACTACTACTACTACTGGTATGTATTTTATATACTACCATTATTATGTATTATATATTTTAAAATTAGGTCTTAGATATTAAATATCATGTATTATATATATATATATATATATTATATCTTATTATATACAGTATATATATGATATAATATATAGACATACATTAAATATTAAATATTATATGTTATGTTATGTATTATAAATGAAAAGTTTATATATATTATATATCATAAACTATTATATTAATTCATATTACATTATTGTGTATTATATTCTATGTTATTGTATTATATTATTCATAATGTATCTTATATCATATGTTCAAATATTTTTTTACAATATTATATTTTCCTTGATAATATAATATATTGTATTGTATAGTACATGATATGTTATGTTAATATTAATATGAATACAATGTTCATATGAATTTTAATATTAATATTACTATTAATATTACTATTAAGATTAACATGAATATAAATAAATAAATATAGAGATGCATAATATATTGGTCGATCGCGTCGCGAGCAACGTACCAAAACTCGAGTTTATGCGCCTCGAGATGCGTTTCGTGTGAGGGGGTTGTCGATCGTGCTCCGAAAATGTCCCAAAACTCGAGTTTTTGCGCCTCGAGATGCGTTTCGTGTGAGAGGGAGGGTCGTCAATCGTGCCCGGAAAACCTTTCCAAAACTCGAGGCTTAGCGCGTCGACACGCGTTTCGTGTGAGAGGGTCCTCGATCGGGTTCCGAAAACGTACCAAAAATCGAGTTTTAGTACTCGAACGTTCGAAGTTTATTTTCTTTTTGATCCTTTTTTATTCATTTTTTGATCCTGGGCTGCGCGATTTTTTTTGATCCTTTTTTATTTTTTTTGATCCGGCAGCCCGAGGAGCTGGCGTCGCCGGCGTTTCATCTTCTGGCTGATCTGGCTTCTCTGTGTTCTTTTGTGAGGGTTGTTGGGTTCTATAGGACAACCCACGCACTGGCACTGGGACCCTTATTCCTGTTAAATCTGTTAAAGTGTAAGGCGGTGCACAAACAGCCACAAGACGGCGTTCCCTTTTTGCCCGAGGTTTCTCGATGTCGGCATCTCGATTCTGTACGTATTTGGCTTCCTGGCCAACGTGAGCCAAGCAGATGGGGCCAAGTGGATCGAAAGAGCCTTCGCTGAAATTTGTGGCCATCTTTGCCTTGCAAGGGCTTGTGGATGCTTGTGGCATTTGCCGTCGCCTCGGGGGTGCACAGTCCGACCGCAGACCGAAGATACATTTTGGATTTTGAAGGCACATGGGGCTTGAGACTCAGACTCCCTAGAGCAGTCTGCTACGACACCTCATCAGCAGACACATGCCAGGCTCACACGGCTCAGACACGTGGGCGTCTGAAGACATGACGCAAAACATCTGACGCTGCGAAGACACGTGGGCGTCAGAAGACACTTTACAAGAACACTTCCCGGGCCAGGGCATGTCCAGCAGGTGGGGAAGGCTCCTCCTCTAGAGTGAAGACACGCGGCGTCGCGAAGACGAAGACTGGCCAGCGACGTGGCGTCGCGAAGACACGTGGCGTCATCGGGCGGCGTCAACATGTGGTGTTAACATGTTTCGTCAGGTCACGAAGGCACATCGCCTCAACGAAATTGGCGCCCGCGCCAAGCAACAGAGAACTAGGGCAAGCAGCGGTGTCATCGCAGGGCGCCGGGGCCACCGGACGTGGCATCAGCACGTGGCGTCAAGAGCTCACGTGGCGCCAGGAACCCACGTGTCGTCAGCACAAAAACGTGGCGTCACCGGACGGGGTCGGGGCCTTCCAAGCGTGTGTCGTGAAAATGTGTCTTCAGGCGTCGAGCGAAATCTGCACCCCCCGGGCGACCGCCCTGGAAAGCTTTGAGGTCGTAACTTTGCATTCCAGCTGAGGCACCGGAATGAGTCTGTTACAGGATCTCGTGCTGAAGCCACTCTACTTGGTGGCTGGGCCATGTAATGATTTCTTGAGAAAATGGACATCTGAGATCTTGATAGAAAAGCCGATGTGTCGGTGTTGAGGTTGATGGAGCTGCTCGTAGCCCCGCGCACACCGAGGCTCTGTTGTACGCCACGGTCGCCAGCATGGTCCTGTGTTGCAGCCCAAGCGTCGGGGAGAAGATCTTGAACCAGTGGGTTCGGCAAAGCGACAACGAGTCCGGGAACGAGGACCTGCAGAACGACGGCAACCAGCTCGGGAACGAAGACTTCGAGGCAACTCGGCGCCCTAGGCCCTAGACTCTGAACCTGAAACGCATCCCAAGATGAGAGTCGAAGCCCATCTTCTTCCCGGGAAGGGTGTTTATCTTGACGCCTAGCATTTCTTCCCGGAACCTGAAATCGCCCTAATGGCGTTTTGACTTCCCCCACATTCTCTTGCTGAGGGTTGTCCTTCGGATTTCCCTGAGGAGGGGGAGGGGGGGTGGGGCCCTCTCCAGGAAGCTGTCACCTTCGCGAGTTGAACGGGCCTTGGAGTTTGGGACTGAGGGCGCTTCAAGGCTAAGAGTATCATAAATAACCTAGTTCAGACACCAATGTAGATGCCAAAGAAGCACACAGCCTCTCTGGGCCGGGTGGTCCCCTTTCTGCGGCGCTCAGGGTCGTCGGTCAGGCCCTGCCGGGCTCTCACGCTCTTCGGCCGGCTTGTGAGGAAGATGAAGCAATAGAGGAGGTGTATATAGACTCCGTGTGAAGAGTTTCCTTTTTGTGCATATGGGGGTTTACCATAAGGGGCCCCTAGTGGGTCCCCTTATATTAAGTACCCCAATAAGGCACCCCCAATATCGTAAACCCCCATATCTGTGCGTGTACAGACGAGGGGGGCATCCTTGCGTGACTTGGGGCATGGCGCGGGCTCCTCTTGAGGAGCTCAGATCTCGTTCTACCCTACCATGGGACTTGTCGTAGGTGATACGGCTTTCTTGTTGAAACTTGCGCCAGTTCCCCAGCAGCGACAAAATGCAAGGGGGTCCCTACAAGATTTTGAATTTGTCCCTTGGCGGAAGTTCCAAGGCACAAGATGAGTTTGTGCCTAGGTAAAGCTGTGCTGTTGCCGTGCGAAGCATCCAGCCACCAAGTGGGGGTTGCTCTGCTCTCGTGTTGGCTTGAGGGGGGTTGGCTTAAAGCCAGAAGTCTCAGCCCTTAGCTGGAGAGCAATCCCCGAAATGATTTTAACAAGGCTGTCTCGGCCTCTCGTTTCTTTGAAGCCTCAATTTTGGGGTTTTGGACTCGGTTTGGACCACTGCACCAAAGGGTGGAAGAACAGTGCCATCAGCGCAACACGCTGAGCTTTGACAAAATTGGGACAGCGAAAGGGCTCCTAGGTCCTACACAAGGGGGGTCGCACGAGTACATTGCCATGCCATGGGGGCTGGACCAGTTGCGATTCTCTCGGGGGAAGCAGCGTCTTGCTCCCGAACCCTAAGCCGCTTAAACTTCAAACTTGAGCCTCAACTCCTTGCCATTCCACACGGAACCCCCCCCCCCCTTCATCCCACAAAGCTGCAATCGTGCTCGGTGACCCTGATCTCCGAAAACACGGCAACCGTTACACCTTTACCTTTACCTCTTGCACTGCATTCTAAGCTCACGCCCCTCACTCTCTTTTCCGTCCTTTGAACATGGGGGGAAGGGGGGGGCGATGGGGGACGGCAGGAGGCCCGGTTGCCACACGATTCAGAGGGACAGTTCTCTTGGGTTCGCCCTTGGATCTGACAGGTTGAAAGATCCTCCGAAACCCGTAGAAGATAGCAACATATAGCAACATCTCCCAGTGGCCTGGTTGGAGTCGACTGGTGTCGTCGGGCAGATCCTTGGAGACAAGGTGCGGCCACCGGCTCCTCAGAAAACCACAGGAATCTGGGTTCTTCAGCCAAAGCGGTTTGCTGTTGCGTTGAAGAAGCTTCCTCCGTGAAGTTGCGAAAGCTTGAGGAACGAAGCTTGAGAAGCTTTGGAGCGAGTTTTTTTTTGGCCTCTTTAAGTACAACATACTGTAGCATTCCGCACAAGGATTTTTGGGGTTTCTGGAACAAGACATGGCGAGCTTCGTTGCGTGCTAAGCTTTTCGCCCCTGATAGTGCCCCCTGAAGTCCCTCAAGCTTGCACAATCGAGAAAAAATCGACACTCCTTCAGCCTTCCTGGGGCCCCGGCGACGCGATTGCATAGTCTTGAACCCTGGACCCTTGTGCGGCTGCCGTCTAGGGCGCGGGTAGGCAGCGCTGTTCTTTCCTGGAGCTCCGCGCCGCACGAAAACGGCATGCGCAAGCCAAACAGCTCATGCATCCCGATGGGGTTTCTTTTGTTTTTTGCGGTGACTTGGTCCAGTCACCCAAAGATACAGCGTGCCCTCCGCGGCACAGGCACGCAGTGTGATATGTGTTGCAAACGTTTGCGAGCCCTAGACTCCCTAGACCGACTTCAACCTGAAGGCCTCGGCCTTAAAACCTGGGAGCCCGTTTCAGCCCCTCTGCCCTCTGCCGCGATGCCCCGGCTTCTGCTGCTGCTGGTGTCTCAGTTTGTCTCAGTTGTGTCATTTTTTTGTGCCCTTCTTCGTGGGACGCCACCTTTGGGCCTCTCGGTTCTCAGCTCAGGAGATACCTGGCTTTTTTAATTCGAGGACGGAAGATCAGGGGGGAGGGCAAGCTTGCCAGAAAGGCTGCATGCAGCAATGGCTCCAAGTTCTGCTCGTCGTATCTGGGTTTGTCGGGGCAAGGCAGCCCCCCCCCCCGATCTTCCGCACGTGCAGTTTTTTTTCACGGGAGGCTGGCCGGGGCAATGTGCGGGAAAGAGCGCGGTCTCTTGAAACTCGGTTGGGTTTTTAGCATCTGCAGGGACTTAGATGCAAAAAACCCATTTTCCTGTGGCCAGCCTCCTTGGCAGCCTTGGCAGTCCATGCTCCAGCTTCAGACGCTTGGCGGCGCGATGTGCGCTGTGAGACTTGCGATGGTGACGATGGCTGCAGCCAACAGCTGGGACATGGTGGAGCGCCATGGCCCGGCGTCCCGGAGTCTCAGGGCAGCAGAGGTTGCCTTGGACATAAGGGTCAGCGATGCAAGCGGGCTTAACGCTTTTCTCTCATGTTCTCATGTGGCCTAAGAAGAGGTTTCTGCAGTGGCAGCACTTCTGTTCCGAAAGACTTGTGGCATTCTGGAGCCCTGAGTGGGGGTTGATCCGAGCTGAGCTCTCCCCCAAAGCAGGCCCAAACACGTCATCAAGATTGACCCAGGTGGGCACACGATGGTCTGGGATTCAGGCGCTGATGGTGCTGGTGAAGGCTCGCACACCGGACCCCTGCTCTCTGAGCTTCTGATGGCTTGGGGGCTCGTAGGCTCTGTTGGTTCTTCCTCGCGCCGCCCCGAAGTAGGGAAGGTCTTTGAATTTCCACTCGCACAGTTGGACCCTGCCTGTTGTGCAACAATCTTAGGCTCGCAGTGCGTCTTCGAGGATTCACCTGGGCTCTCATTTTTCCGGCACCCCCTTGTCTGAACGGCAAGCCTCTGTGCAACAGCACCTCAAAAGCCACAAGCCTCAAAAAAGCCGGAATGAACCCTATAAACCATTGAGACCCTGAAGCTGGGCCCTTGCCGAACATCTTCGGTTTTAAGGGGAGTTCATTCCGGTTCCAACACGCTAGGGCTGTGGGATCCTTTTTCCTGAGCTGAAGATCGTCCCACACTAGTGCCCTACACCCCCTAAACCCTTCGTTATGGGCAGACACCGGGCCGTTTGGGAGGCTTCTTGATGTACGGTGGGCTGTTGGACAGCGCCATGTCTGGCGACCTGTACTTCTTCGGCGTCACCTCGCAGCTGCGCTGAGATGCCCCCGAAAGCCCCCATATGGTTCAGGGAGCCCAAGACCCTCGTTAGTTGATTGAATGCGCCACAATGCGCTTCTTCAACCACAAAAGAAAGAGGGCTGAGAAAATTTCAATTGGGGACGCGGGGTCTCTCAGGAGAACCCGAGTTAAGCCTCCCTAGCCCCGTAAAGCCCCAACAACCCATTCACGCCTAAACGCTCCATGCCCACTCGGTGGTTCATGGCCAACTGGAACTGTACTCATCATCCGGGGCTTATCTGTGGGTTATGCCTACACTTATAATGGGTTACCCTAAACCCTAAACCCTGAACCCTGAACCCTAAACCCTAAACTCTCAACCCTACAAGGGGTTCCTAGGTACCCTGAACCTCCATGCACAGCCTGAAACCGAAAAACCACTCTTTGCGGCGCCGAGATTCCTGAAAGAGGGTTTAGGGTTTAGGGTTTAGGGTTTAGGGTTTAGGGCAAATCCTGAGAAGGAACCTGTGGACGCAGAAGTCTTCGGGCCCCGCGGCCTCTTGCCCTTTGGAAGGGTCCAGGGCTTTAAGACGTTTTATCGGGTCTTTAAGGAGTGTGGCAAATGTTGAGGAACCCTTCAAAAACCCCTAAACTGATGTGCTTGTGCTTGGGTTCCAAAACAGGCTCTGAGGTGAACACGGCCCCCCTTAGTCTTAGCTAGATATCCTGAGTTTCTCTGGAACATATCCATGGTAGCTGGAGTGTGTGGGTAGATGTGGTCGGTGTATGCTTTTGCTTCATCCTGCTTTTGGGTTGGTGGACTTGATCTGGGGATCAAACAGTTACGGGCCAATGTGTCCTTCAGAGTGGAACCTGCTGGAGCCTTGCCTGCTTCTGCTAGCATGAGACTCGAAGCTGATGTGCTACTGTCAGTTTTCTTCAGTTCCTCCAAACCTGAGGCCCGATACCGCCACTCTGCAGTGATTGACCCCACCGCCAGGGCCATGTACCTTCCGGCAGCCTTAGCAGGGGGGCTTAGGGTTTAGGGCTTTTTTCCCGAAAGCTTCAGCGAAGGGTTCTTCGGAAAAAAAACGTTCGCCCAAGCACACCAGCCTACCACCGCCACACTACCATCACCACACTAATTACGCTACCACCACTACGCTACCACCACCACACTTGCATCACTACACTACCACCACCACATTACCATCACTACACTACCACCACTACACTACCACCTTTTATCACTACACTACCACCACCACACTACCATCACTACACTACCACCACCACACTACCACCACCACACTACCATCACCACAGTACTATCTCAGCTGCATTGCTTCTGTACGCTGTCTATTAAATTCTCTCTTATTTCTTAGGCTGGGGTGGGTTTCGCCGCGGCTAGCGCGATGCACCCCTCTGCGGGGATCGTGCTTGTCGGAGCGCTCCCGCTGTGCATTTTTGCGTATTCTTGAGTGGTCTGTTGAATCCTCTGCGGGTATCGTGCGTGTCGGAGCGCTCGCGCTGTGCGTTTTTGCGTATTTTGAAGCGCCACGGTGCACCCTCTTCGGGGATCGTGCGTGTTGGCATGCGAAAACATCGCAAATATCATACCCAACTTGCATGACTGGCAGGCGCACGCTCATCCCGCACGGTGCCCGTGCTCAGCTTGGCAGCCATGCTGCAGCAACTTGCTTACACTAAATTTTGAAATCCCTCAGCGTGAGCCCGTGAGCCAACCCGCTGGCTCCAACTCCGAGGTGCATGTTCCATTCTGGCAGGCGATGTCGTAGCGTTGAGACGCTTTCTGTCCATGCGCTCTGACAGGCTGGCTTACTCGTTGACAAGGACAGTTGCTGAAGGACTTGCCAAGGAAAAGGACGTGCCGAGTCGCTGTCTGAAATGCCCTAAGTATACCACCACACTATCATCACCACATTACCATCACCCCACTGCCATCACCTCAGCTACACCGCTTCTCTACCCTATTAAATTCCATCTTCTTTCCGTTTCGCGCTCTCTCTGCCGTCGACACCGCGTTGAGACTACACTACCGATCTACTTCTAGCCTACTACACCACACCACGGCACCACGATCACTGCACTGACAACATAACCAACTATACGTGTCAGTTGGAATCTTCGCACGGAGTTCTTTTGGGATAATCGGTGTCTAGTCTTTTTTTGGTTGTTTTTTGGCTTTTCTGAGCCCGAAGCCGTTTTAAAACCCTGTTTTGCTTCGGGTCAGGTTCTGCCAAGGGCTTCGGTTCTTGTTTTGGAGGCTCTTCTTGCTTCTAAAGGGGGTTGGAGTGAATATGTACAGGCACCAGGGATCATGCAGGGATCAGCACTTGCACGTGATTTTTCTGTTGGGCCTTGTTGGGATTTGCAAGGTTTCGGGCGCGAGGACCTCGCTTCGACCGGATGCCTAAGGTACATATTTGCCGGCATGAGCCTTAGCGCTGGCACGGCCAGCACCTTCGGCGACCTCCATCGTTGCCCGGCTCGGATTTGGAGACCTGCCTGCCGGGTAGCGGGAGGTTCCTAATGTCTGGCAGGCGGTTTTGTTCGTGCACCTGCCAGATGCTAGAATGGCAGGCCAGAACACAGATAAGATGAAGAAGCGGTTCCTTGGAGCAGTGCACATGCCACACGCCCAAATGATGCCAGGCTACGATGTGGACCTCGACTCCTGGACCACGTGTGGTGGTAATCACCATATGTTGGGTTGGGTTCCTCGAATATCAGGGCAGCCCGGCGACCACGTGCGCTGTGCATGTATCTGCGGTAAGGCTTCCATTATTGTCCTTCAACACATTTAACAGGAGGCTGCCCACAGCGGCAGAGAGAAACAACAACTCAGTACTGTGTTGATGCCCGGCATATGCAATAAACCCTCCGTAGGCCTGACTCCTTAAACCCTAAGCTTTTTGCCAACAAACAACTTTTTGCAGGACCGCCCTCCAAGGGACGGCAGGGCGCTCGCGGCACACGGCAGTGTGGGACAGCAGCTCCGATCGCATGATCGTGTTCGGTGGCGTGGACGGCATGCTGAACAAGACGGGGGACGTCCTCGAGCCTTGGTATCTAGGGGCCCGAAGCCCTCTGAGCCCTGTGCACCCTAAAAACCCCCCAAACATCTTTAACCGTGCGAAGCTCAGGAGTACGACCGATCGTCGGACTCCTGGTCCTTCCCACAGGTTGAGGGCCCAGCGGCGCGCGATGGCCACGTGGCCGTTTGGGACGACACCACTGGCCCTCTTGCTGAGCTTATGGATTCTTTTAAACTGGGCTTTTGAGGTTATTAGCGACGGTGGGTTCTAAGCATTTCGGGGACATCAGGTAAGTTGAGACCCCAAGACGAGTTCGAGTTGCTGAAAGCAGCTACTCCCAGGCGCCATGCTCATGTGCTGCGGCGTCACGTCGGACTCTGGGCAGAGCTTGGGAGACCTGTGGTCCTACGACGGCACGTGGGCCCAGCTCAGTCCATCCGGAGGCATCACCGCCCGGAGGCGCCTCATCGCAGAAAGCCTCCGGAAGCCTGCCCCGAAAACTCCCTAAGCCCCGAAAACTCCCCAATCCCCGGAACTAGACAAAGCTTGGAGCTTAGGGCTTGAGGTGCTTAGGGGCCTGCTCTGGAGTTAAGGGCCCCCTGACAAAGTCCCGCTTGCACCGAGCCTGGAAAGAACCCTTCTCCGAAACTCTGCAACCTTCTAAGCCACCCCTCTTGGAGCAATCGGCTCCTCGAATCTCTGCGAAGCGTGCCCATTTCCCCCCTCCCCTTCCTGACATTTTTTTCACATATGTTCATTTTATTGCACATATGCATATATATATATATACATACATATATCTCTGTCTCTGTGTGTGTGTGGGTGGGTGTTTATGTTGTTTTTTGGGTGGGGGGGGGGATTTGGTTTTGACAACTTGCCAACTTGCTGCTGCTGAGATGACTGTGCGATTTCGATGATCTTGCCCCATGGTGGACTCTTTTTTTGTGCCGCTTCTTTCCATTTCACACACAAGGACACAAAGAGAGTCTCGTGCTTTCAGCAGGGGGGGCGAGAGGGTCGGGGGGTCGCCGTGGCCTCTTCACCAGGTACGCCTCGGCAGTCTGGGATCCGCAGGCGCGTGCCATGCTGGGCTTCGGGGGACGAGAGACCCCAGAGGCGGCACTCAACTCCCTGTTCCTGCGGCCTGGCGATCAAGCTCTGCTAGATATGGCCGGCTTTGCAATGTCGGCTTTTGAAAGGGGTGCTGATTAGGCATCTTTTCGAGGAGGCTCTGAATTGTTTTGTTGGAAGTGAAATGGCAAGCAGGGCCAAGCACAGAAAGTCCCTGCAAGGTCTAAAGCTTGCGCAAGCCGAAGCGACTTGCAGTTCTTCGGACATAGCTTTCCCTGCTTCTGGGATCTCAGCCTGAGGTACTCCACCAGCGCCAACAGCTGGAGCGAATACACCGTGTCGGGCGCTCCTTCTTATTTAGGCCCAGGCCGGCGGCTCTTAACGATTTAAAAGGCTACTTCATGTTGATGCTATGCCGCTACGGCGACCTGCCCCGGCCTGGCCTTCCCAGCGGCAATGCAACCCAAACCGGAGATCGCAGGTGTGAAGGTGCTGTTCGGCTTGTGCCCTTTGAGTGGCTTTTTGCGCAGCTATGTGCAATCACCACCCCCAAATGTGGGAGTGGTAAAACATGAAAGAACAAGGTGAGGTTGAATGGTTGGGACGGGGGGTGTCCGCCCACTATGGTGGGTTCAAATGCCCCCTGGTCCTGATGTGCGTCCCGGACATCGGCTAGGGGGTTACCCATTCCACGCAAAAATGTAGGAAATAAAGCGGTTGGGAGGGGATTTCTCCTCCCCATACACCTACGGCCCGAGGTTTCGGCGGATATTAAGACTAATGGTTTGTTTGCGAATCTTCATTATGAATCTTCATTATTCACCTTAGTGTGAGTTTGAGGGACGGTGCCCTGAGGCGCCACGGCCTGGGACCCCGTGAACAGCCACCTTTACACCTACGGCGGCTTGGAGCAGGGGCCCAAAGACTCCCTGTGGAGGTTGACTGCAACCCACACATCCGTCACCAGCACCTGCGCAGAATTTTCCGCAGGGCTTGCAGATTTTGCTGGCTCGTTGTTACGGTGCCTTAGGTATGGTCCGATGCCGAAGCTATCGAAACCACCCCAGGTACTGCAACTTCAACCACCGCACACACAGCTACATCCACAACTTCTTCCTCATTGTCGGCAACTTCATCCTCAAAGAGCACCGCAACAACGGCGACCGAAGTCTACCATACTGCAACTTCGACCATAAGCACAACCAGCAGCTCTTCAACCACAACTTCTTCCTCATTTTCGGCAACTTCATCCTCAAACAGCACTGCAACAACATCGACCGAAGTCTACCATACCACGATTACTGACAATGCGGATGATGCCACCTCCGGTACTGCAACTTCGACCAGAAGCAGAACCAGCAGTTCGTCAATCACCTCACGCACAGCTACATCGACAACGTCTTCCTCATTCTCGGAAACTTCATTCTCAAGGAGCAGTACGACAACCCTGACTGCAACAACATCAACCAAAGCCTACCCTAGCACGAGTACGAAAACGTGGGCTCCCTTGACGACAACATGGACAAAGAATCTCCCTACCCAAAGTGCCACCCGAACGCCGTCTCGCACCGACGCTGCGGATCTGCTGTTGGGAGACCTCGACAACTCCGAAGGGGAGCTCGCGAGGCAGCTGGTAGCCACGCTGGGCAACAGCTCCAACTCGTCGGGTATCCTGGGACGCGCCCTCACGCAGTCTCACTTGGCGACCATTCAGACTCTGGCGTTGCAGCTTGGCGTTTCGGTGCGCTTCGGGCCGTTTCGGGGTCTTCAAGGTTCTTAGTACGATATTCAAGGTTTTGGATGAAAGCTTGATCCCGAAGCACAGGGACAGCCTCGCGATCTCCGACATGAGCCGCAACGTCACGGTGCAGAGCGCCAGTGCCAGCGTGGAGGTTCCTCCGGACGTCGTGGCCCAGGTGCCAGCGGGGCCCGGTGCAGACAAGAACTCATGGAGTTCTACCATGTGTCCTTCTGTGCTTCTTTCTGAGGTACTCCAAGTACGTGTCGCCCCCCCCCCCCCCCCCAAGTGCTCACAACAGGCTGCAGCAGCTGGCGGCAGCGGGCTGGTGCTGCTCAGCGTCTCGGTGGGCCTTGAAGAGCTCGGGGCTGGGCTCAACGGTTCCGAAGGAGGTGCAGGCGGGAGCACATGCGGGGGCTTCTTTCATGGTTCCTGTCTGAGGGTTTGGGCATTCTAGTCCACTTCTCGTGATTCTCGCGTTTAGTTTTCTGTGGCTTCTCTCCCGGAGGTAATGCTTTGGTCTCGCGGCCCGTGAGCATCACCTTCCGTGGGCCTGATGGCCAGAGGATTCCAATGCCGTCGCTGGCACGGCCCATCGAGGTTCTGATCCTGGGAGCGACCGAAGGCTCCCGGTGTGCTTTCTGGGACGAGGAGCTCCGATGCCCTGAACAACTCTTTCAGCTTTTAGGCGCTAGCCAGCCCCGACAGCAGTCGCTGTAGCCAAACCACAGCAAGTTGGGTTCTCAGGAAGTTTGAGCGTTTAGTTTCGGATCAAGTCCAAGAAAGGACACCGGCACCTGGTCGTCGGAGGGCTTGCGTGCGGTGTCCTTCCGGGACGGGGAGTTGCTATGCCAGACCTCCCACCTCACTGCCCCTCGGCGGGGCTTTGTGTTGTTTGGGGGGCTGTTCTCAAGCTCACCAAGCTCTGAAGAAGCGCTTCAAATCCCTAAATGTCCCAAGAGGGCTAAGCGCTATACCCTCAGGAAACGACCCCCAGCTGCGCCGGAGGTCTTTGGGGCGGTTCTGGAGACCTTCCTCCACGTGCTCCGGTGCTCCACCGCCGCGCAGGTGTTCTCTGCCGAGGGCCTCCAGAACCTCAGCAAGGGCACGCCCGGGGGGTGGGAGTCGTAGGGAATCGTGGGAACTTGGAGCTTCAGTGTGGGGTTTACCGGCTGCATGCGCTTCCGAGTTATGTCGCGCATTGGTGCATTGGTGCTGTGGGTACAGACATGGCACAAGTCCCCGAATCTCAAAGCAAGCAGGCACCTGGCCCGGCCATGCTGCTGCGATCATTACCTTCAGCGTTGCCTTGCTGAGCAGAGGGCAGAGGGCATGGTGGGGGGAAGTGCGTGGCAGAAGCTCTTCTTGTTGGCAAGGAGAAAGTAGATGCTGTAGTCGAGAAGCTAGTCAGTAGATGTCAGTAGTGGTGAAGTGGTCGCTGCAAGAGTCTTTGGATGTTAAATGCAAAGCCGCGATGAAGCCTTGTGCAAGTCCGTGAAGGACATGGTGAGCACGACGAGCGTCACGAAACTGCAGCACACCGTTCGTCTTGACCGCGCAAGCTTGGACGGAGAAGCTGGCAAAGCGTGATTTGAGACCGATTGACATCTGCACCGAACCGCAGCGATGTCAAAATCCGGCAACCTGCGAAGGGTCCCGAAGCTTGAAACCCAAACCCCAAGTATCTCCGAGAAGCAATCTGAAGCAGCTTCAGGCTGTGAGATTCTGGATTGCGTCGTCTGTTCTGATGCATCACGTGTACCAGCCCCGGAAACCAAAGAACAGCAAAGACGAAAGCAGCCCAGACGCTCCCAGGAAAATGGAAGCACAGCTGCATTTCGAACTGCAAGAGTGCCGCTCCGTTTCTTTGGTTAAACCCTCGGTGGTGCCACGAAAACAAGTGCGCACGCTTCGACTGTGCCCACTCAGACTCAGCACACAAACTGGGGCCCAGCAAAAGAGCGCTGCGGCTGCAACCACTGCCGCGGTTTTGACGCCTAATACGACGGTGTACCTCACGCTGCGTGCAAACATGTGCATACGTGCATGTCCTGCTGTATGTTTCAGCCATTTCGCCTTGTCTTTTGGCTATGACCGTTGCCAGCGCTGTGATTACTCCAACGATTGGGAGTGCTGCTGGCTGTGCTGTGCTGAAAGGGGCGCCAGTTTGCTTCCACTTGCCCCCAAGGCTCTCTTCATCTGCCTGCTGTTGCTCCTGTATGCCCTACGGCTTGACAGAAAGCGGTCGCTGTCCAGGCATGACCGCATGCCCGCATACTGTCACATACTCCAGCCCCGGATAATCCCCTATAATCCTGTTGAATCCCGAAAAGCGGTCTTTAAGCTTCGAAACCCTGCAGGACAAGTCATACTGACCACTTTTCTCAAGCTGTGCACCTGGCACCATGGCAGGAAGCAGGTGAAGGCCGCTTTGCTTATCGAGTTGGACGCGGACAAGCAGGAGCAATCCCCGTCCCGCGCCCTCAGCCCCGAATAGAACATATTCCCAAAATCTAGGCACGATCGGGCATTCTCGGGCACAGTAGAGCTGCGGTGAGGATGCTGCGGACGGCTATGCGGAGGAGGAAGAAGAGGAGGTAAAGGCAGAGAAGGCTGCGGACATTGATTTCGGCAAGAGTCCTGAAGCTTTGAATTCTAGTGACTAGCGCTGTCAGGCTCGACAGCCCAGCGTGTGCCGTCAGGCTTCTTGGCAGTTGTTAAGAGCACAGAAAAGCAGAGGTTTTGCACAAGTTGCGTGCTGCAAGCTCTCCCAGACGGCGTTCTCAGGCCGCGGCGCGCTTGGCGTCTTCTTTCGCGTGGCTCCTTAGCCAGATGTTCGACATCCCCGACGACCTGCTGACGGAGTTGATGAATGCCAAGGCGGACTCAGCTCGAAAATGCTCGAAGAAATCCCTCCTCAGAGTCCGACAAATCCCTCAGGTGGTCACGATCAACCGCTGCATCAGCTCTCTGCACGCCTACAAGAGCCACGCCGACCGTCAGAGCATCCGTGCAGCGGAGAGGCTGGTGGGCCACGCGCAGCTCGCCTGTTTTAAAAACAGGAGACAGCTCTGCGATTCAACGCGTAGTTGAATGCAGCAGTTCTCAGGGTGCAAAAAGGTTTTGGCAGGTTCGGGACGGACTTCGCCACTCATCTGAAAATAAGATTCGGACTAAACTAACGTGAGGCCGCCTCGGCAAGCGTCCCGAGGCTTTCGAGGGTGTGCGGGAGGGTGTGGGGGGGGGGAGGGAGGGCCCAGGGAGGCAGGGTCGGGTGGTGGGTTGGGGGATTGGGGTTGGGTACCGAGGCGCCTGCAGCACTCAACCACAGCCAGCATGTCGGTGACCATCGAGGACTTCGTGCGGATGGACCAGACCACGGACTACAGGAGAAGCAAGTCCTTGGTTGCGAAGAACTTTTTGAACAGCTTCTGGTGCAAGCGCGTGGTTCTCCTGATGTGGGCCATGCATCCCTGGATCACCATGCAGTTCGTGAGCTTGTTCAGATCCCACGTCGTCCCCAGGCAGATTGTCGGGATGTGTTTTTGTGTTTTTTTGTTTTTCCTCTAGTTTCCTTAATTCATTACTCTCCAGCTTGTATTGGAGGGGTTCTCTCTGTGAGGGTTTCGGGGGGGGGGGGGCAACCGAGGTCCGAGCCTCCCTGATCATTCTGAAGCTGGTGTCTGCCGCTTGCGCCAACGCGCTCTTCTTCACCAGCTCGGCGGCCTCTCGGCTCATGGATACCCATTTCAGGGTCAGATATTGGGGTTTGTAGGGGTTCAGGGCTCGGTTAGGGGTTAGGGCCCTTACACACAGGTTGCGGCCGACGCGGACATGAACTGTGCGCCGCTAGAGACCACCGGCGAGCGCCTGCTGCGCGCAGCCATCGTTGGCATCCTCTCCGCTTGCATGGGCGACCTGCGCTCCGGTTGCACAAGAAAAGCAGACGGGTTCCGGGCTTTTGGGGCAGATGAGGGTTAGCATGAGCCGTAGTTAAGAAGAACAGCGCCTTCATCCCATAGATTTCATCGAGATTTCCGAAGAGTTTTTTCCATGATCTTGGGGCGAGGAACCCGTGTTTTTTTTTTGTGGGTGCTTTTTGCGTGGGTGTTTTTTTCCGGGTGAGTCCCCGCACCCGCAGCAAAAAAAAAGCGCTCTCGCCCCCTCCCCGCCGACAAAACCCCCCCTCTTTTTAAACTGTGCAAGCGTTTTTCAAAGCACTGAATCCTTCCCAAGGCCATCATGCGAACATTGTGTTTGCAAACGGTGGAGGGAGCCCTCTTTAACACCGTGCCAGCTATGAATCCTGTCCAAGCCTATCATGCGGGCGGGGGGGGGGGGGGGCTGCGCTTTTCTAAGCCGGGCAAACTTGCTTCAATCATACGAATCCTTTCCAAACCCATGATGATGCGAGCATGTTTGCAAATGGGGGGGGGGCTGCGCCCGCCCCCCCAACCCCCGACCACTTTTTTTTTGCCGGCAAGCTTGCTTCAAAGCTTACGAATCCCTTCCAAACCCATGATGCGAGCATTGTGTTTTCAAATGCGGCGGCCTGCGCGGCCCCCACAGGAACAAAAACACTTTTGGTTGCAAGTCACATATTGAGATACCACAGAGAATTAGTTTCTCATGTATTCTTGTCTCATGTCTTCCTCATTAAATATCGAGGTAAACTATGACGATATAGACAAAAATAGAGAGAAATAGAGGCTTTCGGAAATATAGAGAAATAGAGGCTTTCGTATTCAAGCATAGAGAAATTAGAAAAACTAGAGGTTTTGAGTAAATGTGGAGAAAATAGAGGTTTTCATATTCAATGATAGAGAAGAAAGTGGTTTTCCTATTAAAATACAGAGAAAGTAGAGGGTTTCCATAGTAATATATAGAGAGAACAGCAAAAACGCCCCCGCACTCGCAACAAAAAAGAACGCGCCCCCGCAGCAAAATAAGAAACGCGCCCCCGCACCCGCAGCAAAAAAAGAAGCGCGCCCCCGCACCCGCAGCAAAAGAAAAACCGCAGCAAAAAGACGCGCCCCCGCACCCGCAGCAAAAAAAGGCGCGCCCCGCACCCGCAACAAAGAAGCACCCGCAGCAAAAAGCAAAACACTCTTACCCTTGGGGCGACTTCGGAAAGAGCTCTGAGGCTCATCGTGCTGCTGGCCATGGTGCAGCGGCGGCAGGCCCCCCCCCCCCCCCCCCCCCGATAGCTTCAAGTCAGATGGGGAAAATGCCAGGTCCTGATCCGGCGATGGACGGAAGAGGCCAAAGAGAGGCAGCTCAGGAGAATCGGGTGAAAGACTCGGATTTCGAGCCATACGAGAGTATTGGTTTGTGGGATTCTGAAACGATGGAGTAGCGAAATGTGGGAGAGCGGAAACAGCACAGAAGCCGAATTCGGCCGTGAGGAGCTGGCGTCGCCGGCGTTTCATCTTCTGGCTGATCTGGCTTCTCCGTGTTCTTTTGTGAGGGTCCTTAACCCCCGCACTGGGACCCTTGCTCCTGTTAGGGGGTGCACAAAAGCACACAAGATGGTTCTGCCTCGTCATTCCTAGGGCATGTGTCTTCGCTGGACTGCAAGGTTCCTGTTTAGGCTGGGGCTTCCGTCTCCGTGGGTTGAAGCGTGGGGCTTCCGTCTCTGTCCGAGGTTTCCCAATCTTGGCATCTCGATTCTGTACGTATTCGGCTTCCTGGCCAACGTGAGCCAAGCAGATGGGGCCAAGTGGATCGAAAGAGCCTTCGCCGCGACATTCGGTGGCCTTCGCTTAACCCTAAACCCGAAACCCGAAACCCTAAATTTGGCTTGCAAGGGCTTTTGATGGCTTTGTTTGGGTTTTTCCAAAGCTTCAGCTGGCCAGCGCATCCTGTAAGCAGTTGCTTTGAGACATTTGTTTCCTGCAGCTGAGGCACCGGGATGAGTCTGTTACAGGATCTCGTCCTGAAGCCGCTCTGCTTGGTGGCTGGGCTGGGATGAAAGATTGAGAAGAGCGTGCGAGATCCAGAAAGATACAGAGGTGTCGGGGCTGATGTTGATCTAGCTAATGTAGCTGTAGCCCCGCGCACACCGAGGCTCTGTTGTACGCCACGGTCGCCAGCATGGTCCTGTGCTGCAGCCCAAGCGTCGGGGAGAAGATCTTGAACCAGTGGGCTCTGAACGACAAAGAGTCCGAGAACGAGGACCTGCAGAACGACGGCAACCAGCTCGGGAACGAAGACTTCGAGGCAACTCGGCGCCCTAGGTTTTTAGGCTCTAAACCTGAAACGCATCCCAAGGATGAGAGTCGAAGCCCATCTTCTTCCCGGGAAGCGTGTTTTCTTGTTGACGCCTAGCATTTCTTCCAGGAACCTGAAATCTCCCAAATTGTGGTTCACCTTCCCCCCCCCCCCCGCCGCCCAGTTTGACCCCAAAGACGGGTTTCAGAGGGGGAGTTAAGAGGGCCTTGGAGTTTGGGACTGAGGGCGGTTCAACGCTAAGCATCATAAATGGTCAACTCTTTTTTTAAGGGACCAATTTAGATACCAGTACCGTTTCTTCTGCTGCAGAGAAGGCGCACAGCGCGCCTTCTCTGGGCCCGGCGGGGTGGTCGGGACCCTTTCTGTTGCTTTGTCGGGAGGTCAGGGTCGTTGTGTCAGGCCCCGCCAGGGTCTCACGCTCTTTGGCCGGCTTGTGAGGAAGATGACACAATAGAAGCGATGTATATCGACTCGGTGTGAAGAGTCGTTCTCCTCTGCGTATCTGCGCATGTACAGACACGAGGGAATCCTTGTGGCCGTGACTTGGGGCAAGGCGCATATCTCTTGAGGAACGAAGATGTCTTCGTTATCATACCCAGGAGTTGTACCTTCGCTTCAAGCTGCGCAGATCCGCAGATCTCTTGAGCTCAGATTTCGTCAGAAGTGGCAAGAGCAATCTCTGAGAGGGCTGCTGTTTCTTTTGCAAATCCTCCAACGTTGGAGGTTTAGACCTTCTAGTCTGTTTCCGCACTCCACCAGAAAGGAGTAGAACGGCTGTGCCATCGGCATGGAACAGGTTCCGAGCCAGGGGCGTGCCGGTAGCTTTTCTCAGGGTTCCGACTAGGACACCCGGGCTTCCTTCAAAAAAGGAGTCTCGCGAGCACAGGGGCCATGCCTTGGGGGGGGGGAGGGTAGGGGGTAGGATGGTTGGTTATACAAAATCCTACTAAGGTTAACCTAGAGTGTTCGGTGAGGACGCTTTTAACTTCTCCGCACCTGCTATGCCTTCAGGGAAGCAGCATCGTCTTCGTCCCGAACCCTGGAACCCCCTCTCATCCTGCCTTGCACCTCCCTGCATTCTAAGTGCCCATCACGGTCTCTTCCTTGACCATGCGAGTGGGGGGGGGGGGTGTGTTATGGGGCAGGGGGCTTGGCCCGAAACTTGCAGCGGAGGCCGCGCCCTTGGTTTAGACAGTGCTGTTGCTCTGTGCCATAACAATGATATGTAAGAATGAGAAAAATGATAATGTACTGTAGGCCTTTTTGCTCTCAGACATATGTTCCCGAATGCTCTGCAGAAGGGTTCTCGTTTTCAGGTTGGGGGTCTAGGGGTCAAGAGGTGCCCAAACGTCGTTGCGTTTGCGGACCGCAAGCCGACGCCCCGCCCCCCCAACCCCCCCAACCACCCATCAGCCCCAACCCCCACGACCCCCCCGCGTGTCATGTCTTCATGTCGTGTCGCGTCTTCGTCTTCGTGTCCCTGTGTCCTCGTGTCGTGTCCTCGTGTCGTGTCTTCGTGTCGTGTCATGTCGTATCGTGTCTTCGTCTTCCTGTCGCGTCCTTGTGTCGCGTCCTCGTGTCGTGTCCTCGTGTCGTGTCTTCGTGTCCTGTCTTCGTGTCCTGTCTTCGTGTCGTGTCTTCGTGTCGTATCGTGTCCTTGTGCCATGTCTTCGTGTCCTGTCTTCGCATCAGGTCCGTGTCGTGTCCGCGTGTGGATCCTATCAGGTTTTTCTCAAATTCTCGACCGCCAGCGAAACGAGCCAAATAGCATTGTGCGCTTTTCTCTTAGTTCCCATCTCTCTTCCATGCCTATCACTGTTAATATTAGCTCTTGTTGTCAATGGGTTTTCCCCAACAGCGAAGCGGGTACTGGAGCGGGTTTCGGAGCGGGTTCCGGAGCAGCTACCAGAGCCGGTTCCGGAGCGGGTTCCGGAGCAGGTTCCACGGGCCAAGAACATCTGAAAAGCACGCACAATGGCTTGGGCTGGCCCTTTCCCCATGCACAATGGCTTGGCCTGGCGGTATACAAGTGTAACAGCGATGCATGCTAAGTCTTCCTGGATTCCTTGCAAGCAGTCTGCTAAGCTATGCCAGGTCTCTGTTCCATGGCACCGGGTGTGTGTTTCTTTTTTAACTTTTGTAATTCCCAAAAGCCCGGTCCGCGCGGTATTTGTGCTGTTTTTCCCAACAGCAAACCGATGGGGTCTCCAGCCCTTGGGTACTGGAGCGGGCTTCGGAGCAGGTTCTGGAGCGGAACCCGAGCGTTGCAGAGCAGGTTCTGGAGCAGGTGCCGGAGCGGGTTCCACGGGCCAAGAACATCTGAAAAGCGCGGTATTTGTGGTGTTTTTCCCCAACAGCAAACCGATGGGGTCTCCAGCCCTTGAATACTGGAGCGGGTTTCGGAGCAGGTTCCGGAGCAGGTTCCGGGGTTCCAGAGAGGGTTCTGGAGCAGGTACCTCCTCCTGCTGCTGCTGCTGCTGCTGCTGCTGCTGCTGCTGCTGCTGCTGCTCTAGATGTCAGTTGTGTCATGATTTGCTTGTTGTCGGGACGCCACCTTGTGCATCTCGGTTCTCAGCTCAGGAAATACCTGGCTTGTTTTACTTTTTGACGGAAGATCAGGGGTGAGCAAGCCATCGTGGGTTTGGGGCATAGAGAGGGTTCTCGTACACGGCGCAAGGCGCCCCCAATCTTCCGTGCAGTTTTGACGGGAGGCTGGCCACAATGTGCCGGAAAGAACATGGTCTTTTGGAACTTGGTTGGGTTCCGACATCTGCAGAGAGATTCCAGTTAGATGCAAATTCCGACTTCTTGGGGCTGGCCTCCTCACAGTGCTCCAGCTTCAGACGCTTGGCCGCCCCATGTGCGCCATAAGATTTGCGATGGTGACGATGGCTGCAGCCAGCAGCTGGATAAAGGTGCAGCCCACGCAGGGTCCGACTACCCGCGGTCTCAGGACAGCAGCGCAGAGGTTGCCTATGGTTGCCTTTGTATGATAAGGGGTCGTCAGCGTTGCAGGAGTGGCGGCACTTCTGTTGGATCCAAAAGACTTGGCTTTTTTGAAGCCCTGTTGGGGGGTGATCCGAGCTGAGCTAACATGCCAAAAAACGTGATCAAAACTGACCCAGGTGGGCACACGATGGTCTGGGATTCAGGTGCCGATGGTGCCGGTGAAGGCTCGCACACCGGACCCTGTTCTCGAGTTTCTGAGGCTTGGGGGCTCGTAGGCTCTGTTGGTTCTTGGTTCTTCCTCGCGGCGCCCTCAGAAGTAGGGAAGGTGTTTGAATTTCCACTCGCGCAGTTGGACGCTGCTGTGTCCTATATAAACTGTTGCCTAAACTTCTTAGGCTCCTAGCGCGTCTTCGAGGAAACACCTGGCTCCCCATTTTCCGAAACCCCCTTGTCTGGTTGAACGACAAGCCTCCTTCATGTCTTCATGCCTCAGTGCAACAGCACCTCAAAAGCAAGGAGCCGATACTCGTCCCACACCTTAAGACCTGCATCTAGGGCCAAGAGACTCCCAGGCTTCTTGATGTTGGGCGGCGAGCTGTCGGACAGCGCCATGTCCGGCGACCTGTACTTCTACGGCGCCACCTCGCCCCTACGCTGACATGCCCCCGAAGCCCCATATGCCCAGGGAGCCCAAGGCCCTCTTAGTGCCCTCTTCGTTGAGGAACGCGCCGGCGCGCTTCAACCAGAAAGGATGCGGATTGATTCAAAAAGGGGGGCGCAAGAAAAGAAGGCCCTCAGCCCATTCAAAGCCCTAGAATCCCTAGAAGCTCCCTCAAAGGCTCTTGAAACCCCAAAACTCGTGGGTGGAAAAGACTCAGAGAGAACTCCTGAACGCGGGGGGCCCCCAAAACAAAATCCTGAGAAGGAACCAATGGACGCTGAAGTCTTCAGGCCCCGCAGCCACTTGGCCCCTTGAGATGTTCCACTAAAGGTCCAGGGCTTTTCAGGCTTTTGAGGGTCTTGAGGAATGTTTCAGTTGTTGAGGAGCCCAGCAAAAAGACCCTGAAAGTGATCGTTTCTGTCACTTCGCCAAACCTGAGGCCCGATACCACCACTCTGCAGTGATTGACCCCACCGCCCGGGCCATGTACCTTCCGGCAGCCTTAGCATTGGGAGGCTTTGATGGTTTTCTGCTTGGGGGGGGGGGGGAGGGGGAGGGGGGGAAAACAAAGACTGTTGGGAGTCTGGGTCTAGATGGGGCTTCCGTGTAGTTATTCAGGGTTCTTCTTGCTCCCGAAGCGGTGGGACCGATGTTATAGCTGTTAGAGTGAATACAAGTACACTGGATCATGGATCAGCATGGTGTTTTGCTGTTGGGCCGTTGGGAGTCGCAAGGGGCAGCGAGGAACTCACACTAAGGTACATATTTGCGGGCATGAGCCTCGGCAGCGGCACAGTCAACACCTTCGGCGACCTCCATCGTTGCCCGGCTCGGATCTGAAGACGTTTCGTTTGCCAATACTAGCGCTAAGCAAGCATGGCCGCTTTCCAAGTCGCGACATACATCTGGCGAGGCATACATAGGTCTCGTACACTGATATACGACCCCCTGCCCTTTTGTTTTAAGGTGACTCGCTTTACACGAGCGCGAGTGCGCGCTTAGGGTCACTAACCAAAATGGGTGTTTGGACCATGGCACATGCCACGCACCCAAACGCTGCCAGGCTACGACGTGGACCTTGACTCCTGGACCACCTGTGGTGGTAATCACCATGTGTTAGCTTGGGTAGCCCGGCGACCACCTGCAACAAATTCAACGGGAGGCTGCCCACAGCGGCAGAGAGAAGCAAAAACTCAGTCCTGTGCTGTCTTGATGATTCTTGATGCCAGGCGTATGCAACAAACCCACCCCAAACCCTGAATCCTAAACACTAGGAATCCATGCGGAGTGGTTCGTCCAGCTATGCGGGTGCCAAAACCCTAGGAGCCTTTTGCAGAAAACAAATCCAACTTTTCTTGCAGGACCGAGCTCCAAGGACTCCCAGGGACGGCAGGGCGCTCGCGGCACACGGCAGTGTGGGACAGCAGCTCCGATCGCATGATCGTGTTCGGTGGTGTGGACGGCATGCAGAACAAGATGGGGGACATCCTCGAGTCTTGGTATCTAGGGATTCGGCCCTCTCTAACGTGAGAAGGGTGCCGAAGTCCCAGTTTAAAGACCACCAAACCACCCTGGACATCTCCCCTGAACCCCAAACCCTGGCCACCCCTAAGCCCTCTGAGACCTTTGGGCCCTAAAAAAACTCCCCAAACTGCAGACCCCAAGCATCTCAAAACATCTCAAACCATCTCTAAACATGCGAAGCTCAGGAGTACGACCGCTCGTCGGACTCCTGGTCCTTCCCACAGGTTGAGGGCCCAGCGGCGCGCGACGGCCACGTGGCCGTTTGGGACGACGCCACTGGCCCTTTTGCTGAGCTTATGGATTCTTTAGACTGGGCTGTTATGTAGTGACTGTGAGTGCCAAGCATTTCGGGGGAATCAGGCGACTTGAGACCCCAAGACGAATTCGAGTTGCTGAAAGCAGATACTCCCAGGCGCCATGCTCATGTGCTGCGGCGTCACGTCGGACTCTGGGCAGAGCTTGGGAGACCTGTGGTCCTACGACGGCACGTGGGCCCAGCTCAGTCCATCCGGAGGCATCACCGCCCGGAGGCGCCTCAACGCAGAAAGCCTCCCGAAACCTGCCAAAGCCCTCAGCCCTAATCCCTGGAACTCGGCACAATGCTTGGGTGTAAGGGCTTCAAAGGGCTCTGGAGTTTAGGGCCCCCGAACAATGTTCCCCTTGCAAATAAAGCCCTGGTGGCCCTCGCTTGCACCGAGAGAAAGAACCCTTCTCCGAAACTCTGAAAAATCTTCTGAGCCCCTCTTGGAGCAATATCGGCTCTTCGAATCTCTTTTGCCCTTTTCGCCCCTTCCCCTTCCTGACAGTCTTCCACACTTTCTACATGTATTGCAGATATATATATATATATATATATCCACACATGTTTTTGGTATTTGGGTTATGACGAAACGCCGCCGCTGAGATGACCATGCGCTCTCGATGATCTTGCCCCATGGTGGGCTCGTTTTGTTGTGCCTTTACACTTCACACACAAGGACACAAAGAGTCGTGCTTTCAGCAGGCCAGGGGGAAGGAGGCGGGGGGCGCCATGGACTCTGTTAAGTTGATCATCAGTCAGCAGTCATCAGGTACGCCTCGGCCGTCTGGGATCCGCAGGCGCGTGCCATGCTGGGCTTCGGGGGAAGAGCGACCCCAGAGACGGCGCTCAACTCCCTGTTCCTGCGGCCTGGCGATCAAGCGTTGCTAGATATGGCTGGCTTTGCAATGCCGGCTTTTGCTAAACAAGTCACGAAAGCTAGCTCTGTGGAGCTGGCGGGAGTTGTCGTTTACCCATGCACTGGTATTCACCTTGTTAAGAAGCTTCCAGGGAAAAAAAGGGTTCCACACCTTAACAGGTCCGAAACCCAAGACTTAAGGTGGGGGTGGGGGGGGGGGCCCCCCCCCCCCCCTCCTTTAAGGTGGTTGCGCGTGGGATAAGGGAGCGCCCCCCCCCTACCACCTTCAGGTCCCCCCCCCCCACAAGGTCCCCCCCCACCCCCCCCCAAGGTCCTCCCCCGCCCCCCACAGTCACCATGCTCTGAAGGTCTGTGGTACTTTGCAGAGGTCGTACTGAACAGAGCGTCCCTGTACCTAAACTTCGTTTGCGACACGGGGTTCCAGCGGGGGAAGCAAGGGGGCTGAAGGAGTTTAGGGCTTCAGATTTCGAGTTTAGGGGTCTTCGATCTTACCTGACTAACCGGTTGAGGCATGTGCCTGAAATACGGAAAAAGCTGCGCCGGCGGCTCCAAGTCCTGCCGACTCGCTGCATGCCACCCCCCTGTGGTGACTAGCTTTCGTAGCCCCTTCTCAAGTTGTAAGCATATTTTTGAGGAGACTCTGAATTTGTTTTGTTGGAAGTGAAGTGGCAAGCAGGGCCAAGCACAGAAAGTCCAGCGACTTGCAGTTCTTCGGACATAGCTTCCCCCGCATCGGTGCCTATAGACCCGAACATTACGGATCTCAGCCTGAGGTATTCCGCGAGCGCCAACAGCTGGAGCGAATACACCGCGTCGGGCACTCCTGCTTTTTTAGGCCCAGGCTGGCGGCTCCGAACGCTGACAAACGGCTACTTCATGTTAATGCTGCGCCGCTTCGCGACCCCGGCCTGGCCTCAGCGGGCAACCCCGGAAATCGCAGCTGTGAAGGTGCTGTCAATCTTGCGGGCTCCAGCTTTTTGCTCGGCTTTTTGCAATCACCACCCGAAATTTGGGAGTAAAACATGAAAGAACAAGGTGAGGTTGAAGGGTGGGGAGGGGGGTGTCCGCCCACTATGGTGGGGTTCAAACGGCCCCTGGTCCTGATGCACGTCTCCCGGACATCGGCTAGGGTTACCCATTCCAAGCAAAACAAGTTGGGAGGGGATTTATCTTCCCCATACACCTACGGCCCGAGGCTTCAGCGGATATTAAGACTACTGGTTTGAATACTAATCTTCATGATTCACCTTGATGGTCTCTCTGGGTGTGAGGGACAGTGCCCTGAGGCGCCACCGCCTGGGACCCCGTGAACAGTCACCTTTACACCTTCGGCGGCTTGGAGCAGCAGGGCCCCAGAGACTCCCTGTGGAGGTTGGATGCGAATATCACCAGCACCTGTGCAGAGTTTTCCGCAGGGCTTGCAGATGTTGTAGGCTCTTTGTTCTGGTGCCTGGCTTTAGATGCCACCTCAGGTACTGCAACTTCCATAAACACCACCAGCAGTTCTTCAACCACCTCACACACAGCTACATCGACAACTTCTTCCTCATTCTCGGAAACTTCATCCTCAAGGAGCAGTACGACACTGACTGCAAAAACATCGACCACAAGCACGAGTACTAAAACGTGGACTCCCTTGACAACAACGTGGACGAAGTATCTCCCTACCCAAAGTGCCACCCGAACACCGTCAACCACCTCCTCATTTTCGGAAACTTCATCCTCAAGGAGCACTGCAACAACATCGACCGAAGTCTACCCTGCCACGATTACTGACAATGCGGGCCTGCTGTTGGGTGACCTCGACACCTCCGAAGGGGAGCTCGCGAGGCAGCTGGTAGCCACGCTGGGCAACAGCTCCAACTCAACGGGTATCCTGGGAAGCACCCTCACGCAGTCGGACTTGGCGACCATTCAGACTCTGGCCTTGCAACTTGGCGTGTCGGGTCGTTTCGGGCCGTTTAGGTTCTGGATGGAGGTTTGGCTGAAGGCTTGATCGCAACTTGAAGCGGCGCCGTTTCATTGCAGACCAGCACAGGGACAGCCTCGCGATCTCCGACATGAGCCGCAACATCACGGTGCAGAGCGCCAGTGCCAGCGTGGAGGTTCCTCCGGACGTCGTTGCCCAGGTGCCAGCGGGGCCCGGTGCAGACAAGAATCATGGAGTTCTACCATGTGTCCTTCTGTGCTTCTTTCTGAGGTGCTCCAAGTACGTGTCGCCCCCCCCCCCCCCAAGTGCTCACAACAGGCTGCAGCAGCTGGCGGCAGCGGGCTGGTGCTGCTCAGCGTCTCGGTGGGCCTTGAAGAGCTCGGGGCTGGGCTCAACGGTTCCGAAGGAGGCGCAGGCGGGAGCACATGCGGGGGCTTCTTTCATGGTTCCTGTCTGAGGGTTTGGGCATTCTAGTCCACTTCTCGTGATTCTCGCGTTTAGTTTTCTGTGGCTTCTCTCCCGGAGGTAATGCTTTGGTCTCGCGGCCCGTGAGCATCACCTTCCGTGGGCCTGATGGCCAGAGGATTCCAATGCCGTCGCTGGCACGGCCCATCGAGGTTCTGATCCTGGGAGCGACCGAAGGCTCCCGGTGTGCTTTCTGGGACGAGGAGCTCCGATGCTCTAAACAACTCTTTCAGCTTTTAGGCGCTAGCCAGCCCCGACAGCAGTCGCTGTAGCCAAACCACAGCAAGTTGGGTTCTCAGGAAGTTTGAGTGTTGAGTTTCGGATCTCCTGGTACGTGTTTGTCCCCTTCTTTGAACCTTCCAACAAGGACACCGGCGCTTGGTCGTCGGAGGGCTTGCGTGCGGTGTCCTTCCGGGACGGGGAGTTGCTATGCCAGACCTCCCACCTCACCGCCCCTCGGCGGGGCTTTGTGTTGTTTGGGGGGCTGTTCTCAAGCTCAACAAGCTCTGAAGAAGCGCTTCAAAACCCTAAATGTCCCAAGAGGGCTAAGCGCTATACCCTCAGCAAACGACCCCCAGCTGCGCCGGAGGTCTTTGGGGCGGTTCTGGAGACCTTCCTCCACGTGCTCCGGTGCTCCACCGCCGCGCAGGTGTTCTCTGCGGAGGGCCTCCAGAACCTCAGCAAGGGCACGGGGGGTGGGAGTCGTAGGGAATCGTGGGATTTGTGGGAGTCGTGGGAACTTGGAGCTTCAGTGTGGGGTCGATTGGCTGCATGCGCTTCCGAGTTGTGTCGCGCAACGGCGCCGGGGGCACAGACGTGGCGTGGCAGCTCCCCAAATTTCGAAGCCAACAGGCACCTGGCCCGGCCATGCTGCTGCGATCATTACCTTCAGCGTTGCCTTGCTGAGCAGAGGGCAGTGGGCATGGTGAAGAAAGTGGCAGAAGCTCTTGTTGTTAGCAAGGAGAAAGTAGATGCTGTAGTCGAGAAGCTAGTCAGTGGTCGCTGCAAGAGTCTTTGGATGTTAGTTTTTTGACGCAGAGTACGAGACGGTGTCCCTCACGCTGCGTGCAAACATGTGCATACGTGCATGTCCTGCTGTATGTTTCAGCCATTTCGCCTTGTCTTTTGGCTATGACCGTTGCCAGCGCTGTGATTACTCCAACGATTGGGAGTGCTGCTGCCTGTGCTGTGCTGAAAGGGGCGCCAGTTTGGTTCCACTTGCCCCCAAGTCTCTCTTCGTCTGCCTGCTGTTGCTCCTGTATGCCCTACGGCTTGACAGAAAGCGGTCGCTGTCCAGGCATGACCGCATGCCCGCATACTGTCACATACTCCAGCCCCGGATAATCCCCTATAATCCTGTTGAATCCCGAAAAGCGGTCTTTAAGCTTCGAAACCCTGCAGGACAAGTCATACTGACCACTTTCTCAAGCTGTGCACCTGGCACCATGGCAGGAAGCAGGTGAAGGCCGCTTTGCTTATCGAGTTGGACGCGGACAAGCAGGAGCAATCCCCTCCCATGCCCTCAGCCCCGAATAGAACATATTCCCAAAATCTAGGCACGATCGGGCATTCTCGGGCACAGTAGAGCTGCGGTGAGGATGCTGCGGACGGCTATGCGGAGGAGGAAGAAGAGGAGGTAAAGGCAGAGAAGGCTGCGGACATTGATTTCGGCAAGAGTCCTGAAGCTTTGAATTCTAGTGACTAGCGCTGTCAGGCTCGACGGGGAGCGCAGGTCGCCCATGCAAGCGGAGAGGATGCCAACGATGGCTGCGCGCAGCAGGCGCTCGCCGAGCGTCTCTGGCGGCTCACAGTCCATGCCCACGTCGGCCGCAACCTGGGTTTAGGCGGGTTTAGGGTCTGCTGCGAATCTGCGCAGTGTAGCCGTGAATCCGTGAATCTTGTAGGATGCCGAGCGCATTTCGAGGGCTTCTGGAAGATGCGAAGGCAGTTGTGATGGGGGCATCAGCTCACTCTAGCTGCAGGGTTTCTGCCACTCTTGGGGCCTTTGGAGCTGGTGACCAAAGCCTTCACTTACAATGCCCCAAAGAGCGTCTTAAGGAGAGTTCCAAGCGCTCCGGAGGGGCTCCAAGAATCCTCCGCAAGGCCCCGACACTCGATGCTAGCCCCCCCCCAACCCTAGCCCCTACAAACCCTAGTGATTTGAGCCCCTGAATCATGGGTATCCCAATAACTTCCGAGAGAGAGGCCGCCGAGCTAGTGAAGAAGAGCGCGTTGGCAGCGGCGGCAGACACCAGCTTCAGAATGATCAGGGATGCTCGGACCTCGGTTGCCCCCCCCCCCCCCCCCCCCTCACAGAGAGAACCCCTCCAATACAAGCTGGAGAGTAATGAATTAAGGAAACTAGAGGAAAAACAAAAAACACAAAAACACATCCCGACAATCTGCCTGGGGACGACGTGGGATCTGAACAAGCTCACGAACTGCATGGTGATCCAGGGATGCATGGCCCACATCAGGAGAACCACGCGCTTGCACCAGAAGCTGTTCAAAAAGTTCTTCGCAACCAAGGACTTGCTTCTCCTGTAGTCCGTGGTCTGGTCCATCCGCACGAAGTCCTCGATGGTCACCGACATGCTGGCTGTGGTTGAGTGCTGCAGGCGCCTCGGTACCCAACCCCAATCCCCCAACCCACCACCCGACCCTGCCTCCCTGGGCCCTCCCTCCCCCCCCCCACACCCTCCCGCACACCCTCGAAAGCCTCGGGACGCTTGCCGAGGCGGCCTCACGTTAGTTTAGTCCGAATCTTATTTTCAGATGAGTGGCGAAGTCCGTCCCGAACCTGCCAAAACCTTTTTGCACCCTGAGAACCGCTGCAACTACGCGTTGAATCGCAGAGCTGTCTCCTGTTTTTAAAACAGGCGAGCTGCGCGTGGCCCACCAGCCTCTCCGCTGCACGGATGCTCTGACGGTCGGCATGACTCTTGTAGGCGTGCAGAGAGCTGATGCAGCGGTTGATCGTGACCACCTGAGGGATTTGTCGGACTCTGAGGGGCTTTTTGGCTTTTTTGAGGGATTTCTTCGAGCATTTTCGAGCTGAGTCCGCCTTGGCATTCATCAACTCCGTCAGCAGGTCGTCGGGGATGTCGAACATCTGGCTAAGGAGCCACGCGAAAGAAGACGCCAAGCGCGCCGCGGCCTGAGAACGCCGTCTGGGAGAGCTTGCAGCACGCAACTTGTGCAAAACCTCTGCTTTTCTGTGCTCTTAACAACTGCCAAGAAGCCTGACGGCACACGCTGGGGCGGGTTGCACAAAAAAAGCAGACGGGTTCAGGGCTTACAGGCAGTTTGCATGATTGCATGAGCCGTAGTTTAGAACAGCGCCTTCATCCCATAGATTTCATCGAGATTTCCGAAGAGTTCTTTCCAATGATCTTGGGGCGACTTCGGAAAGAGCTCTGAGGCTCATCGTGCTGCTGGCCATGGTGCAGCGGCGGCAGGCCCCCCTCCCCCCCCCCCCCCCCCCGATAGCTTCAAGTCAGATGGGGAAAACGCCAGGTCCTGATCCGGCGATGGACGGAAGAGGCCAAAGAGAGGCAGCTCAGGAGAATCGGGTGAAAGACTCGGATTTCGAGCCATACGAGAGTATTGGTTTGTGGGATTCTGAAACGATGGAGTAGCGAAATGTGGGAGAGCGGAAACAGCGCAGAAGCCGAATTCGGCCGTGAGGAGCTGGCGTCGCCGGCGTTTCATCTTCTGGCTGATCTGGCTTCTCCGTGTTCTTTTGTGAGGGTCCTTAACCCCCGCACTGGGACCCTTGCTCCTGTTAGGGGGTGCACAAAAGCACACAAGATGGTTCTGCCTCGTCATTCCTAGGGCATGTGTCTTCGCTGGACTGCAAGGTTCCTGTTTAGGCTGGGGCTTCCGTCTCCGTGGGTTGAAGCGTGGGGCTTCCGTCTCTGTCCGAGGTTTCCCAATGTTGGCCTCTCGATTCTGTACGTACTCGGCTTCCTGGCCAACGTGAGCCAAGCAGATGGGGCCAAGTGGATCGAAAGAGCCTTCGCCGCGACATTCGATGGCCCCTAAACCCGAAGCCCGAAACCCGAAACCCTAAACACTTAACCCTAAACCCTAAACCCTCAACCCTAAACCCTAAACCCTCTCGCGTGGCAGGAAGCTCCACAGCGGGGTTACGCAGGGCTCTCCTTTTTGCCACCAAGCAGCAACACAAAACAAGACAAGAAAGAAGGTGACTTATTGTATCTTTGCTTCTACTGTACACTATACATAATGACTTCTAAAAATAACTTGTGGGTGTGGCAGGACTCCTGTGTAGACCTTAAGCCAAACACCGCACATGACTATGAGGTTGAGGCAAAAGGGCAAAAGGGCATCAGCATCTTAGGGCTCTCACTGGATCCTGCGGGGATGCTTTCCCGGCAGGGTCAAGTGTAGCAGTGTAGCCTCTTTGAAGCAAAATGCTTCGAATATGGGTCCGGCCTCAGTCCGGCCTGGAGCACTTCCTGGGACTGCGCAGGCACAGGAGAGTCTGGGTCCTGAACGAGAACTGTCTCAACGTCAACAACAAACCAAACGCACTCGTCAGCAAGAGACTGCACTAGCTTCAAAGCTTGCTTTTCCAGGGAATTTTCAGGCTTACGAAGTTCAGCGTCTCTAGTGAAACCCCAGTCTCTAGGACTTTGGTCAAGACCGTAAGCTGCCTTTTTCACTATGAAGAAAGTACCTACAGGCACGACTCCTTTGGACACGAGGATGCGTGGGGGGTTTAGGGCATCATGCTCGGCTGGGTTCTCGCTCTCCGGTGCGTCCCAAGCTGCGTGCAAATCCGGGCAGTAGGATGCGCAACTTCGTTCGGACCTTTGGAGTCCAGGGGTTCAACAAAGACAAGCTCAGCCATTTTAATGGGGCGGTTTTCGGCATCAGCTTCATCCTCCAGCTTAGCCTTTCTTCCGCAGCGCTCAAGCAACTCACGACCTGCAGCATGGCTGCCACGCGTACGCGTGGGGTACAACTCATCACCGAACCACTCATCTAGAGCGCGATCCTCTTCACTAGGATCTACAACTGAAGGCTCGTAGCCCTCGCAATCACTTGGGATGCTGGGCTCGTTCGGGCACTCGGTCTGAGGACCTCCCCGGCTTATGTCGAGCTCCTCACAAACCTCACCCAACACAACACTCCCCCGAAGTTCACTCGAGGCATCCGCGCCAACATCTGGCATCAGCGAACCCTCCCCCGAACTCGGAAGCTCATGACACTTACTCCCTCGCTGACCATAAATTCCAACTCGGGGCACTCCAGGATCGCCATCGCCGTCCAACGCTGGTTGATTGTCGGGCTCGGCCTCAACCTCCCTAGGTTCATCTGGCTCATTTCCCAAATCCACCTGACTAGTGCGCTCTTCATCAGGATTTGCCGGAGTTTGGGACTCTGCCAACAAGGGCCGACCACACGCGCGTCAACAGGAACTGTGTAGACTGCTGTCAATAGGTAACGCCTACGATGACTGAGTTTTTGTACGGACCTGGGCAATGAAGCGACAATACAAAGGCCTGTGGTGCGCGGACTCGTCTATGTTGCCTTTGGGCAGCGGTCCTGATCACACAATCTCTGCGTGTCCTGAATGCATGGTGGCCAATGTCCATTCTTTACATGTGTTTCAAAGCTATTCTTGGAAAGTTTGAGTTTAGGGTTCCGAGACACAACGGCCTCAAGCTGAGCACACACAATGCGCAACGCACCTGGCGCCCACGCCGCCCATCGACCAGACTCCCCAACAGTGGATTGGTTTGGATCTCCCACTCCCTCACCCTGCCAACCCGGACCCCTCACACTTATGGCCAAGCGGTCCTTGACCCCCATGAATTTGCTTTAACCCCAGCAATCGCTCAACTGCTAGTTAACTCGGAGTGGCCCACATTGAAGGGTATCCATCTGGGGCCTCATGCTTCATGACCTCAGGGCTCAGGTACGACTGATGAGGGTCCTGGGGATCTTCAAACAACACCCAACGTCGACTCCTGAACGTGTAGGTGCCGGCATCCCCTGCCAAGGTGCTTTCCACTGCCAACAATGCCAACATGTACGTGCGATGCAAAAGGACATCAGATTCATGCACCTGCGACTGCTGAGGGAGTCAAACCGGGCAAACCATGAACATGGGGGCCATTGCGAGCTCGAAGTGGGGGTGGACCTCCCTCCCGAAACCGACACCTAGATTTGGAACCTCGAGAAAGGGCCACAGGGCGGACCCCCGAGCGCCGCATCGACTTTCCCCGAACAAACTAACTCAGGTACCTGTACGTGAGCGGGTTCATCAGGTCTTCTTTTAGGTCGACCGACGCACAAACACCTCCTGCAGCTGTCACGGCATCCTCAATCTGCGACTCTCTCCAGCAAACAAGTTAAGAACTACCTTCCCAGCCTTTTTGATCTTTCGCCTCAACCTACGATTCCAGACTGAGGTCTCATGTGACTGCTCCGGCCACGCTGCGACTGCAGACCTGACATCATGTGGGATTTGGGGCCACATGCGTCCTGCAGCAACATGCAAAGCCGAACCAACATCCCCATCAACCCGCGCTTCATAAATCAACTTGTCTAAAAGCTCAATTTCGGTGTTGCGCGCCGTGCGGATTTCGAGTGTTCGTGCACACAGGTCACTGGCGAAGCTCCACATGCGATGTTGCTCAATTTTCGGCAATCAGCTTGTGTGCAAGTTTCTGAAACTCGGGGGCGTCCGGAGGTAGTGAGAACTTCAATCTTTCCGCGTTGTGGGTGAGCTAGCGCACACCTTCGGTCTGACTAGTCTAGCCGGCGTCCAAGCTCGATGAGCTGTCTTAGGGAAACGATCGGCTCAGTCTCTTGGTCAGTGATAAGTGTGCCTAGTGAGTTCACCCATAGCATTGCGGAACCTGATGCGAGATTCTCTTCATGTCTCTTAAGGGCGCTCAAGTCCTCGCCCTCAAGTTTCGGTCTAAGACACGCGCTTGCGCCGGAGCCGATCAAGCCATACTTGCAACTAAGGCCCCGGCCATCCGGCACGCCCAGATGGGCTGCGTCAGATGGCTCGAAACTCCCGCGGTCGTTTTGGAACAATTCTGGCACCAACAAGCTGTAGGAACCGGTTCGTGGCCTCTTGCATCATTTGAGCGCTTGATGCTCCCAGCTGCCCCTCCCCCGAACCTGCGCTGGTGGCTTGGGCGGACTCCGTGGCGCTTGCGGCCTCAGCCTTCTTTGCGCTCTTGGTTCCCCCTTTACCCTCAACCTTGGCAGTTTCAGGGTTTTGCGGGGGCATGCATCTTTCATGTGACCAGTGCCACTACATAGAAACACCTGCCAGTTCCCTTTCCTATGGGGGCATGCGTAAACTGACATCTATCAGCACAGTGACACCCAGCTTCAGTCATCCGGTGCTTGCAACCGGCTTAGGATTGCCCTTTCCTCACCTACCGCCACCCTTCGCCTCAGCACCCTTCCCCTTGGACTCCCCACCGCCCGGCGTGAGCAACCTTCTGTTTCTTGGAATCCTCACTCAATGCTGCAGCCTCGCGCTCGGCCAACAGAAGCTCAGCGTACTTACTGACATCCTGGTTGGGAACTTGGTCAAGCAAGTGGTTTGTCCTAAAGGTTTGAAGACGAAACAACGAAGAGGTGGACAAATTCGGAGGATGGAGACTGTCTAGACCTTTCACCTGCAACCTCGGGTCTGGGAGATTTAGGCCAACCTCAGTCGATCGGACAATCCAACGACGCCATTTCCTGATAGCCTTGACCGCGGCATGCGCGGTTGCGCTGCTTCCTGGGTGTGTAATGTAGTTAAGCAGCGCTTCCCCCAGGTTGGTATTTACACATGGTCTTGTACACGATGGCAGCGGTCGAAAACAATCTAGACGTAACTATGTCCTCACGCAAATCTGCACCAACACATTTCAGCAACATGGGCACTGCTTTCTGCTCAACCCTACTGAATCTACCGGTTTGGTGAAGTTCAACGAGGGCTTGGGGGTAAATGCCAAGTCGGTCGAGAGGTGACGCGAGTAGCCAACGCGTGTACAAATGTTTCGCCTCACGCAACGCATCTCCCCGTTGCCAGCCAATCACCTGCAGTAATACTGGAGTTAGTAGGATCATACTTGCCAAGCTGAGGAAGCTCAGGTACATACTTGATGGGTTCTTCAGGTTGAGCTCTAAGGCCTGGAAGTGGGTGTGGCCTAATTTCAGTACCTCCCGGGCTCACTGGCTACTTGAGCCCACTGCTGACACCCTAAGGCCTTTCGAGCTGGGCTACCTCTACCTCTGTCCTGACCCCCACTGAGCACGGACTGCTTTCTTAAGAACTCGGGAATGGGTTTGGCTCACCGGGATGCAAGGCATCTTGATACAGCTGAACATAATTCTCACACCCAAAGTTACCCATGTCAATAGCTCCTGACAAGCTTGCAGCAGCTCCTCCAGATTGACGAGGCCTTTGAGGGCTTTGACTGCGAGTCCTAGGCTCTCGTCCTCGCCTTGGGTTTTATCGGGAGCGACGGGTACGAAGGGTGACCTGGGTTCAAGACCTCAGCTACGGACACGGCTCTTGCCGGTCGTGTTGGGGCCTGTTTCTCAAGATTTAATCCTTCGGGTGTGATTCGCCAGGCATACTTTGTTCAACCACACCCGCGCCTGGAGCCTGGGCCTGGCTGGTGCGCCAACGAACTGAGGAGGAAACACAGCCTTCGGACGTGGCTCAGGAACACTACTTTGACGGATTTTTGGTTAGGAAACTTATAACTCCAGTTATAAACGCATTTATAAATGGCAGCGAACTCCCATTTAGCCGGCATTTATAAATCATTTATAAAACTCCCAGCGAGGCCCGGATGTGGGGGTCCAGCGAGGTCCGCGGGATGTCCAAAAAACGACATACAGGGTTGAAAAAAATTGTATTTTTCCAAAAAAAATTCGGGCTTTGCGGGCGACACTTTTTGGAGCTACGGTCTGCACGTTTTCAGTTTTGTCACATTCCAAAAACTTCCCATGATGAATCAAATTGAATCACATGAATCATCACTTAGGCGACACACGCGCGCACACACACACACGCACACACATTGCGTCGCACATGACAGGATTTCTAAATCTAAGAAAGAATCCAACACCTAACCAAGTGGGTTTACAAACCGACTTTGTACTTGCCATTCACCTATAATAGAGATGGCGTGGGCCAAAGGCAATGTTTGGCAGCAACAACAACAACGACGACGACGACGACGATGACAAGGAGAATAAGCATAAGAATAATAGCAACAAGAACAGCAAGAACAACAGAACAATAAGAACAACAATAATTTTTATAAGGTTTAGGGTGTGCTGCATGGGGACGGGGAACTCAAGCCTATTGCGACCCTATATTTATATTTGTATATATGATCCCCCCCCCCCTCACCTTCCCTCCCCTCTCCTCCCTCCCCCCGCCCCCTGTCCGCTGTGGTGTGGTTGCGGGTTGGTTAAAAGGTTTAGGGTTTTAGGGCTTAGGGTTTGAGAGTTTAGGGTTCAAGGTTTAGGGTTAGGGTTTAGGGTTTAGGGTTAAGGGTTTAGGGTTTAGGGTTTAGGGTTTAGGGTTTAGGGTTTAGGGTTTAGGGTTTAGGGTTTAGGGTTTAGGGTTTAGGGTTTAGGGTTTAGGGTTTAGGGTTTAGGGTGCAGGGTTCAGGGTTCAGGGTTCAGGGTTTAGGGTTTAGGGTTTAGGGTTTATTTAGGGTTTAGGGTTTATTTAGGGTTTAGGGTCTAGGGTCTAGGGTTCAGGGTTCAGGGTTTAGGGTTTAGGGCTTCAGGTTCAGGATTTAGGGTTTAGGGTTTAAGGTTTAAGGGTTAAGGTTTAAGGTTTAAGGTTTAGGCGGCTGGGGGGGAGGGCATACGGGGGAGGGGGGGGAGCTGGCGAACCGAGAAATATATACACATATAAACACTGAACCTTTATAAACCCAGCCACCTCCCTTCCAAACCCCACCTCACACTCCCACTCGTCCCAAACCCTAAGCCTCAAACCCCAAGTCCTGAACCCTATACCTGAAACCCTAAGACCCTAATACCCTAAAACCCTAAGTCCCAAACCCAAAAACCCCACAACCCCGAAGCCATAAACCCTAAAACCAAAAACCCTGAAAACCAAAACCTTAAACCCTATATAACCCGAAGGCCTAAATAACAGGGATCGGGGGGAAACCAAAAACCCTGTACCTTAGAAGCCCCTCCTTGAAGAAGGGGAGGCCGCCTCAACCACGATAAATCCTGAACCCCAACCTCGCTCCCGCCATAAACCGGGCGCGGGCCGGTCCCAAACTCCCACACGCCCACCCCTCCACACGCCCACCCCCTCCCACCCACCCTGGCCTGGGCGTGACGCGGCCCTGACACGCCCTGACGCGGCCCTGACACGGCCCTGACACGGCCCTGACACGCCCTTGACACGGCCCTGACACGGCCCTGACACGGCCCTGACACGGCCTGACACGGCCCTGACACGGCCCTGACACGCCCCTGACACGCCCCTGACACGCCCCTGACACGGCCCTGACACGGCCCTGACACGCCCCTGACACGCCCTGACACGACCCTGACATGACCCTGACACGCCCCCGACACGGCCCTGACACGCCCCTGACATGCCCCGTTTTCGCCGTGTTTGCTTTTCCAACCTCCCCATCTGGGCTCTAAAAATGGGGTTGGGAATCGTGGTTTTGGGTTGTTTTGGGTTTCAGGCGCCTTTCCCAGACCCCCGTTCTGGAGCCGAGAACGTGGGTCTGGAAATGGCGGTTTTCGTTGGAAGACCGGTTCCAACCCCCCCCCATCTGGACTCCAAAAAAGGGGGGTTTTGGGTTATTTTGGGTTCCAGGCGCCTTTCCCAGACCCCCGTTCTCGAGCCGAGAACCTGGGTCTGGAAATGGCGGTTTGCGTTGGAAAACCTGTTTCACCCCCCTTTCATCTGGGCTTTAAAAATGGGGTTGAATCGTGATTTTGGGTTGTGGGTCCAGGCGCCTTTCCCAGACCCCGTTCTGGAGCCGAGAGTGGGTCTGGAAATGTCAGTTTTCGTACTTGTTCCAACCCCACCCCCCTGGTCTGGGCTCCAAAAATGGGGGGGGGGGGATCGTGGTTTGGGGTTATTTTGGGTTCCAAGCGCCTTTCCCAGACCCTCTCGTTGAGAACCTGGGTCTGGAAATGGCGGCTTTCGTCGAAAAACCTGTTCCAACCCCCCATCTGGGCTCTAAAAATGGGGGTTGGGAATCGTGGTTTTGGGTTGTTTTGGGTCCCAGGCGCCTTTCGCAGACCCCCGTTCTCGAGTCGAAACCTGGGTCTGGGGCGGCTTTCGTTGGAAAATGTTGGAAAACCTGTTCCAACACCCCCCCCATCTGGGCTCTAAAAATGAGGTTGGGAATCGGGGTTTCAGGCACCTTTTCCAGACCCCCGTTCTCGAGCCGAGAACCTGGGTCTGGAAACGGCGTTGGGAATCGTGGTTTTGGGTTGATTTGGGTTCGAAAGCATCCGTACCAGACCCCCCATTCTAGATTTGGGGGATGGGGTTCAGGGTTTGGGGTTTAGGGTTTGGGGCTGCATGGGGGTGGCGAAACCCCTTGCATGGGGGTGGCGAAACCCCAAGCCTAAAGCCCTATACCCATACAAACCTTAAGCCTTCAACCCGAAAAAAACCCTGAGCCCTAGACCATCCCATGCAAAATTTGTTATATTCACCCTCCAAGAAATCAAGCCCCTGTTTTCCTTGTAGATAAACCTTGTCCCTAATGAGGGTTTAGGGAGGGTTTAGGGCAGAGCTGTTAGCAGGGGGCGGGGGGGGGAAGGGGAGGGGGGGGGTACGGGGGGCCGAAGGGGGGAGAGCCCCAACCTAAAACAAGAACTATCATAATAAACATAGTGACACTTTAGGCGTCACGGGCGAGCCTCGTGGTGCATACAAAAGTTAAAACAAAGGCATCACGGGCGAGCCTCGTGGTGCACCATGGGCAAGCCACACGCGTGTTAAAAGACGCACAAAAATGTGTAAAACAAAGTGTCAAAACCGAGCACGGTGAAGCCAAAAAAATGACCAGGTGGAAATGTCAAAACCGAGCACGTTGAAGCAAAACATGGACGACGTGGAAATTTCAAAACATGCTCGTGGGGCATTTATAATTACTTAGCGAGGATTTATAAACGACTTGCAAATGATTCTAAATCAGTTCACAAATAGTTAGTATGTGCACTTGTAAATACTCTAAATGAATACAAGCGTTTGTAATTGCCCCTGCATTTATAATTGCAGTATAAGTATGTAGTGCACTTATAAACCCACTTGGCATGGTTATAACTTGACTTAGCTGGTTTATAAATCAGGTTATATTTGACCAATCCAAAAAACCATCAAAGTAGAGCTTGCACCTGCACACGATGACGATGCTTTGGAGCTCTCCAGCTTATCCATTCGCTCCACCAAAGACTGCTGGCCTTGCATCAGGACGGGTGGCATTGACGCCAGAGCGCCAAAGGGATCTGTAGCCACTGGCTGTACTGGAACCAGTTCGCGATCATCTTCCGCTTTGATAGCTCCACATTCCACGGCCGAAAACTCGCTGTAACCTGTCACGCTAACATGTCCAGGTGAGGCTTCTCCGGCAACTTGTGCCTCCGGTTCCTGTGGCTGTGTCGCCAGCGCAACAGGGTCAATGCGAAGTACTTCTCCTGAACACGGAGCTAGTTCGTGAGGCACATCATCCCTCGCTGTGCTTGCTGCGGCCTCAGGAGTTTCCTGGGCTTGAGGTCCAAGCTCAGTTCAGATTCATCGCCTTCCCTTGTGGCTGCACCTCTTTCCCCAGGGTCCTCCTGCACGACCTGTTGTGCACGGCGAAACTCCTGCTGTGCCGCGTCTGACCAAAAGGGGTTCGGGAAGTTTGCCATGGCAAGGTCTACTACTTAGCGTTGGGCTCATAACCCTCGCGTGAGCAGGAAGCTCCACAGCGGGCTTACGCAGGGCTCTCCTTTTTGCCGCCAAGCAGCAACACAAAACAAGACAAGAAAGAAGGTGACTTCTGGTATCTTTGCTTCTACGGTACACTATACAGAACAACTTCTAAAAATAACTTGTGGGTGTGGCAGGACTCCTGTGTAGACCTTAAGCCAAACACCGCACATGACTATGAGGTTGAATGCTTCCACACTCGCGACCCTAAACCCTAAATTTGCCTTGCAAGGGCTTCTCATGGCTTTTTTATGGGGCTTTTCCCCAAAGCTTCCTGGCCAGTGGATCCTTTAAGAAGTTGCTTTGAGACCCTTTGCTTGCAGCTGAGGCACCGGGATGAGTCTGTTACAGGACCTCGTGCTGAAGCCGCTTTGCCTGGTGGCTGGGCCATGAAAGATTTCTTGAGAAAGGCGGACATCTGAGTCAAAGATCTTGATAGAGAGAGAGAGAGAGAGAGAGAGAGAGAGAGAGAGAGAGAGAGAAACAGATGTGTCGGTGCCGAGGTTGATGTAGCTGCTCGTAGCCGTAGCTGTAGCCCAGCACCCCCGAGGCTCTGTTGTACGCCACGGTCGCCAGCACGGTCCTGTGCTGCAGCCCAAGCGTCGGGGAGAAGATCTTGAACCAGTGGGTTCGGCAAAGCGACAACGAGTCCGGGAACGAGGACCTGCAGAACGACTGCAACCAGCTCAGGAACGAAGACTTCGGGGCAACTCGGCGCCCCAGACTCTAAACCTCAACCCCGTCTAAAGGATGAGAGTCGAAGCCCATCTTCTTCCCTGGACGCGCGTGTTGACGCCTAGCATTTCTTCCAGGAACCTGAAATCGCCCAAATTGTGGTTTCACCTTCGCCCCCCCCCCAATCCCCACCCCCCCACACCCCCCCCCCAGACCCCCCCCCCCCCCCCCCCCCCCCCCCCCCCCCACCCCCCCACCCCCACGCCCCCCAGCTTGAGCCCAAAAAGACGGGAGTTAAGAGGTCCTTGGTTCACACGAAGTATCATAAATGGCCAACTCTTTTTTAAGATACCAATTTAGATACGAGTACCCTTTCTTCTGCGGCAGAGAAGGCGCACAGAGCGCCTTCTCTGGGCCCAGGGGGGTGGTCCCCCTTTCTGTTGCTTTCTCGGTTGGTCAGGGTCGTTTGTGTCAGGCCCCGCCAGGGTCTCACGCTCTTCGGCCGGCTTGTGAGGAAGATGACACACTAGATGCAATGTGTATCGACTCGGTGTGAAGAGTCATTCCTTCTCCGCGTATTTGCGCATGTACAGACACGAGGGCACCCTTGTGGCCGTGACTGGCGCATATCTCTTGAGGAACGAAGATGTCTTCGTTACCATACCCAGGAGTTCGCTTCAGGAGCTGCACAGATCTCTTGAGGTCAGATTTCGTCAGAACTGGCATGGGCAATCTTTAGGAAGGCGAACCGCCGTGTACAGCTGGAGCAATCTCTGAGAGGGCTGCTGTTTCTTTTTGCATATCCTCCAACGTTGGAGGTTTAGACCTTCTGTTTCCGCACTCCACCAACAAGGAGTAGAACGGCTGTGCCGTCGGCATGGAACCAGGGTTCCGAGTAGCTATACCCAGGCTTCCTTCAAAAAAGGAGTCGCGCGGGTCGGGGGTAGGATGGGGTAGGTAACCTTTAACCTGTTTGGAAGATTATATGAAATCCTACTCTATATAAGAAGGTTAACTTTTTGGGCTAGGGTGTTCAGTGAGGACGATTCAAGCTAGCAGCATCGTCTTCGTCCTGAACCCTAAACCGCCGAAACCTCGAACTTGAGCCTCAACTCTTTACCATTCCAGGACCTGGAAGCTTCAGCATACTGACCAATCTAAACACCGCCACCTTTACCAAAGTGCCGCCTTGCACCTCCCGACCTGCATTCTAAGCGCCCATCACGGTCTCTTCCCTGACCATGCGAGTGGGGGGGGGGTGTTATGGGGCAGGGGGGTTGGTCACCTTGGTCTGAAACTTGCAGCGGAGGCCGCGCACTTGGTTGAGAAAGTGCTGTTGCTCCGTTCCAGAACAATGATAATAAGAATAAGAAAAATGATGATGTATGCCTTTTTGCTCTCAGACATGTGTTCCCGAATGCTCTGCAGAAGGGTTCTCGTTTTAAGGTTGGGGGTCCGGGGGTCAGGAGGTGCCCAAACGTCGTTGTTCGTGTCGTGTCATGTCGTATCGTGTCTTCGTCTTCGTGTCGTGTCCTTGCGTCGTGTCCTCGTGTCGTGTCCTCGTGTCGTGTCTTCGTGTCCTGTCTTCGTGTCGTATCGTGTCCTTGTGCCATGTCTTCGAGTCGTGTCTTCGCGTCATCCTCGTGTGGATCCTATCAGGTTTTGCTCAAATTCTCCACCGCCAGCGAAACGAACCCCAGGGATCCATTCAGCGTGCCCTCTGTTGCACAAAAAACACGCCGTGTAATTTGTGTCAGCGCCAAAGCCCTCGAGGCCCTAAGCCCGACCTCGACCTGAAGACCCCGACCTAAAAAAAAGCCCTGGGACCTCTGCTTGCAGTGATGCCCCGGCTTCTGCTGGTGTACGCTGGTGTGCGAGGTGTCAGTCATGTCATGTTTTGTGCTTGTCCTTGGGACGCCACCTTTGTGCCTCTCGGTTCTCAGCTCAGGAAATACCTGGCTTGTTTAATTATTCGAGGAAGACCAGGGGGTGAGCAAGTTTGCCAGAAAGGCTTTATGTAGAAATGGCTCTAAGCTATGCTCATCGTACATGGGTTTAGGGTTAGAGAAGGTTTCGGCGCACGGCGTCCCCCGATCTTCTGCACGTGCAGTTTTTTTCACGGGAGGCTGGCAAAGGGGCAATCGGCAGGAAAGAACATGGTCTTTTGAACCTCGCTTGGTTTCCGACATCTGCAGGAGTTAGACGCAAAAAATCCGTCTCCTTGGGGCCAGCCTCCTCGCAGTCCATGCTCCAGCTTCAGACGCCCCTTTGCGGCGCGATGTGCGCTGTGCGATTTGCGATGGTGACGATGGCTGCGGCCAACAGCTGGGACATGGTGGAGCCAAATGGCCCGGCTGCCCGCAGTCTCTTGGGACCGCAAAAAAAAGCAGTGAAGAGAGGCTCTGCCTATGATAAGGGTAGCGTCTTCGAAGCGGGAAAGCTTAGCGCTTTTCTCAGTGTGGCCTAGAGGTTGGGGACTTCTGCAGTGGCTGCACTTTTCTTGGGCAAAGAGCCCTCTGTGTGTGAGAGCTGTTTTCTCCACCAAAAGATGCCCAAAAACCGTGAGCAACATTGACCCAGGCGGGCACACGATGGTCTGGGATTCAGGTGCCGACGGTGCTGGTGAAGGCTCGCGCTGGACTCTGAATCTCTGTCTGAGCTTCCGCTGGCTTGGGGGGGGCTCCTAGGCTCTTAGTGCGTCTTCGAGCAAACGCCCGGACTCCCCATTTTCCACAACAAGCTTGTCTGGTTGCTTCGCGGCTTCATGCCCTCCGTGCAACAGCACCTCCAAAGCCGCAAGCCTACAAAGCCAGAGTGAACTCTAAGCGCAAGTATTTATTTCGGGGTTGAGACCTTCTTCGGATTTGAGGGGAGTTGGGTCCGAAAAACTTGGGGTCCTTTCTACTTCTTTTTCCCCAGATAGCTTTAGCTACTAGGGGTTCTAAATAGGGCCTTTCGCGTCCGCAGCCGGCGCAGCGGGCGCAGCGACATGCAGCCATGCAGGTGGCGTGCAGGAGGGGGTGCTGGTGTGGGGCAGTGGAGGGGGCGCAACGGCATGCAGGCATGCAGGCGTGCAGGCGTGCAGGCGTGTAGGCACGCAGGGGGCAGGAAGCATGCAGGAGGGGGTGCTGGTGGCTTGTAGGTTGTAGGTGGGGCAGTAGGGAGTGCGGAGTCCGCGGCCGGTGGTGTTAGAAGTATTGATCAGATCAGCATTGTATCCACAGTGATGCGTGAGACATTGCTATGACTCATTGACTTTGGCTCAAGGTGCAAAACATTGGAGACTCAAGTGATTGATGCACAGCTTGCTTTGGTGCTTGTGATTGTTGAGCTGAGTGATTGCAGACCTGAGATCACACTGAACATTGTTCTTGTAAAATTTCATGGTAGCGGAGCTTTGGGCGAAGCCCAGGGCGTCCGAGTAGAAATTGTTCTAGATCAGTATGGCAACCTTTGGTAATTTCCAAGGATTAGGTGGAGAAATCAAGTTGTTTCATCCGCCCGTTTTCCATGGAGATTCAGACAAGTGGGAAGATTGGTCGTGGCAGCTTAAGTCTTAAAATGAACACTTTTAGGTTTTTGAATTAAAATATTATCATTATAATATTCTTCTTTGAAAAATACATTAGATATAAGTTTTTTTTTTTTTGAGGACCGAGACAGTCACCGTCATTGTCAAGCCAGGCAACACCATCACCATCGGCTAAAGACATTGCCTGGAAAAAAATTTGATGATTGCAACCCTCTTTGGTCATCTCGGATGTCGAGCATTTGAAGCGAAAAGACAAATGAGGCCTCACAGTGATCTGGGTGATTGCATGTCTCTGATTGACAGTTCCGATTGATTTCGTATCTTCCCTCGTTCGAATACTCGATTGTTTTCACTCCTTATGGCTCAACTGAGTACAGATCTGATTGAGATGTGGCGCAGCAAGAATTGCTGAGCCAAGGACTGTGTTGGAAGTATTGATCAGATCAGCATTGCATCCACAGTGATGCATGAGACATTGCGATGACTCATTGACTTTGGCTCAAGGTGCAAAACATTGGAGACTCAAGTGATTGATGCGCAGCTTGCTTTGGTGCTTGTGATTGTTGAGCTGAGTGATCGCAAACCTGAGATTACACTGAACTTTGTTCTTGTAAAATTTCAGGTGGAGGGGGCGCAGCGGCATGCAGGAATGCAGGAATGCAGGCATGCAGACATGCAGGCATGCAGGCGCGCAGGATAATTGCCCTATCAATCCCAGGAAGGGGGCCTGAAACAAAAGCGCGACGGGAGGAAGCAGAGAAGCCCAAGTCTCGAAGAACAGGGGTAGGACCGAAGAGAGGATTGGCTGAGAGACAAAACACACCGCCGCCAAGATCAAAAGGCTGAAAGAAAAACACGTACGCAGGATAACAACACCGAGCGCCGCTAAACACGTGCTAAGGAACCGTCCGTTGCTCCAATTCGCAGAGGACAGGCTTTAAGGTGGGAGTATCAGGGCCATCGATCTGTTTGTGGGAGAGATGGAGGATTGCAGTGACAAGTGGTTGTAATGCGAGGACGTAGAGCAGAAGTCAAACCAAGAAGATCCAAAAAGAGGAGGGAGCGCAGTTTTGCCGGGCCTTGCCAGGCTGGCTCACGATATGGAGCTTCGCCGACGGGGATAGAAGCAAATGGAAACAGAAAATTGAAGGAGGCGCGGCGCAGTCAGGTCAGTCCAGCACGTCCTCGTCAGGTCGCGAAGGAGAAGGAGGACAAAAAGGAGAGGAGAAGGCGCAAGAGGAAAAAGTGCAAGACGATCAAAAAAGATGGAGGAGGCGTCGGAGTGAAACTGGAAGGGAACAAGCCTAGACCCCGTTTTCGAAGGTCCAAAGGTCTCGACACTCGAGCGTCAAGTTCAAGCGACGGCGCAGTGGAGTTGGACGAGGATCCGTTTTTTTTTTTTTTTCTGGACACCCAAGGACCGCTAAGCAGACCTTGAAGGGCGAAGAAAGTGTTTGGCCTACGGGGTAGGCGAGCGGACGGTGACAAAGCCGACGCAAAAGAATCACTGACGCCTTGCGCAGCAGCCGCTTTAGTCACTATAGTCTGAGGGGGTCGGATCCTGCGCAGCCTGGATGTCCTCGTACAGCGGCTCAAAGCCATCGATGGTATCCAAGCGCTCCACTTTGGATCTTGCCGAACGGATAGAGATCAGCAAGGAAAAATCCAGCAGCCTTTTCTTTCCAGCCGAAGCCAGTGCAGCTCTGGCAGAGACAAGATGCGAGAGGAAAGTAAATTGGGGGATGCAACACCCGTGGCAGCGTGAGGCGTGGAAAGGGAAGGGAGGAAAAGGTGCCCCACGAGGCCAGGCCCTGAGTGGGACAAAGGAGAGGAGAAGGGAGGTGGAAAGAAGAAGAACCAACGAGGTGCGGGCCTCGTGTGCCAAAAAAGACAAGATAAGCCAGACCCACTTTTGCGGACATGCTTTTCAAGGAATATGGCTTCAGTCCCCTGTGTCGTTGACACAAATCCTTGCAAGGACGAAGACCTGAAAGACGAACGTAGCGAGTGTAGTGTACCGTGCGATTCCAAACAATGCTCATGATGTCTGAGCAGGATCTCGAGAGGACGCCTTTCAATCATTAGCCAAACGTTTCTCATTCAAGTGCACGAGGCTTCTGATTCGGCAGTGCCAAATCATTACAAGCGCAGTGCCGTAACTGAGGAGGGAAACTATGGGAAATTCCTTAACTGTATGTTCACGTGGTTTAGGAATTGACCCACTGCGGTTGGGCTTACAGGACCAGCTTTTCTGATCCCACCCGCCCGGCCCACCCTCCCGGAAAAACAGAATGTTACAGGTCCTGTCCTGTTGCAAGGATGAGGCCTTGTAAGACGAACGTAGTGTATACTCATGATGCCTGAGTAGGATGCCGAAAGGACACCTGTCAATTCCAATCGTTAGCCAAGTTCCAAGCAGTTCTCATTCAATTGTACAAGCCTTCTGATTCGGCAACGCCAAAATGTAAAGCGCAGTGCCACAACAGAGAGGGGAAATTTCTATTTATTCTCAGAGAGCCTCTGGAGTCTTCGCCGGTGTAATTATGTTTGTGGGGTGGGGCGGGTGGTCACTGACATGCGGCTTTGGAGTTTAGGGTTTATAGGGGGCTTGACCAGATTTCTTCTCAACAGCTTCTAAGCCCCAAACTTAGGGCTTCGAAACTCAAGGGTTTTCGTGGGGCGAGTTGCAGGTCATCCTGTGCCCTATAAGGCCCTCAGACTCCCAAGCAGGTTTCTTGATGTTCGGCGGCCAGCTGTTGGACAGCGCCATGTCTGGCGACCTGTACTTCTACGGAGTCTTTTCGCCCCTGGCTCTGAGATGCCTCCCCCAGTGCCCCCCCCCCCCCCCCCCCCGAAGTTCCCCGAAGTGCCATTTGTCCAGCGTACTGCGCCGCTTCAACCAGAAAGAATTTGAGAGTTATAGGGGGCACACGGAACTCTTAGGGGCGAACCCATTCAACGGCCGATTCAAGGCTCTTGAAAAACCCCCCCAAAACCTCCTGGCGTGTACAGAGAAAGACACAACAAAACCCCTTCTGAAAGAAGCCGGGCCCCCCTCCCCCCCCCTCCCCCCCCCGCCAAAAACAAAATCCTGAGAAGGAACCGTTGGACTCCGAAGTCTTCGGGCCCCGCAGCCTCTTGGCCCTTTGGGGAAGATGTTCCAGGAAAGGTCGAGGGCCTTTTTTGGCCTTTTCTCCAAATGTTGAGCAAGTTGAGCAACCCCCGAAAGATCCCAGAAGGTAATGTGACGCAATGTGCTGCTGTTTTTTCGTCAGTTCCGCCGAAGCCCGAGGCCCGATACCGCCACTCTGCAGTGATTGACCCCACCGCCCGGGCCATGTACCTTCCGGCAGCCTTTAGCATTCCAGGGCCAAGGGTCTCAGGGCTTACTGGGCTTACTGGGCTTAGGACTTATGGCTTAGGTATGTGTGTCAAGGTGTGCTTTTGTGTTGGAGTGAATACAGGTGCCAGGGATCATGCAGGGATCATGCAGGGATCGGCATGGTTTTGGTGTTCTGACACCCGTTGGGAGTCGCAAGGGGGAGCAGGGAACCCGCCGCGAATGCGTAAGGTACGTATTTGCGGGCATGGGCCTCGGCAGCGCCGGCACAGCCAACACCTTCGGCGACCTCCATCGTTGCCCGGCCCGGATTCGGAGACATGCCTACTGCATACCGGTGGTTGGCGCGCGGTTTTGTTCGCCTGCCAGATGCCAGAAATGGCCAGAACACAGGCAAGATGAAGAAGCGGTTCAGGTCGCAGGGCGCAGGAGCAGATGTTTGCTTCGGAGGGGCGGGGACAGGACCCCCGTGCACATCTGGTCCAAGGTCTAACTCGCACGCGCATGCCAGAAAGGGTGTCTGGAGCGGGGTGCATGCCAAACGCCCAAACACTGTCAGGCTACGACGTGGACCTCGACTCCTGGACCACATGTGCACATGTGCTAGTAGGCTGGGTCCTCGAATATACAGGCAGCCCGGCGACCTCCTGCGCATGCACGCGTATCTGGGGTAAGGATTCCATTCTCGGAATGCCAGGCTTGAACACTGCAAGCCCTAGGAGCCTTTTGCAGAAAGCAAAGCAGCCTTTTGTTGCAGGACCGAGCTCCAAGGACTCCCAGGGACGGCAGGGCGCTCGCGGCACACGGCAGTGTGGGACAGCAGCTCCGATCGCATGATCGTGTTCGGTGGCGTGGACGGCATGCTGAACAAGATGGGGGACGTCCTCGAGCCTTGGTATCTAGGGATTTCGGCCTTTCTAGCTTGTGGAGGGGGGCGGGGTAGAGGGTTGGTCCAAAAGGTCCGAACGTTTCCAAGCGCCCTGGACATCTCTCCACTCTGAACCCGGCCCTTAACCCTGAGCCCTCTGGACCCTAAAAGAAAGACCCCGGTCACTCTCACTATCTCTAAACATCCGAAGCTCAGGAGTACGACCGGTCGTCGGAGTCCTGGTCCTTCCCACAGGTTGAGGGCCCAGCGGCGCGCGACGGCCACGTGGCCGTTTGGGATGACGCCACTGGCCCTTTGGCTGAGCTTATGGATTCTGTTTAACTGGGCTGTTCTTATATTTAGCGACACTGGGGTTCTAGGCATTTCGGGGAAATCAGGTGAATTGAGACCCAAAGAAGAATTCCAGTTGCTGAAAGCAGCTGCTCCCAGGCACCATGCTCATGTGCTGTGGCGTCACATCGGACTCTGGTGAAAGCTGGGGTGACCTGTGGTCCTATGACGGCAAGTGGGCCAAGCTCAGTCCATCCGGAGGCATCACAGCCCGGATGCGCCTCAACGCAAAATCAGCTCGAGAGATAGACCACTAAGACGCAAAGAGAGTCGTGCTTTCACAGGAGGTGGGGGGAGGGTGGCGCCGTGACCTCTGTTAACTTGATCATGAGTCATCAGGTACGCCTCGGCAGTGTGGGACCCGCAGGCGCGTGTAATGCTGGGCTTTGGGGGCAGGGAGACCAACGAGACGGCGCTCAACTCCCTGTTCCTGCGGCCTGGCGATTAAGCATTGCTAGCTTTGCCATGTCGGCTTTTGCTGCAAAAGTTGTAAGAACTTTTGGAGACTCGGAATTGTTTTCTTGGAAGCAAACTGCCAAGCAAGTTCTTCGGTCACATTGGGGGATCTCAGCCTGAGGTATTCCGCCAGCGCCAACAGCTGGAGCGAATACACGGCTGAGGGCACTCCTGCTTTTTTAGGCCCAGGCTGGCGGCTCTTAGCAAAACCAAACTTTTTCAAGACTACTTCTTCATTTTAACGCTACGCGACCTGCCCCGGCCTGGGCCTGCCCAGCGGCGAGGCATCCAAAGCGGAGATCGCGTGCAGGCGCTGTTAGGCTTCCGGGCTTCGAGCGGCTTTGTGCATTACCCAAATGGGTGAGTGTGGTAAAACCAGACGAACAAGGTAGGGCTGCCCCGGTCCTGATGCCGTCCGCTCGCGGACATCGGCTCGGGGCTACCCATTCCAGGCAAAAAAGGTACTAAAAGCGGGGTTAGGGGATTAGGTGGGACAACTGCTTACTCCTCCCCATACACCTACGGCCCGAGGCCTCGGCGGATATGAAGACGAGTGACGAGTGATCTCATTTACTAATCTTCATGATGAACCTTAGTGGTTTCTCTGGGTTTGAGGGACAGTGCCCTGAGGCACCACCGCCTGGGACCCCGTGAACAGTCACCTTTACACCTACGGTGGCTTGGAGCAGGGGCCCAAAGAGTCCCTGTGGAGGTTGAATGCGACCCACACATCCATCACCAGCACCTGCGCAGAATTTTCCGCAGGGCTTGCAGATGTTGTTGGCTCGTTAGCGGTGCCTTAGGTATGGTCGGATGCCGAAGCTATCGAAACCACCCCAGGTACTGCAACTTCGACCGCCGCACACACAGCTACATCGACAACTTCTTCCTCATTCTCGGAAACTTCGTCCTCAAAGAGCACTGCAACAACATCGACCGAAGTCTACCCTACCACGATTACTCAGAATGCGGGTCTGCTGTTGGGTGACCTCGACACCTCCGAAGAGGAGCTCGCGAGGCAGTTGGTAGCCGCGCTGGCCAACAGCTCCAACTCGTCGGGTATCCTGGGAAGCACCCTCACGCAGTCGGACTTGGCGACCACTCAGACTCTGGCCTTGCAACTTGGCTTTTCGGTGCGTTTCGGGTCGTTTAGGTTCTGGATGGAGGTTTGGCTGAAGGCTTGATCGCAACTTGAAGCGGCGCCGTTTCAATGCAGACCGGCACAGGGACAGCCTCGCGATCTCCGACATGAGCCGCAACGTCACGGTGCAGAGCGCCAGTGCCAGCGTGGAGGTTCCTCCGGACGTCGTGGCCCAGGTGCCAGCGGGGCCCGGTGCAGACAAGAACTCATGGAGTTCTACCATGTGTCCTTCTGTGCTTCTTTCTGAGGTGCTCCAAGTACGTGTCGCCCCCCCCCCCCCCAAGTGCTCACAACAGGCTGCAGCAGCTGGCGGCAGCGGGCTGGTGCTGCTCAGCGTCTCGGTGGGCCTTGAAGAGCTCGGGGCTGGGCTCAACGGTTCCGAAGGAGGCGCAGGCGGGAGCACATGCGGGGGCTTCTTTCATGGTTCCTGTCTGAGGGTTTGGGCATTCTAGTCCACTTCTCGTGATTCTCGCGTTTAGTTTTCTGTGGCTTCTCTCCTTGAGGTAATGCTTTGGTCTCGCGGCCCGTGAGCATCACCTTCCGTGGGCCTGATGGCCAGAGGATTCCAATGCCGTCGCTGGCACGGCCCATCGAGGTTCTGATCCTGGGAGCGACCGAAGGCTCCCGGTGTGCTTTCTGGGACGAGGAGCTCCGATGCTCTAAACAACTCTTTCAGCTTTTAGGCTAGCCAGCCCCGACAGCAGTCGCTGTAGCCAAACCACAGCAAGTTGGGTTCTCAGGAAGTTTGAGCGTTTAGTTTCGGATCAAGTCCAAGAAAGGACACCGGCACCTGGTCGTCGGAGGGCTTGCGTGCGGTGTCCTTCCGGGACGGGGAGTTGCTATGCCAGACCTCCCACCTCACTGCCCCTCGGCGGGGCTTTGTGTTTTTTTTGGGGCTTGAGCAGCTTGATTCAGGGTGTTCTCAAGCTCACCAAGCTCTGAAGAAGCGCTTCAAAACCCTAAATGTCCCAAGAGGGCTAAGCGCTATACCCTCAGGAAACGACCCCCAGCTGCGCCGGAGGTCTTTGGGGCGGTTCTGGAGACCTTCCTCCTCGTGCTCCGGTGCTCCACCGCCGCACAGGTGTTCTCTGCGGAGGGCCTCCAGAACCTCAGCAAGGGCACGCCCGGGGGGTGGGAATCGTGGGATTCGTGGGATTCGTGCAAATCGTGGGAACTTGGAGCTTCAGTTGCAGGGTTGACCGGTTGCATGCGCTTCCAAGTTGTGTCGCGCAACGGCGCCGGGGGTACAGACGTGGCGTGGAAACACCCCAAATTTCGAAGCCAACAGGCACCTGGCCCGGCCATGCTGCTGCGATCATTACCTTCAGCGTTGCCTTGCTGAGCAGAGGGCAGTGGGCATGGTGGGGGGAAGTGCGTGGCAGAAGCTCTTCTTGTTAGCAAGGAGAAAGTAGATGCTGTAGTCGAGAAGCTAGTTAGCAGATGTCAGTAGTGGTGAAGTGGTCGCTGCAAGAGCCTTTGGATGTTATGACCGAAAAGCCGCGATGAAGCCTCTTTGAAGGACGTGGTGAGCACTATGTGCTGTGTTCAAAGGATCGATGTCGATTGATGATTTGTCATGATTGATGGTTGGCCGAACATGCGCACTGGATGAGCGATGGACACTCGCAATCAAGTTGTGTTGTGCCGTTTTCTTACCCAGACTTTGCGGGGCTTCTTTGCGCGCGTTTTGTATGTGGCGATGGTCTACGAGAGTCACGAAACTGCAGCACACCGTGCGTTTTGGCCTCGCAAGCTTGGACGGAGAAGCTGGCGCAGCGTGATTTGATACCTGATATCTGTACATATCTCTACCGCGCCGCAGCATGAATGCCAAGCCCCAAGCAGCAATCTGGAGCAGCTTAAAGAGGCTTCAGGCTGTGAGATTCTAGATTGTGTGGTGGGTTCCGATGCATCATCCGCACCAGCCACAGAAACAAAACAAAACAAACACAAAAACGAAAGCAGCGCAAACGCCACCACTGCAAGGAAAGTGGAAGCACAGATGCATCTACAACTGCAAGTGTGCCACTCCGTTTTTTTGGTTAAACCCTCGGTGGTGCCACGAATAGTTACAATGACAATTTCAATGCGAAGACTTTCTTCGGTGCCCAGCACGGGGACACAATGGGGCCCAGCAAAAGAGCGGTTCGGCTGAACTGGGGCTGCAACCGCGCCTTCTTAAAACGACATGTGTGTACTGCTGTATAGGCTGTATAGGTCATGTGGAGGTTGAGCTATTTCGCTTTGTCTTGTGGCTCTGTGAATTACGCCAACGATTCGGGGAGTGTGCTGAAAGGGGCACCATTTGGTTGTCCCACTTGCCCCCAAGGCTCTCTTCGTCTGCCTCCTGGTGCTCCTGTATGCCCTACGGCTTGACAGAAAGCGGTCGCTGTCCAGGCATGACATGGCCACAACCCTAAACCCTAAACCCTAAACCCTCAACCCTAAACCCTAAACCCTAAACCCCTAAACCCCTAAACCCTAAACCCTAAACCCTAAACCCTAAACCCTAAACCCCTAACCCCTAAACCCTAAACCCTAAACCCTAAACCCTAACCCCTAACCCCTAAACCCTAAACCCTAAACCCTAAACCCTAAACCCTAAACCCTAAACCCTAAACCCTAAACCCTAAACCCTAAACCCTAAACCCTAGCCCCCCAGAATCCGGTTGAATCCCGGTCTTTAAGCTTCGAAACCCACTTTTCTCAAGCTCACCATCGTGACAGGAAGCAGGTGGAGGCCGCTTTGCTTGTCGAGTTGGAAGTGGACAAGCAGGAGCAATCCCCTCCTGCGAAAATTGGCCCCCCTCAGCCCCGAATAGAAAGATCTTCCCAACCAATATGCACTTCACTGTCGGGCACAGCAGAGCTGCGGTGAGGATGCTGCTGACGTCTATGCGGAGGAGGGAGAGGAGGAGATACAAGCAGCGAAGGCTGCGGACATTGATTTCGGCAAGAGTCCTGCAGCTTTGACTGGTGCTGAGAGATTGGGACGTCAGGTTCGACGGTCCAGTCTGTGTTGTCAGGCTTCTTGGCAGCTGTTAAGAGCACAGAGAAGCAGAGAGGTGTTGCATAAGTTGCGTGCTGTTTGTGTGTTGCAAGCAGGCAGACCCGGGCAGAACCCTAAACTCCCGGCGGTCTCAGGCCGCGACGAGCGTGGTGTCTCCTTTCGCCTGGCTCTTCAGCCAGATGTTCGACGTCCCCGACGTGACGGAGTTGATGAATGCCAAGGCGGACACAGCAGCTCGAAAATGCTCGAAGAAATCTCTCAAACAAGCCCTTCAAAAACGCCTTCAGAGTCCGACAAATCCCTCAGGTGGTCACGATCAACCGCTGCATCAGCTCTCTGCATGCCTACAAGAGCCATGCCGACCGTCAGAGCATCCGTGCGGCGGAGACACCGGTGGGCCACGCGCTGCTCGCCACGGAAAACAGGAGAGAGCTCTGCGGCACAAAGGGTTTGGCAGGTTCGGCGGGGGGGGGGGGGGGGGGGGGGGGGGGGGGGGGGCGGGAGGCGCTCGGTGATGAGGGGGATTTGTCCCTTTTCAGCTCCGTGGGATCCGTGAGCCGAGGCGCATGCGGCACTCGAATACAGCCGGCATGTCGGTGACAGTCGAGGACTTCGTGCGGATGGATGAGACCATGGACTACAGGAGCAGCAAGTCCTTGGTTGCGAAGGGCTTTTTGGACAGCTTCTGGTGCAAGCGCGTGGTTCTCCTGATGCGCGCCATGCATCCCTGGGTCACCATGCAGTTCGTGAGCTTGTTCAGATCCCACGTCGTCGCCAGGCAAGAACCCGGGGATGTGTTTTTGTTGTCCTAGTTTCCCTACCCGAAAAGGCTTCTCGGCTTTGCGAGTTGCTTTTCAAAGGGTTTCGGGGGCCAACCGAGGTCCGAGCCTCCCTGATCATTCTGAAGCTGGTGTCTGCCGCCGCCGCCAACGCGCTCTTCTTCACCAGCTCGGCGGCCTCTCGGCGCGTTTGGGGCTCATGTTCCACCTATCATTGGGTGCCCCTACTACCCCCCTCTATACCACCCCTCCCATAATGAAGGCTATTTCTCGAAAACTACGCCCAATTAAGGTCATTTAAGGGAGCCCCAAAAAGAGAAAAGAGCACAACAATGGCAAGAAATCCTGCAGTTAGAGTGAGCTGAAGCCTTGAGCAGGTGGACAGACCACCCACAATCGTGCCACAACTGCCCTCGCATTTTACAGAAGCCTTTCGAAATCCACTCGCCACATCCAGCAAGATTCACAGCTCCGGCGCGCACATTCGCAGCGGACCCTAAGACCCAGGTTGCGGCCGACGCGGACATGGACTGTGCGCCGCCAGAGACTCTCGGCGAGCGCCTGCTGCGCGCAGCCATCGTTGGCATCTTCTCCGCGTGCATGGGCGACTTGCACTCGGGTTGCACCAAAAAAAATGGGGTTCAGGATGGTGGTTGATGAGGGTCAGCATGAGGGTCCCTGTTTCGGGCGCTAAAACACGAATCGGGACACCGGAGTTTGAAACCGCGGGCCTTCAATAGATCTCAAAGAGATAACCGAAGGAGATTTCTTCTCTGATCTTGGGGCGACTTCAAAGCATTTCAAAGCGCTCTGAGGATCATCGTGCTGCTGGCCATGGTGCAGCGCCGGCAGGCCCCAAACGTAGCCCTTACCCAAGCAGACTGGCAATACTCCAGCGGAAAACCCCCCATAACTTCAAGTCCATGGATGGGAAGAGACAGGTAATGATCCGGCGATGGACGGAAGAGGCCAAAGAGAGGCAGCTCAGGAGAACCGGGAACAAAGCCTCCACCATTGTAGCCGAGGCCGCTGCTGCAAACCGGCCCAAGCCCTAATTTCTGCGTTCTCTGAAACCGTCACAGGCGGTACCGGTTATTTTGGGTGGCGGGATTGGGATGGTTCTGAAACGATGAAGACATGAGTGGGGTTCGGTGAGACTACCAGTGCGAATCCAGTGTGGGAGCATCAGATGGTTGTATTCAGAGTGCATGAATACTAGAGAGGCTTCAAGGCTCAGGCCACAAAACCCGAATCACAGAAACCCAGACAAAAATTGCATCCCGCCCCTGTGCCTTTCCTGTGGCCTTTAGGGCCTTCATGTTCTGGGGCCCGATTTGCTTTCGTGTCATCCTGTGAATGAAGGAGCTGGCGCCGCCGACGTCACATCTTCTGGCTGATCTGGCTTCTCTTTTGGGAGGGTCGTTGGGTTCCAGGAATTCTAGGACACCCCCTGGCACCCTTCTCCCTGCTAGGGGTTGTCGAAAACCCACAAGACGGTGCTCCTTGTTTGGTAGGTGGGAGGACTGCGAGGTTCCTCTTCTTTAAGCTGGGGCTCTACCCGAGGTTTCTCAACGTTGGCATGTCGATTCTGTACGTATTTGGATTCCTGGCCAACGTGAGCCAAGCAGATGGGGACAAATGGATCGAAAGAGCCCTCGCCGCGATAAAATTGTGGCCTCCTTTGCCTTGCAAGGGCTTCTCTGGGATTTTCCGAAAACTTCAGCTGTCCTCCCCGGATCCTTTGCAGTAGCTTTGACTATCTGACCATCGTTCACCTTTGTTTCCTGCAGCTGAGGCACCGGCATCAGTCTGTTGCAGGATCTCGTCCTGAAGCCGCTCTGCCTGGTGGCTGGGCTGGGATGAAAGATTGAGAAGAGCGTGCGAGATCCAGAAAGATACAGATGTGTCGGGGTTGAGGTTGATCTAGCTAATGTAGCTGTAGCCCCGCGCGCCACCGAGGCTCTGTTGTACGCCACGGTCGCCAGCATGGTCCTGTGCTGCAGCCCAAGCGTCGGGGAAAAGATCTTGAACCAGTGGGCTCTCAACAACAAAGAGTCCGGGAACGAGGATCTGCAGAACGTTCGGCAAAACGACAACCAGTCCGGGAACGAGGATCTGCAGAACGACTGCAGCCAGCTCGGGAGCGAAGACTTCGAGGCAACTCGGCGCCCCACTCGAAACGAATCTCAAGATGAGAGTCGAAACACATTGCAGAGTGTTGACTTTTTCAGGCTCCTTTGAGGGCTCTCTGAGGCCTGAAACCTCCCAAACTGTCCAATCCCCCGCCCCTCCCCTGAGCTTGGGACTGAGGGCGGTCCAACAGCAAAGTATCATCAATTGTCAACTTGAGTTTTAATTGATGCCAATACCCTTTCTGCTGCAGCTAAGTAAGAGCGCACAGCGTGCCTCCTCTGGGCCAAGTGGGTGGTCCCCTTTGCGTTCGGGGGTTCGGGGTCGTCTGCGTCAGGCCCGGCCGGGCCCTCACGCTCTTCGGCCAGCTTGTGAGGGAGATGACACAATATATGCGGTGTATATCGACTCGGTGTGAAGAGTTGTTCTTCGAGCAATCCCCGAAATGACGATTTAAGAAGGCTTACGGCCTTGTGTACAGTTGGAGTGGTCCCATGATGATCTAAGAAGGCTGACGGCCGAGATGATCCGAAGAGGGCTGCTGTTTCTTTTTGCACATCCTCCAACTTTGGAGGTATTAGACCTTCGATTTGTCTCAGCACTCCACTGGGTGGAACGGCAGTGCCGTCGGCATGGAACAGGTTCCAAGCCTTGGGACAAAAAGGGTCGCGCGAGCACATTGCCATTCCTTAGGGGGCCCAGTGGCATCCTGGTGAGGATTCTTTTATCACTTCTCTGCAATTGCTCTCTCAGGGCAGCAGCATCGTCTTCGTCTCCGGAACCCTAAACTGCCAAAACCTCAAACGTAAACCTCCGCTCTTTGCCTCTTTTTGCCTCTTTGGCACGCCCTCCTTCAAAGCTTCAAAATGCCCTGAGCTCTCCAAAAAAAAAAACACCGCCAACCCCTCTGCACCTGGCACCTCCCGACCTGGATTCTAAGCACCCATCACGGTCTATTCATTGACACAAGGGGGGAGGAGTTGTAGGGGGTGCCCGTTTTCGACCCCTAAATAAAGCGACACCCCAAACAGGGTATCCCTATTTCGGAACCCACCAAATACAGCTTCGGGGGTGCACCATGAAGACAAAGAGGCCCCTCTGCTTGGAGGTCCATGGTACTATCCCAATTCTGACTGTACTTCGGGGCTTATGTGGGTTATCACTACACTTTCAAATGCGTGTCTAAGTACCCTGGACCTCAGGTGGTTCTGGCCGATGCCTGGGGCATCCCTCGGGGTCCCGAGAGGAAGGGCCTCCTTCGTCATGTTCATACACCGACGACTTAGAGATAAATCCATTGCAATAGATTTTATGCTAATCGTACTGTTTCTATCTACACAAGAATGATCAGATTAACATGCACAAATAAACAAGTAAGTATAAATCAATAAACAAAAAATAAATAAGTAACTTTCGAAATAAAGAAATAAGCAAATTAAGAAAGAGATAAATAAAGAATAAACAAGTACAAACAAATAGAATAACATAAATAAATATAAATATAAATATAAATATAAATATAAATATAAATATAAATATAAATATAAATATAAATATAAATATAAATATAAATATAAATATAAGCTACCCCCCCCCCCCCCCCCCTCAAAACCCACGTCTTACTATGTTTTCCTATCGTACACTCTGAAAACCTCTCCCCAGAGACCCAGAATTCCAGAATTCCAGAATTCCAGATTTTCTGAGACCCCTAATTCCAGAATTCCAAAATTCCAGATTTTTCAGAGGCCCCCAGTTCCAGAATTCCAGAATCTGGAATTCTGGAACTGGGGGCCCCTGAAAAATCTGGAATTCTGGAATTCTGGAATTCTGGAATTCTACATTCGGAGAGCCGAGAAGAAGGTGACATTAGTGACATTTTGAAATTAGAGACAGAAAATTAGAGTCTTACTAATCTTACCCATTAAATTTTGTAGGGTTCCTTACTACTTTCTAGGCTTCCTATCAAATTAAATATTACTCCTGTTCACTTTAATGGGGGTTCTTCGAGAAAAAGGTGACAGTTTAAACTTAGAGACGGAAAATATGAGTCTTGTGAATCTTACTCATACCCATTACATTTACCAATACTCCAGTTCACTCTAATGGGGGTTGTTATTAAATTAATAGGGTTCCGAGTAATTTTACTAGCATTCAAATTGTTGTTGAATAGGATTCCTGTATTTGGTTAATGGGGTTCGTATTAAATTCTAAAGGATGCCTATTAAAGGGTGCCTATTAATTTGTTCGATTTGATATTGATTCCTATTCATTTTAATCAGATTCCAAGTAGTGTTAAAAGGATTCTTCGTAGCTTTCTTATTTCTAGTAATTTGAATAGAAAGTCTAAGAATTTTAATAAGCTTCATAACAAATTTTAGACACATCCCTATGATGTTAGTAGGCTTCTTATTCAATTTAACAAGATTTCGTACAATTGTTAATTGGACTCTTTTTGCTTTGACAAGCTTCCTACTCATGTACATAGGTTCCTGATTAATTTGAATAGGCTTCGTATTCATTTTAACAGGGTTTCTCATTCATGTGCATGGATTCCTAATAATTTTCATAGGATTCCTACTAGATTCAACAGTGCTCCTACTATTTTTTGAATATTGTTCCCTATTCATTTCAATTGGCCTCGAATTTTTTCTATTGTAATTCTTAATAATTTTCATTTTAGTAGGGTTCATTGCAATTTTATCAGTGCGACTCTTTTTGTTTTAAAGGGCCCACGTTACTTCTTTATAGGTTTTAACAGCACTCCTGTGAATTCAAAAGGGTTCCTATTCATTTCAATGGGATGAATCCTCTGAATTTGGGACTCCAAGAAATTTTAATAGGAGTCCTATTAATTTAATAAGCTTCTACATATTTAAACCAGATTCCTATTAATTGTGCGTATTGATTTAAATAGGATTCCTATTGAATTCATACGAACCCTATGAATCCTATTAAATTTAATACGAACCCAAGTTAAACTAACAGCAGTCTTATTTATATTCATAGCAATCCACGATCTCTCGATCAATTTTTTCGGGTCACTTCTGTTGAGCACTCGCTCGAGCAATTGCTGAGTGGACCTAACTATGTGAATTAAGCTTCTTGGAATCAACGAAGTTAATTAAAGCAATTAAATCAATTACATTAGACAAATTAATGAAATTGAGTAAAGTATCTAATGAATTAATAAAACGCTACCATGACCAAACCGGGAGGCCGATCTGTCGGACTTCAGGGAAGAGCATATGGAAGCGTGGGTTTTGGGGGGGGGGGGGGGGGGTACCAAATATAAATATAAATATAAATAAAATATAAATATAAATATAAATATAAATATAAATATAAATAAATAAATAAATAAATATATATATATATAAATATAAATGTAAAAATATAAATATAGATATAAATGTAAATGTAAAAGTATATATGTATATATATGTATGTATATATATATATATATATATATATATTTTGTTTTATATGCATTTGCCCCTCAGAAATTGTTTTGTCACTTTTTCTCAATTCTCGATCGCTAACGAAGCGAGCCAAATAGTTTGTGCGCTTTTCTTAATTCCCATTTCTTTCCATGACTATCACTGCCTGTATTAGCTGTTATTGTCAATGGATTTTCTTACGAGACATGACGAACAGATATGATCGTTGCTTTTTTTGCTCTTTTGAAATTGCTTTGTTTTTTTCTCATCGAGTCACGAACGAATGAGAAAAAGAGAGCGCAGCGAGCTGCAGCGGGGGAGGGCCCAGCTGCGCACTTAGGGTTTAGGGTTTACGGCTGGCTGCAAGAGACCTGGATGCAAAAAAAGGGTTTAGGGTTTAGTTTGAGTCGACTGGTGATGTAGGGCGTTGATTTTCAGAGCCGCGTGCGGCCACCTCCTAAGGACACCATCGGAGTCTTTCTTTAGCCAACAGTTCGTTGTTTAGGGATTCGGCGGATGGCGGCTGTTTGCTGTTGCTTTGAAGACGAAAAGTTCCTCTCTAAAGTTGAGAAAGTCTGAGGAACGAAACTTGAAGCTTTGGAGAGAAACCGCGTTAACACAGAAAGCAGTGCTTTCCCACATATGTCCTTCGACGCAGCCTTTTTTGCAGCTGCATCTCCAAGCCACTCTCTGAGCCAAAAGCGCTGACATGTTTGCCACGTTTGCCACGCTCCTGGCGTTGCTTTCCGAAGGAGCACCCGCACCTGTCGAGGACTTGCACCTCCTCCAGCGACGGGCAGCGAAGCTGAGCACAGAGGTCGTGGTAGAGGCCGTGCCCAAAGGCCAGACAAAGAGGGCACGGAGAGAGCTTCGCGCTTTTTTTGGGCTTCTGAGCATGACAGGAACTTGGGTTCGCGTCTAGTGACATGTCGGGAACTGTAGGGAAATGTAGCTGTAGCTTGACACAACACCCCTGAGGCCTGGTTGCGGCTGACCAGCTCGACGTGAAAGGTGTCGAGGCAGCTCATGAAGAGGCCACACATGTGGCCACGCCATGCCGAAGCAAAGAGAAGAAAGAGAATCAGTCGCAGTGCATCGTTGCAACCGTCCTCGATGTTTTTGACGTGCTGCAGAGCACCGCAGACCTGTCGCCCTTGAACGCTGAAGTGGACAAGGCCTTGACTGCTTTGGTGTCTATGGTGCTGGTGCCTCAGCCAGCTGAGGTAGTCACTGCCGTGCTGGAGGATCCGCAAGTGCGAGCGATCAAGAAGCCTTTGTGGCACTTCCTGTCCGAGGCGGAGTACGAGATGGAAAGCTGGTGGGCTCGCAGATTTCTGGCAGAGCATGCGACCATGGAGGGCACCAGCGCCTTCTGGTATAGAGAGAACTACAAGGAGCTCACTGCGCTGGAGCTTGCACATCTGCACAAAGTTGGGCATCGGCCGAGTGCGGGGGACCACGTCGTGTTTGTCGGTGGCGGCCCATTGCCTTTCAGCGCCATCGAGTACATGCTCCAGAGCGGTGCAAAGGTTACCGTCGTTGAGCACAACCCTTGGGCTGTGCAACTCTCGACGGTCTTGATCAAGCAGCTGGGGTTGGAGAATGTTGCGGTGGAGTATGCCGCAGGTGAGCGCTTCGACTACGCAGGCGCCACGCACTTGATCGTTGCCGCACTTGTGCGACATGACGACGCGGTCATTCGCAGGGCGATGGACACGGCTGACTTGCGCATGGTTGGGGTGAGGCCGGCTGGGGCTGGGGGGGGGGGGGATGGAGAAGATGCTGACGGACTAGTTCGGGGCTTAAGCAAAAAGTGAAGACAAATCCATTGAAGCGAATCACATCGAATGTGCCTCCTGTCCCCGAAGGAGCGCCGACGGCCTGCGGTCTCTCTTGTACGCACCATTGGACGGCTCGCTTGACCAACTGCACCTACAGCCCACTGGGGGCAGCGCCGTGAATGCGCGCGTGATAAACACCCTTCTGACTTTTGAGCCTGCTCACGCCAAACAGTTTTGATGCATGACTTGGTTGTTGCTAGGAAAAGGCCGTGCACATGTCTGGCCGCGCTCCCCTTACGCAAAGTCGCAGGAATTAGCTTAGGTCCTTCATCGGGGATCAATGAGGGGTGGTGACTCTTACATAGCCTTTATACATCCCAGCTCCCTCGCAGAGAATGTGCTGTGAGGATCAACGCAGGGTGCGGTAGCGGCCGCCAGTTGCTAGGCGCAAGTCGAAAAAAGTTACCATCAGCTCGTCAGTGCTGGTTTCGCAGGTAAAGGAGAGGTTTTCAGCATGTAAAGGCAGAAGCTCCACAAGCCCCTGGATATTAACTGCGCTGCACCAGGGGCATTTTTCCGTGGCCCAAGCGAGCATGGGAGCATGGCACCTCATTTGCCCATGGAGTCGTCGGACTCTGACATCTCGGATGAAGGGAAGTCTCGCTGGAAGGGGAAGCTTCAGAGGTTTCTGGTCCCCATCGTGTTCATCACGTATGTCATCACCAAAGCCTTGGACCGGGTTTTCATCTACCGGGTACAAAAGTCGATGGCCCATTACAGCACTATTCTCATGAGCATCTACTGGCCTCCGGGCATCTGCTTGGCATGCTTCTCCTTTCTATTTCTCCTGAATGGATCCAAGAGCCTCCTTGGAATGAGGGGAAAAGATGAGATGAAGGCATTTCAGCCACTGGGCCTCGGGTGGTTTTCGCCCATCAGCGAGTTTGCTTCAGCACAGGGTCGTGTGCCGCAGGCATGGTTTGCCCTGATCGGGTTTCTGGACCAGATCAACGCCACCTTCTCGGCTCCCCCATCGGTCTACATCCCAGTGGTCTTGCAGACGCCCTTGAATAACCTGGTGGTTTTTTGGGTGATGCTCATCTCCCTCATCTACCTGAAGATGTCCTTTAGAACGGTCCACTACGCAGGCGTGCTTCTCATCCTCTGCTCCTGCATTGTGGGTGAGCTGGTTGAGCTCCAGGGGCCACCCGATATGGTCTGCAATGGGCTCGACACTGCCCAAGAAATTTTCCAAGATGACAGCTTGCCCATCTCCCAAACAGCGAGATGGGCCGTAGGCAATGCCACTGAGAAGTGTGTGCGAGGTTTGCCGCCCTACAAGGGCTCCGATGGCCGGATCATCTACGTCCCCTTCGGAACCATCGCCTCGATGTATCTGCTTTTCATTGGCACCGTGATCCCCTATGCCTTCGTGAACGTCTACAAGCAGAAGAAGCTGAAGCAACTTCTACTGTTTAATTAGGGGACCCTATATAATCCCTCAAAGGGGAAAAACAAGGGATATAGGGAACCTCATTCCCTCATTCCATCTCATTCCCGACGAACAGTTAAGGCAGGTGAACCTGGATGTGGCTTGGGCCTTTTTCTGGCAGAGCGCTTGGCAGGTTTTGTGGGGCCTCGTCTTCATCCCGGCCTGCTGGATCCCCTGGCCCACGCCCAGTGGCGCCAACGAGGCCTCCTTCTCCACCTTCGGCCAGGACTTAGCCGACTCCTGGACCTGCTTCATGGGCCAAAACCCGAATCCAAAGGTCACCACCTGCTCTGCCGAACCCGCCTGGGCTTGGTTTCTTTGCCATAGTTGGGTAACATCTTACATCTTTAAGGGCACTTAAAACCCAACAATATATCATCCCATCCATGAACTAGGTTTAGCATCTACCTGCTCTTCAACGTCTTCTTCAACCTCTGCCTCATGTGGCTCATCAAGCGCATGTCCAGCACCTGGGCCGCCGTCGGCGCGATCCTCTGTGGGAACCTGGGCGGCTTCTTCAGCCAGTTTGAGCTTTTCGGGGGCAACTTTGTCATGGTTGGGGAACATTTTGCACTGTTTAAGGGTACTTAAACCCAACAAGAAACAGACATTTCAGTTCTTAAGGGTAACTTAAGCCCAATAAGGAATAGACATCTAGATTTTTAAAAGCTCTCCCAACAATGAGCTAGGCAAGTCGGCACAGCCGCTCTCCATGGAGCAGTGGATGGCGCTCATCCTCTCTACCATCGCCATGTGGGTCTACAACATCGAGGAGCGCCCAGATGTGCCCAGATGTTGTGGTGCCGTTTTTTTGTTTTCCGGGGGCCTCCCGTATGCTTCTTTGTACCTACGTATACACTTGCGTATACTTGTGTTGACCTGCCAGAGTCAACGAGCAAGCCAGTAGTGTCAAAGGCCGCGCAAGCGTGATGCGCCTAGTGACACTGTTGTGGCTTGACCCCCTGTGGTGGCTGTTCCAGAAGGAGTTGCGCCTTCCTCTTGGTGCTGGCACCCTGATGCCGGCAATGTCACCGGGCCCGCTGATCTTGCCTGGCCCCTCGTGTGCTGCAGCATGTTATCTGGGCAGTCTTCCAAGTCTCCCGCGCTTCCACATCCGTAGAAAACATTCCAAAAGTTGGGTTTTAAAAACCCTATTCCAAAAGTTGTTAAACTGTTATGTGCTTGTCTTCGTTGCGGCTCAAAGGGCTGCCCGTTGTCGCAGCCGTGGCCTTTTGGCGCCTTTGCATCATGCCCTTTCCTCGACCTTTCCGTGTCTTTGTCTTTTGACTTTCTGTGTTGTCTTTTGTACTTTTAGCCCCACGGCAGTGGCTACATTTGCTACATGCGCGACTTTGCCGTTGCAGTGGTTCCTGTCCCTTCGTGTTTGCTTTGCAAAATTTGACGGTTTCCTTTGCGCTCAAATGTTGGCTGCCTCCACTGGTGCTTTGATGGCAGCTCGTAGCAAATTGGCGAGCGCCCGGGACAACTCGAACCTCTGTCTTGAGTGCGACACTCGCAACATACAGGCCAACGCCCGCTACAAATCGCATCACGGCACACACAATCCAGTAACAGACGCAACCGATCGATGCGCTGTCTTCGGACATCACAACACGTGCCCCGTGCCCGTAACCAATCGTCCCCCGGGACTTGTGTGTGACATCGCAAAATACACAAACCAATGCCCGCATGAAATCGCACGCCCGGTCTTGTGTGCGATATCATACACAACCGACTGCCCGCCTCTATGGAGTTGTACCCCATCCTTTGTGCAGTGCCCGAATCGTACCCCCTGTCTAGTGTGGTGTTGTCATGTCGCACAAGCCAGTGCCCGTCTTTTGTGTTGCAACATCACACCATACACAACCTATAGTGCCTTTGAAAAATCGTACCTCCCTCTCTTGCTTGCGATGTCACAACAAGCCCGTGCTTCGCGACATCACAGCCGTCAGTTTGTCGGTCCGTCGTCAAGTCCTCCGTTCACCGTGCCAACCCATGTTTCGAGGTCATGGATGGCTCCTTTTGCGTAGTCTATAGGTACTATCCCGCTGATTTCCGCCTGCAGGTGCGACGGGTAACTCGCACTGCAGTCCCTCCTCCATGGAAAGCTGCGACGTGCAGACCAAATGGCCCAAACTGTCTTCTGATCCGGCTCAAAGCTTGTGACGTTTTTGCCTCGCTTTCTACGTGCACGTTTTCCGACTGAGGCCTTCGTTCTCGGATTGGCGCCCTCTTGTTTCAATACTGAGGTTTTCGGACGCACGCGTGTCATGGCCAAAGCCACCGCATCGCTCATCTGCACCAAGTGACCTAACTTTTCTTCTCCTCCGCTTGCGTTTTGCGTTCGCACGTTCGGAGCTTGTGGCGTTTGCGCACTGAGCCACTTTGCTTTCTTGTTGCACGGTTTCCGACTGACGCCTCCGTTTTTCCGATTGGCCCCTTTTTGTTTTCAGGTTGGGGCATTTGGGCGCGAATGTTGGACAGTGACTCTTTGCTTTTCTCTCGCTCTCGGCGGGCATCTGTGGTAATTTGAGTCTCTACTTGTTTCATTGACTCGGCCCCTGCGTTTTCCCACTCAGTCAGGGCTCTGCGTTTTCTGAATCTGCCGTGTGCGTTTTCTGACTCTGTCCTTCCGCCGTTTTTCTGATTGGAGCCTTGCGGTTTTCTGCCCACGTTTCTCTGACTCAGCCTTCACCCAACGGCCTGCCAGCCACAAGCCACCCAAAACCCTCAGCCATGAATGCATCATAAGCCCGAACCTCTAAGCCTGAACCCAAGAAGCCTGGAGCTGCAAGCCCTATGCCGCATATGCCGCATATGCCCTAAACCCAAACAAGTCACAGGTGAGTTTGGTTGAGGTTGTCCGATCCAAAAACGATGAGAGTTCGAGTCTCGAGTGCTGTCACTTCTTGTGAAGCGGCACAAGCGTTTTGTCCCACATCATGCGGTCCGCTTATCATAACCGTTGGCTGACAACAACTGTGAGGATGAAATGGACGCGAATGGCCGATCTGTCTACGGCGAGGTAGCACGGGGCGACCACCGCTACGATACAAAGGGGGACATGGGCCTCGACCCTGACTCGGACGAGTTCCATTCCGACAACGAGCCGAATGCAGAGGACCACACGACTCTGTGAGAGCCCGTGGGTTTCCTAGCATTTGTCCTGTAGTATTTGTTTCTGCCCAGATGGGATAGCGAGCTCGGACTTGCACGAGGGGTGGCGTTGATTGATTTGCAACGTAGCGACACCACTGTGTCTCAGGAAAATATTGTTTGTTGCCGTGCTGTGTCTGTTGAGCGCCTGCTCAGCAATCCCCAGTTTGAGTGTGGTTGGCTCTGTTGGCTCAAGGTTGTTTACCGGTGCGTTCTGTGGTGTTGGACCGTTAGACAGTGTTTGTGGCAAGCGTTTTGTTTTGGAATGATGCCTGGCTGGGCCAGTTTTCAGCTGATCAGGCGCGCAGGTTGCCAGCTTCAAGGGAGATCTTCTAAGCTAGACATCACACAACACACACACACACCCTCGGATTTCCGCAATGGTCCGCTCAGCACGTGAGCTTATAGACTCGGATTCTGAGATCGCCAACGAATCCACTGAAAGGCCGAGCACAGACGACAAAGGTGGCGGAAATGCAAGGAAGCTTGCAATGGCTGTGTTCGTTGTCTATTTGGTCACAAGGGGCCTCGCTACAGTCTTAATCTACAGAGTCTCGAAAGCCATGGCACAGTACACCACAATTCTCATGAGCATCTACTGGCCCCTGGGCATCGTTTTTTGGGCCTTCACGCTTTGCGCCTTGCGAAACTCAAGGCTTTTCAGTTCGAAGCCTGTCGGGCTCAGCTGGTTCTCTCCGTGGAGTGAGAAGGCCTCGGCGCAGGGGCCTGTGCCCCAGCACTGGTTTGTGCTGATCGCCTTCTGCAACCAACTCTGTGCCACCTTCTCAGCGCCGCCGACTCCTTTCATTCCCGTGGTGCTGCAAACACCTCTTGCCAATCTTGTGGCTTTGTGGACGGCCATCATCTCCTGCATCTTCTTGAAGACACGTTTCACGATGGTTCACTATGCAGGCATCTCTCTGATTTTGTATTCCTGTGTGGTGTCAGTACTGGTGGAGTTGCAGGGGCCAGCAGAGGCGGTCTGTCAAGGCCTCGACATTGCTGCGGGGACCTTGGACCAGCTCACACACTCCAACCTGATCAGCTCAGAAGCTGCGTGGAGCGTCAGCAACGCCACCGAGCACTGCGTCATCGGCCTGCCCCCTTACAAGGACACCACGGGCCAGATCCTGAAAATTCCACTTCACATCCTTGTCTCCATGTACACCTTCTACACCTTGTCCCAGGTGCCTTTCGCTTTCGTGAACGTCTACAAGCAGAAGAAGCTGAAGCAAGTGAACCTGGACGTAGCCTGGGCCTTCTGGTGGCAGTGTGCATGGCAGGTTTTGTGGGGCCTGGTCTTCATCCCGGCCTGCTGGATCCCCTGGCCCACGCCCAGTGGCCACAACGAGGCCTCCTTCTCCACCTTCGGCCGGGACTTAGCCGACTCCTGGACCTGCTTCATGGGCCGCAACCCGCATCCAGAGATCACCTCCTGCTCAGCAGAGCCGGTCTACGGCTGGTTCGCGATCTACTGCTTCTTCAACGTCTCCTGCAACTTGGCCCTCACCTGGCTGATCAAGCAGCTCTCAAGCACCTGGGCATCCATCGGCTCTATCCTCTGCGGAAATCTCGGGGGCTTCTTCAGCCAGTTCTCCGCCTTGGGCGGGAAGTCGGCGCAGACGGTGACATTGGAGCAGTGGATGGCGCTGATTCTCTCCTCCGTCGCCATGTGGATCTACAACGTCCAGGATGAACGGGACGTCAACGGCAAGAGCGTTTACGGCCAACAAGGACTGTTCTGAGCCGTTGAAGTCTTTGTAAAGAGAGAGGTGTCGCTAATGGGTGGGCGTCCCAGGGTAGCTTGGGGTGGCCCCACGTTTCTTCAAGGCAATTCTCATGTTGCTGTGTCCCGTTGAAGGTGCAGTCGGGGGATTGCTGTTTTGAGCTTCCAGTTCTGGGAGGGGCGGGGGTGCCTCCTTTCGAGCGTGACTTCGGGATGGCAACCTAGGATAAGGGGGGCCCTTAAAAGGGAACCCTTCTTGACCCTCTTCTGGCTCACTTAAACAGGGGCCTCATGCCTTATGCAGACGGTCTGTATCCCCAAGAGTTCCCCTAATCCTATCCACAGAAGGGGGAGCCCCCAGTTTATCCAGTCTCCTGGGACAGTAGGTCATTTTTTTGCCGCACAGCGCAATTTCTTCTTCTGGTTGTTGCGACAAGAAAGGGGGAGACGTTCCCAAGGTGATATGGCTTTGAATCAAAGGGGTTTAGGGAATTTCACTTAAAGCATTCAACACCACCAAGACTGGCAAATAGCAAAAGAGCAACAAGGAGTTAGTACTCCACCCTTATGGCAAAAGCACCATGAACGCAACCAGTTTCAGTTTAGCCGCAGCTTCGTGTGCTTGATGATCCTGACTTGTGCTCAGGAAGAGGTGACCATCGCTACGATACAAAGGGCCCGATGGGCCTCGAGCCTGACTCGGACGGGTTCCAGTCCGACGACGAGCCGAATGCAGAGGACCACACGACTCTGTGAGAGCCCGTGGGTTTCCTAGCATTTGTCCTGTAGAATTTGTTTCTGCCCAGATGGGATAGCGAGCTTGGACTTGCACGAGGGGTGGCTTTGATTGATTCAGAACGTAGCGACACCATTGTGTCTCAGGAAAATATTGTTTGCTGCCGGGCTGTGTTCCCAAGCTTAAGTGTGGTGGGATCACGGTTGTTTACCGGTGCGTCCTGTGATGTTGGTAATCTGTTAGGCATGATTTCTGGCAAGCGTCTTGTGTTGGAATGATTGGCTGGGGCCAGGTTTCAGCTCGGGTTCGGCCTGGAACTTGTAAGCCTTGTCAGCATCAGCATGTCCACCAAAATCACGAAAATTCCCTGTTCTCGACCTGCTGCTAGAGCTTTTTCCCATTGCTGGCTGAGAATTGCGTCGAAGCTGTAGCAAAGCCGGCTCAAGCTTGGGGCAGGAGAACATGCCTGTCTTATCTCATGGCTCGCTGTTAACCTTCCTGATAGAGCACGTTGCTGCCAGGTCCTTCTACCACTCGGCAACTCTGCCTCTTGCACTGCTTACGGGAGCTTTGGCCCTTTGCACCCTTCCCAGCTGGGGCGCGTGGCCCAAGGGCTTCTCGCGCTTCGTGGTGATCTACCTCAGTGCCTGGACGCTTTGCGTGGCTTCGGATTGGCTGCAAGGACCGTATGTCTATGCACTCTATGAGGCCTATGGCTTCAGCCCCCACCAGATTGCGCAGCTTTTTCTGGCTGGCTTTGGAGCTGCGATGTTCTGCAGCAGCTTCGTTGGTGGACTAGCTGATCGCTATGGCCGCAAGCGCGGCTGCATTGCATACTGCTTGCTGTGCATTGTGTCCTGTGCTACGAAGCACTGGAAGAGCTACTGGATCCTCATGGTCGGACGAATCACCGGAGGCTTCGCTCAGTCTTTGCTCTTCTCCTGCTTCGAGTGCTGGATGGTCTCGGAGCACGAGGTGCGCAACCAATTCTGCTCCAGCCTCCTTCCCAGCATGTTTCTTAGGGATTCTTGGGAAGAGTTTCCAACTTTGGGCACTGTCATCCCTAAGAAACAGCTAAGAATATGATCTTTTGCTGGGGTTCCCAGCTCAGTACAGGTTTGGAATGAAGTTCAGCCTCATGTACCTGGTGGCGATCTGCTCGGGCTTCGTGGCGCAGTGCGGCGCGGACTCCGCCAGGTTTGCACCCCTAAGCGAGGATTCCTTGTTCCATCTTGGAGGCAACCTGGTTCCTTTTGACATGGCCGCCTGTGTTCTCGTGGTTGCCCTGGTGATCATCAGCATGCTCTGGGAGGAGAATTTCGGGCACACGGCACAAGTTGAGGGGGTGCCCCTCTGGGAGGGCCTCATCAGCATTTGTCGTAGCAAGCCGCTGCTGAAACTGGGTGTGGCGACTGCCTGCTTCGAAAGTGCCATGTACTCCTTCGTCTTTAACTGGACGCCAGCATTGGAGTCTGAAGATGAGATGCCTCCCCATGGCGTCGCCTTCGCTTTGATGATGATGGCGTGCATGTGTGGCGCCTCCGTTTCGACCCTGATCTCCGACAGGGTCTCTGCGCTTCGACGGCTGCAGCTCGTTGCTGCCATGGGATTTGGAGCCTTCGCCGTGGCTGTTGCAGCCCTAAGGCGAGGAGGAGGCCACGTCTGCTTCTGCAGCTTCCTCCTCTTCGAGTTCTGTGTGGGCATCTACTTCCCGGCAGCAGGCACTTTGAAGAGCAAGTTGGTTCCAGAGCGGATCCGGGTCACCGTGTACAACATGTACAGGGTGCCAATGAACGCTGCGGTGGTCAGCCTGCTCCTCACGAACTTGAGCACGAGCCTTTGCTTCAGGGTTTGCTGCGCTCTCATGGGCATCCTCTTCTTGGCAACGCTTGGTCTCCTCCCCGACGACCCAGAGTCGGTGCCGGAAGACTCCGGCAAGGCGAAGTGACGAAGTGAGGGAGGAGACCAGCCCCAGGGGCTTGCAATGGAGCCCCCATGGCTTGCAATTTTATGCCAAGTCACATCCAGGAAGGTGCCAAGAGCCGCCGCTGGTTTCTTTTTTTGGACCAAGCTTTTGCTCCACTGTGGATCCCCCCCCCCAATTTTGCGCTTGCTTTGTGCGGATCCCTTTTTGCTTGTCGACGCAACAGCCGTCCGATTTTGGAGCCGATTTTGTCCGTGGATGCAAAGTCCTCCAGGAAAGCGTCGCAAGGAACAAGTGGGATGTAAGGCCCCCATATCCCCCAAAAGCTTCAATCAGTGCAGATAAAGTTTTAAAGCCCTTGAAGCATTGGAAAAGGCTGCTTTAGGGGATGTGGGCCTCTTGCACCTCCCTCTCATCACACTTCCTTGTGAAAGTAGGTCGTAGCTCGCTTCTGACACTGCCTCTGTGACAGAAGTGTCTGAGGGGTGGCGCTTCAAAAAGAGGAAACGCAAGACAAGCACTGAGTGCCCCGAAGGAATGCGAAAGGGGTGGCAAGAATGCCCACAAATTAGCTAGTTGACGCAGAGACTCTTCGGGATTTTCGCTCCCTGCCTCCTTGCCTCTTCGGTCAATACCCTAAACCCTAAACCCTAAACCCTAAACCCTAAACCCTAGAAATTGCTCAAAAAACCCCTAGAGAAGGGGAGGCTACACAGTGTCTTAGCCAGAGATTGAATACTTTAGGAGGTTCATGGTGCTTAGTATCCGTACTTAGAACCCAAATTATAACCTCATCAGGGTACTAAAGGGGTTGAGATGCGGTTTATATTACTACACTTATATGATGGGTTCCTAAGCACCCTGACCCTGCTTGAGGGTTCCACAGATCCCTCGCTCGATCCCGGGCGCGGTTTCTCCAGCAAGTCCACCACGGTGCCCGACGCAGAGCGAGGCCGACAAAGTCCGCGGCTCACTTTTCTTCCCGGCAAAAAAATATGCCAGCTGTTTCTTTTGTTGTTCCTTGTTTGGCTTTTTTGTGCTCTTGTGGTTTCATGTCAGCGCAGCGCAGCAGCACAAGACCTTGGTAAGACTTCTCCTACTCATCGTGCCTGTGGAGAGGGAGGAAGCCCTCTCTAGCCCGGCTCTTTTATTGAGGCTTTAAGAAAGAGGGAGAAAGAGGGAGAAAGAGAAGAAAGAATGTCGCACATTCGCAGAGGACTCTCAGTAGAGAACCCCTCCGGATGCCTAATCGGAAAACGAGAAAGCACGGAAGAAAGCATAAGAGTTCTTGCGTGGTGTAGGGAGAGAGGCTTACGAGAGAGCGTAAGAGAGGCATTTACTTATCACACAAGGGGTGTGTGAGCCTCGCCATCGAGAGTTGCTCAAGTCGGTCATTACAGAGCGCTTTTGAAAGGAACTCCCGCTGGAATCCTCCTGCAGTCTTGGCAGTTCCCTCTTGTGATTTTGTAACAGTAACACGCTCTTGAACCGGCCCCCAAATATTGGGAATTGCGCCTTCCAGTTGTTTCGGGCTACGAGAGAGATTCTTTTTGCAATGCTATGCGCAGTGACAGTCTCAGGCTGACAGCACGTACTCATAGGTGAATATGACAAGACGGATTTTGCAGTGTTGCCGAGGCCCGTACCTCCATGGTCTCCAAGCAGTCCAAGCACGTGCTATGAGCCAGGCAAGCACATCTCAGTCCTTGAAGTCTAGTGTGTCGCGTGCTTGAGTCCAGGTCTTGTGCAACAGGGCTACCTAGACTGTCGGGCTTGAGTGCCGCGATCAGTGATCCAGATGTCGCTCTGAGGCTGGCTGCGCCAGAAAGCACCGCCGGCGCGTGAAGGAAGCAGAGTGCGACTCCTAAAAAATGAGAGTTCGGCGTCGACCTGTAGCATGCCACTCCGCTGGCACATGCCCTCACAAGAATAAGCTCTTGCATGAAAAAGGTGATCACAACTGCACACGAATCATCGAGGCAATGCAAGCCTGCAAAGGCCCTCGCAGAACTGCAGTATTCAAACCGGCACTGCGCCAACCTGGATTGCAATGTTGTAGCAGGTATGTTTTCGCCCTCCTTTCCTTGGAGAGCTCAGAGGTGTCAGAAGAGACCGAAAAGCCGAAGAACAGAAAACTGGGAGGAAGGGAAAAGCAGGAAGCAAGGATACGCGGAAGCGAGCAAAAGCATGCCATGAGCAAGCATGGCTGCAGGCTTGGCGCATGTACAGCAGATGACACAAAACAGAAAACGGCTTTTGGAATGCAGACACAGAATGCAGCTTCCTTTTTGCATCTGCCTCCTTTCCGCGCCGCCGTGAGACAGCCTCTTTGACAGCTTTCACGGGTTGGTAGCACTGTTTGTAGCGTAGCACGAAGCGATGTTGCCATTCCATGTCAGCGCGCGTGGAACTCCTCCGGACCCGAAAAGTGGCCGCAGCGGCACCGAGTTTGCCTCTGGTGAGATCTCGACGACCGGATCCTACAAGTACGGGAAGTATGAGGCCAGGATCAAGATGGCAGGGCATAGTGGGGTCATCAGCACATTCTTCTTGTGGAAGACCGGGTCCGAGAAGCCTGACACGGCCTGGAACGAGCTGGACTTCGAGAAGGCAGGCATCAATGGCTCCGGCAGCGGCAAATTGCAGCTGAACATGATTGGCGGCATGCCAGGTCCAGAGTACAATGAGCACCACGCGGAGCCATTGTTCAATATCTGCGACGACTTCCATATCTACGGCTTCGAGTGGACTCCGAATGAGGTGAAGTACACTCTCGACGGCAAGGAGTTGAAGAAGTTCACGGGAAGCGCGCTGGAGCAGTTCAACCAGGACATCGGGGACGGAATGGAGCTCCACTTCAATCTGTGGCCTGGTGACAAAAGGTTTGGTGGGGAGTTCGATCCGAGCATCTTGCCTCTCTACCAGCTCATCGATTGGGTGCGCTTCTCCTCCTATTCAGAGGAAGGCTTCAAGCAGGAGTGGCAGGAGGACTTCGAGGGCGGCTCGATCCCCGAAGGTTGGGTCAAAGGAACCTGGGATGCCCCGCTGGGGCACGCCACGCACCGGGAGCAGAATGTCCTCTTCAAGAAGAGCTACGCCATCTTGGCACTCACTTCCAAGAGCTTCATCCCCGACATCGAGAGCATTCCGCTCCCGGACGACACCACGCCACCTCCTGGCCAGGGCGGCGATGGCGGCGAACCCGGCGGCCCGTCCGAACCCGCTCCTACACCCAGCACCATTGCGTCGGCCGAGCTCTCCGATGTCAGGCCGAACATCTATGGGAAGTTTGAGGCAAGGATGAAGTATGCAGCTGGGGATGGTATCGAGAGCGCATTCGTCCTGTGGAAGCAGGACTCGGAGAAACCCGAGGTCTTCCACAACGAGCTGGCGTTCAAGAAGCTCGCCGCCGACAAAATGCAAGTTGGCATGCTGGAGGGCAAAGATACTCCGAATCGTCACGAGAAGGTCGTGGACACGTCGAGCCTCGACATCTGCAACCAGTTCCATACGTACGGCGTCGAGTGGACCCCCCATGAGGTGAAGTACACTATCGACGGTGTAGAGGTTCACAAGATCACGGGAAGCCCTGTGGAGCAGTTCAACGCAAACGCCACGAAGTTGAAGCTATCACTCGTTGTGTTTTTTTTGGTGCTTTTGGTAACAGGCGTGACATGTTTCCGATTTTCTTCTCCAAAAACACAGGGTTGCCCCGGTTCGGTTCGGTTCGGTTTCTGAGAACCGAACCTTAATTGTGCACGGTTCGGTTCCAGTCCGGTTCGGTTCGCACGGTTCAGTTCGGCGGTTCGGACGGTTCGCATTCAGTGCATGTCACTATAAGGGTACAGTAAAAACGCTATATAAGAAAACGGTTTTCCGGCGGTAGGGTGCTCTAAGTTTCTTAGTTTCCATTACCCATGTACCCGGGGGGGTTTGAGCCTAGGGTAGGCTTTGTTTCTAAACTAGTTTCTTAAGGGAGAAGGCTATGCCACTAGACCAAACCCACACATACGGGCAGGTTTTCGCGAGTTCCCTTCCTGTTTTTGCTTCGGGGTTCAGGGCCCGGGAGTTGTGGTGTGTGTGTGTGTGTGTCTTAGGTTCAAATCCTGCTCAAAGTTTAGGGTCCCAAAACGCGGGGGAGTCCAGTTTTAGAGCTTTTCAGGCCTGAAAAGTCCCAGAATTGTGCTCCCCACACTTCTGCCGTCCCCCGTCCCCCCCCCCCCAAAACGCAGGGGAGTACAGTTTGAGAGCTTTTCAGGCCTGAAAAGTCCTAGAATTGTACTCCCCGCGCTCCTGCCGTCCCCCGTCCCCCCAAAACGCAGGGGAGTACAGTTTGAGAGCTTTTCAGGCATGAAAAGTCCTAGAATTGTACTCCCCCGCGCTTCTGCCGTCCCCCGTCCCCCCAAAATGCAGGGGAGTACAGTTTTGGAGCTTTTCAAGTCCCAGAATTGTACTCCCCCACGCTTGTGCCGTTCCCCGTCCCCCCAAAATGCGGGGACGTACAGTTTTAGAGCTTTTCAGGCCTGAAAAGTCCCAGAATTGTACTCCCCCGCGCTTCTGCCGTGCCCCGTGCCCCCAAAACGCGGGGGAGTACAATTTTAGAGCTTTTCAGGCAGGCCTGAAAAGTCCCAGAATTGTACTCCCCCGCACTTGTGCCGTCCCCCGTCCCCGTCCCCCCAAAACGCGGGGGAGTACAGTTTTGGAGCTTTTCGGGCCTCGTCCCCCCAAAATGCGAGAGAACAGTTTTAGTCCCAGAACTGTACCCCCCCTGGAATCCTCCGAAACGGTGGGGGGAGGGGGAGGAGCAGGGAGGCACTCGGAAGAGCACGCAATCTGGCAGCTTTGGGGCCTGGATTGCGCACTCCCCCGCGCGGGCCTGCAGGGGGTACACAATCTGGCAGCTTTGGGGCCTGAATTGTCCGAAAAGCGTACTCCCCCGCACGGGCAGGGCGGACAGGGTGACGCGGGGGAGTACGCAATCTGGCATGCGGCCATTAATTGGGGCCTGAATTGTCCGAAAAGCATTTGGGGTTTAGGGTTTGGGGGGGTTTAGGGTAACTTGCTTCCCTCTCAAGAAGCACGCAATCCCCTCCCCAAGATGTAAAGATAACGCCCCTAAACCCTGACCCTAAGCCCTAAACCCCAGAAATCCCAAAAATCAACACAAAATGTGTTTACAAAATAGACCCCAAAATAGTTTCTACCCCACAAATCCCAAAAACCCTACACAAACACAACCCCAAATCCCAAAAAGACTTCGCACCTTAATCCTAAACCCCCCTTAACCCCAAAACCATAAATCCGAACAAAACATATTTACAAAATAGACTTCAAAATAGTTTCTACCCAAAAAATACCACCAAATCCCTTTTAAAAAGCAATACCAAAGCCCAAAAAAGACCTAAACGACCAAAACTAAACACCCAAAATCCTACCTAACCCCTCCACTCACTCCTTCCCTCCACTTCACTCCATCCCACTCCACTCCACTCCACTCCACTCCACTCCACTCCACTGGTTAGGCTTCAGAACCTTTTCCGGTTCGGTTTTCTACGTTTCGCACCCGGTTCGGTTCGCTCTCGTTTCGGTTCTTTATCGGTTCAGTTCCCGCGGTTCCGGTTCCCGGTTCGCGGTTCGGTTCCGCGGCTTTCCTGCAAACAAACATGCGATCCTTTAAGCCTGGCATCTGCCGTTCTGGACAGGTCGGAGACGGATTGGGAATGTACTTCCACATGTGGCCTGGGGATGAAGCCTCTGTTGGAAAGTTCGATTCGAGCAAATTGCCCGTCTTTACATACGTCGATTGGGTGCGCTTCTCTTCCATGCAGCCATCCGGGTGGAGGCAGGAATGGCACGAGGACTTCCACAACACCCCGGATTACGTCTCCAAGTTCAGGCTTAAGTTTTGGCTTCGAGGCAATTGGGAGGGTCCTTTGTCCAAAAACAGGGAGGAGAATGTCGTCTTCACGAACAGCTATGCCATCCTCGCGGTCACTCCCACTAGCCATATCCCCGACATCGACAGCATTCCGCTTCCGACACCCGAAGCTCCTACACCCAGCACCATTGCGTCGGCCGAGCTCTCGGATGTCAGGCCGAACATCTATGGGAAGTTTGAGGCGAGGATGAAGCACGCAGCTGGGGATGGTATCGAGAGCGCATTCGTCCTGTGGAAGAAGGACTCGGAGAAACCCGAGGTCTTCCACAACGAGCTGGCGTTCAAGAAGCTCACCGCCAACAAGATGCAAGTTGGCATGGTGGAGGGCAAGGATACTCCGAATCGTCACGAGATGGTCGTGGACACGTCGAGCCTCGCCATTTGCAACCAGTTCCATACATACGGGATCGAGTGGACCCCGCATGAGGTGAAGTACACCATCGACGGTGTAGAGGTTCACAAGATCACGGGAAGCCCTGTGGAGCAGTTCAACGCAAACGTCACGAAGTTGAAGCTATCACTCGTTGTTTTTTTTTGGTGCTTTTGGTAACAGGTGTGACGTGTTTCACGTTTCCGATTTTCTTCTCCAAAAACAAACATGCGATCCTTTAAGCCTGGCGTCCGCCCGTTCTGGACAGGTCGGAGCCGGATTGGGAATGTACTTCCACATGTGGCCGGGTGAAGTTAAGGACTTCGATCCGATCAGCTTGCCCGCCTACACACACATCGAGTGGGTGCGCTTCTCTTCCATGCAGCCATCCGGTTGGAGGCAGGAATGGCAAGAGGACTTCCGCAACCCGCCCGAGGTTTGGCTTAAGGCCAATTGGGAGGGACCGCACTCCAAAAACAGGCCGGAGAATGTCCTCTTTGCGAACAACTACGCCACCTTGGCGCTCACTCGCACGCACCATGTCCCCACCGCCGACAGCGTTCCCACGCCTTGAGAAAAGCTGTTTCTTGGATGATGAAAGTGAGAACCTCTTTGCCTTTTTTCGCATGGAGTTCTTCAGCACCCTTAACACCAAACACAAAAGGTCTCAACCTCTATCCCCCCTTGAAAGTTCATCGCTCAGGTGAGGCACTAAGACAATGACAAGGTGTACCCCAAGGTGGGTGCCATCAGGAAGCCTTGTTATGATTTTCCCACTGAGAATCTGAAAGAGATGCTTGAATCATTGAAGGCTCGCATAGCGAACCTGTGGCCAAACGGTCAGGAGCTCGGGCACAGAGAGGAAAAATCGGCAGAGGCTCACGAATCTGCCACTCTGTAACATGTTGCACTCGGTTTAGCATGCCCGCAAATATATCACAGGCTCCTCGAAATTCTACGAACGAAGTTTGGAATCACAAGTGTTCTCTTTCTCTGAGGGGGGAGGGGATTCGGTCGGCAGTCTGGGGGCCCCATTTTTCTTCCGTGGCTGCTTCCAAAAACTATATCGCCCTTGGGAGCTATTTTTTTGTCGTTTTTGTTTATATAAAGCCCAAGAGGATACTCAAAATACTATCTTTATGAGGGTTCTAAGGGGAGTATAGGAAAGCTCAGTTGTGCAGAGCTCTCTCTAAGGGTCTCCTGGAGGTTTCATTCCTTATAAGGGCCCCAAGTATCTTAGAGAACCTGAGTCCGGAGAACCCAAGAAGCTAAGTCAGGCCAGCTCCATCGAAAACCGTTTGGGTTTTCTTCCCAAATGAGGCCCCAAACGGAATTTGTTCGACCTTAACTGCCAACGTTCGACGCAAGAGCTTGCAGAGCATTCTCACAGCAGTCACCTCCAATGCCCGATCCAGTACGAGGGCTTTTCGGAGTTTCTTACAAGGGAATCCTACTATTCTACTACTTGGGGGTCTGCCCCCCCCACATCGGACCATGTCTGCCCCGGCAGCCCTCCAACACATGCTCTTGGCTCTAGAATTTGCGGACACCGCAGCACACCGTACGACTAGGGGGCATATTCTGTTTGGAGCAGCCATGGGAGGTTTCTTTAATAATGAATGGGCCAATCATAGGCGCTTTTCAACAGTCTTCAAGTTCTGTTCGTTTCCCGAGTGCTAGTCATGATGGACGCCAGTGATGAAGATGAGGAGAGGGACTTGGAACCAATCCCTCAGACGCAGATCATTTAAGGCGACCGGAAAGCCTTGGCATCAATGCAGCGACCAAGATGACCGAGGGGGTTCTAAGGAAGTGAGGCCAGATGGAGCCAAAAACAAACCAAGGAAAAGGCGATGAGGGTGATGCTGAGATATCTGCTCCAAGAGATGAGAATCAAGCAGAAAAACTAGGCCCGCCCCCCTTACGGAGCACAATGCTCGGCTGGTTGGAAGAGAAGGCGCACGGCTCGGATCTGAGAGTTGTCTGCTTCAGCCGGAGGTCATGGTCTGGGGAGTCTAGATGCCGGAAAGGAGGCCCGGCAGATGTCTGTCAGCCATTGTTTGATTGAAGCGCATTTGTTGAAAGCTTCGCTACAGAGCGGCACGTGTACAGGGCGCTGCTGCGTTCTCACAAGCCTGAATGCTGAACGGAAAAAAGAAGTGGCAGAAGCCTTTGCACTTTCAAGGCCTTTTTGGGGGGAAGGGCCTTGCAGGGCTTAGGAACCTCGTTGCCTCTGGGCCGATAGGCTGCCAGGCTCTCCGTGAGTTCCCACAGGGCCCTCAGGGCCATCATGATTCTTGCAAGCTCCTGGCACTTCAGTGTTTTTCCCTGTTGGTCAAGCTGTGGATGTGCTGATGGTGGAGGCGTTACACTCCGTGCCCCGATCCCGCGCACCATGGCAACATCCTTTTCTCTTGCGTTGGATGACCAGAGCATCCATGCCGGTCACCACATTTCTCGTGCATTCCCTGGCCAAAGCGTCCATGCCGGCCACCATAATAGCATGCTTTTCTTCCGAGAACAAAAGCAGTGTGCCGGAGAGTTCTGCCTTGGGGTGATGTTGCACTTTCACTGCAGGAGGCCATGGTGGATAGACGTTGTGTGACAGGCATCGATGCGCAGCTCCTATACAAAGCATGTTGGGAGTGGGGGAGTGGGGGAGTGGGGGAGTGGGGGAGTGGAGTGGGGGGGGGGGAGGGGGGGAGTGGGGGAGTGGGGGAGTGGGGGGGGGGGAGTGGGGGAGGGGGGAGTGGGGGAGGGAGGAGTGGGGAGGAGTGGGGGAGGGAGTGGGGGAGGGAGTGGGGGAGTGGGAGGGGAGTGGGGGAGTGGGAGGGGAGTGGGGGAGTGGGAGGGCAGTGGGGGAGTGGGAGGGCAGTGAGGGAGTGGGAGGGGAGTGATGGAAGCAGTAAGGGCTGGGTTGTGCGAAGTGCATGTTCGCCATGTTACATGTTGACCTGACCTGCGGTCTGCGCGCCAGCCGGACCCGCAGAGTCTTGGCCCAGAGGCTCCCGAGGTTTGCGGCAGACGAGCAGCCATGGACATCAGCGTCGGACTTTGCAGGCGCTGTGCTTCAGACCTGGTCGGCGGCGGTTGGAGCTTCTTCGACGATGACCTTGAGGTGAGCTTCAAGAAGCTTCATAGGAATGGAATTTCGGTTGTGCGGATGTCCTTTCAGGTGCCAATGCCGTGCAACATGGACGAGCTTTCCAGTATCACTGAATGACCCGGGCCAGAGCTGTTGTGTGATGATGCAGAGCTGCGTCAAGCGGGGGCAGCCCTTGATGGTTTGCCCATGCGGCGCGTGTTACAGATTCGGGCACCGGGCGACTGCATCGTATCAAGCGTGGCCGACGATGAGACACCTTGCCGCGAAGAAGAACGTCGGATCGGAGCTCAGGTGATGGTTTTCGCCGGGTCTGGCGCTCGCTCTCCTCGAAGTCCCCGCTTCAGACAGCGCGTCATTCACTGGCGCGACTTTCCGGAGCAGAACATGCTGACGATTGCAGAGCTGCCCATGGATGAGCAGACGCGGTCCTCCAAGTCTACGTCCGTCGCCGTTCTTGAGTTGCTTCGGGGAAGCCAACCGGCAGAGACTCAACTCATGCGCGTGACCATGGGCTTGTTCGTGCAACAAGTTGGCTCCTGGGCCGGGGCGTCGCTGCGGTCACTCTGCGACGCCAAGCGCAAACTGTTCCAGAGCACTCTCGGCTCCATAGGAGGAGAAGCCTTGGTTACTTTACAGAAGGCCGATCGAGACCTTTATTGTGTTCTCAGTTTGCGGACATGTCCTGGAGGATGGCCCCTCCTTCCGGGCAACATAGGCGACACCAGGGATGTGAAGCTCCCACCCTGCAAAGCCCCTGAGGCATTCCGGTTCTGGCATCGTTGGACTGGGGAGTTCTCCTTTGCGAGCTATTTGCAAGGCTTCCTGGAGGGCCTCGGCGTAAGTGACACTCAAGTCTTTTCCACGATGAATGGGAAACCGCTGGCCTTCTTTCAGGCTGCAGTCATACGCTCCCATTGGCGCTTGCTGGCGGACTGGTTTGATCATGCCTGGCAATGTCAGACATTGGCCTACCAGCAAGACTCCGACTTTAGTCTTCGCCACACTCCCAAGATCTGTGACCACAAGACGGCACGCTTTGCTGTCGTCGAGGATCCTGAGGCGAGCATCGAAGACGAAAAGTCGCCCGTCAGCGTGCGACGCACGTTCATTCATGTCGACGACGACCCACTTTGTCCAGCACAGCACGCTCGCTCAAAGAGCAAGTAATGTTGAGTCTAGCGACCATACACTAAAACTTCTTACAGTACTCCAGCTCGCTTCGGTAGCTTCGGCAGCTAAGCTGGCGCGTTCCACACGCAAGTTGTACAGAAATCAGCCTGGCGTCAGTCCACAACCATGTCTCTGGCATTTGCTTGCTTGCATCGGCGAGGAGACCAGCAGCAGCTCCAGCATAAGTCGAGATTATGAAAAGGGCAGAGGCCAGCTATTTTCGTTTCAAAAGCGGGATGTGCCTTTCAGGGCAATGTCCGGCTTCATGTTCAGAAAAGTTTTGAGGACTGCCCGTAAGCCTCTCGCCGGTTCAGGTAGTCAGGCGGCGGCAGCAATTCGGAAGCATGAGTTGTTGAGGCATCGTTTTTCTACACATCGCGCCCGCACAGGTGTGGCATGCCAGATTCGGCATCGTGAAAAAGTCGGCGCAGCATCTGACCACACTTGTTTTGAGGCATCCTGCAAAACACTAACTTCACCTGCACATGATATCGCCCAGCGCCGACCGATTTGGTTTCAGCGTCCCTTCGGACTCCAAGAAAAAAATGCCCATCCGAGCCGAAGCCCTGAACTGAAGGTACCTGAATTCAGCCTCTCCGCCTCGAATGCCTCGATGTCGGGCGACCGTGTGCTTCAACCACTTTTGCCTGGGCGAAGGAGTGGCGGATTGGCAGAATGATCAGCTGTTGCACGTTTCGAGACCGTGACCATGGAGTCGACAGAAGGGGGGGGTGCGGGGTTTTGGGGGGCGTGTCTTTGATCTGGGCTACCCCTTTTTGGGAGATCGGTCTCTCCATCAGAGCGGACAGCCTGCGCTGGATTGACCTTGGGCTTTTTGAACCCCACGCTGATTTGGTGGAGTAGTCGAGAGCAATCGAGCCCTTTGGGTGCTTGCGAAGCCGATCTTCGGCATTGGCACCGCTGAGGTTTTGTCTATGTTGCCGACGTGTCTCTAGCTCTTGCCTCGAGGAGCATCACGACGCTGTCTCCGAAAAAACGAAGTGCCGGAGAGTTCTGCCTTGGGGTGATGTTGCACTTTCACTGCAGGAGGCCATGGTGGATAGACGTTGTGTGACAGGCATCGATGCGCAGCTCCTATACAAAGCATGTTGGGACGCAGTAAGGGCTGGGTTGTGCGAAGTGCATGTTCGCCATGTTACATGTTGACCTGACCTGCGGTCTGCGCTGAGTCAGCCGAAGCATTAAGTTGTTGTCTTTGCCTCTGGACCTCCTCTCGGGTTTCCAAAAAGAGGTAAACAATTCCAAAGACTCCAAGCACGGCGATGATCGTCAATGTCAGTGAAGGGTTTGATGATGATGTTGTCTTCCTTGCTGCCCCTGCCCCCCCCCCCCCTCCCCTCCTGGCCGCAGTTCCTGTCTTTTGCCACCTGCGTGCTTTAGGTGGCCTTTTTTTGTGCTCGCGGTCGCTTTGCTTCTGCTGTTCTTGTTTTTAGGTGTAGCTGGGTGGGGGAGGAGGGGCCAGTGAGTGTTCAGCAGACTCACAAGTCAGCAGACGTGTTGGCTCACTCTGACGCTGATCTTGCGTCCGCCAGGGCGCTCCGAAATCCTTACCCGAAAGTGGTTGTGGAAGGGAAGGTCCCTATGAGATCTTCTTAGTCTCAACATCCCAGAAAGCAACCATTCCAGCCTGCGGCCTCCGCCTGCATCTGGCCAGCGTGGCTTCCGCATTCCCTCGCGCTGTCACTCCCCATCAGCACTGCGAACATTGAGGGGGTTCATTCGCCCCTTGTGCCTGCGCCGGAACTGAAGCCATGTTCGCAAAGCCCACGACACACATCGACTTGAACGATGCCCCAAAGCCGAAGAGTAGGAGGAATGCGGAAGGCCGCCGGCGAGCGAAGAATGCAGAAAGCCGTCTCAGAAGAAAGGGGTTAAAATTCAAACAGCCCAAGCCAACCCGAGTCTTGCTCTGATGGCCGCTCTCTCTCTTTCCATGTGGGCCAAACTTGAAACCCAAATGAGGTCCAGGGAGTCCAGACCCTTGTGGGCCAAACTTGAAACTCAAATCCGGCCCAAGAGCCGCGTGGGCCAAACTTGATCTGGCCCAAGAGCCCCTCGTGGGCCAAAACTTGAGAAACTTACGGCCGAAGAGCCCTCCTCTTCGTGGGCCAAACGTGAAACCCACATCCGGCCCAAGAGCCCTTTGTGGGGCAAACTTGAAGCACAAATCCGGCCCGAGAGCCCTCGTCTTCGTGGGCCACACTTGAAACCCAAATCCGGCCCAAAAGCCCCTCACGGGCCAAAATTGAAGCCCATCCGGCCGGAGAGCCCTTTGTGTGCTAAACTTGTAAACCCAAATCCGGCCCAAGAGCCTTCCTACTTGCGGGCCAAACTTGAAACCCACATCCGGCCCAAGAGCCCTTTGTGGGCCAGATTTGAAACCCAAATCCGGCCCAAGAGGGTGCGAGCCTTCCAGCAACGGAACAAGGGACGGGACACTGTGGGGCATGAGCTTTGTCGAAGAGACGGGCATGACTTTGTGGGGTGCGAACTTTAAAGCAGAATTCCCCGAAACAACTGCGGTGGGCGAGTCCTTGGCTGGGGCCGGGACGGTCTGCGGCTGGAGTTGCCCCAAAAATTTCCTTGACTCCCGAAGCCCCGAACACACGTTCGACATCTGACTGCGGCGGGCTTGGTTTTCTTTGGGGTTTCCGGCTCGGCCTTGTTTTGTTGGGGGTGGGTAGGGGGGGAGTGCCGCCACCTAGACTTTGTATGGCATACGCGCACAGTGCAATGCCCACGTTTTGTCAATTTTTTGTGGCAAAGACCATCATGCTATGTAGCTTACTCTAGGTGCTCCAACAACGTGAGAGGATTATCGTTGGCTAGTTTGATGTACTCTGCACGAGCATGTTTAGGGGACGACTGTAGCCGTGCTGCTGGAGCTGACCTCCCCACTGAAACACCTAGACCCGGCAGCCGTCGCCCTCGATGCCTGAATGCTTAATGTTATCATATGTTGTCATACGTGTTGTCCCTTGTTGTAATGATTCTAAGGCTTGTCTTCGTGCACACTCAGATTTGGGACAGTTGCAACAAGCTGCAAGTCGCCAGTTTTGGTGTACGTGGAAACCCCCTGCCGTCGCAAATCTGGCGGTGCCGACCCCGTTACTCCTTGCGTTGCTCGAGTGTTGCTCTGGCTGATCATGTGCTTTCAGGAGACCGTGGCGACCACGACGGCGAGTCACAGTCCTTTGTGCAACTCAGCCGCCTTGAGGGGGAGGTTCTCTCAGAAGTTTGTTGGGTATTTGGGGGGCGGAAAAACGCAAAAAAGGGTCCGGGTCCGCTCTCTTTCCAGAAAAAGGAGGCGACATGTTCGATTCTTCTTGGAGGCTCCCCGAGAACTCCTGGTCAATGGTACTTACTTTAATGGCACAGGAAGCATTCCACGAAGCCCCAAACCGGGTTGAGCTGCTACGTCTTTGTTTTTGTTTATGCCGCAATAGGCGTTAGGTCGTGCTGCATGTTACATTAGGAATCTGGACAAGACAGGAAACGACTGTGGGACAGGCAAGGTCCCCGATGCCACGTCACTGCCAGGGATCTAGCGGGATCCGTTCCCAGCACCTGATGTGTGGCGAGTGTTTTCGATGCGGAGTTCGAATCTTGACTTCTTCGAACCTTCGTCTTGAGTGAACCCTGGCAGCGGCATGCTCCCGAGCATGTTAGCATGTTAAAGCTCTTGACTTAACACCGAGTCCGTAAAGTTCATTCTATCCCTGAGTTCTCGTTGTCTTGACTTCATCCGCGGCTTCCGTGAGTTGGTTTTGAAGTTGTAGACCCGCAGTCCTAGACTCATCGTGCTCTCGCAATGGCCGTTAGCGACGAGCTCTTGCGCCGAGGAGCTAAGGAACTGCTCAGTGACCAATGGCAAGTTCTGAGGAATGATGCTAGCGTAGACATCTCCTTCAAGAGGCTTGATGGGCCTTGCTTGCTACGCCTTCCCTACAATGTCCCGATGCCGGGCAACGTAGACCTCTCCACTCTCGCCGACATGCCTCGCCCAGAGATCTTCTGCAACAGGAAAGAGCTGCGTGCCATGGGTGTGCAATTGGAGGCCTTCGACATCCAGCAGGTGGACAAGGTCTTCTCACCTGGAGATTGCTTTGTATCCAGCCGGCATGACAGCGAGTGCAATGACCTGTTTGCTGAAATGAAGCAAGTTGGTGCCCTTGTGGGTGCCCTCGCAGCCCCAGAGCCAGATTCGGCACCCAAGCCCGAGCTCACGGAACGCCTCCTCACCTGGCGCAACTTCCCCGTGGAGTCGGCCCTCACGATCATCGCGGTTCCTTTCGATGAAGAGGCCCAGATGTTCCGGTATCAGTACAGACAGCACTTCACTTGCATATGTGTCCTGATACCTTCGAGAGCCTTAGAAGCCGCGGACGCCCAACAAGAAGATGGCAAGAACGAGCTCCAGGTGCTGATTGGCTTGTTCACGGAAGACGTGGCTTCTTGGGCTACTGATGCCATCCAGGTCCTGCACGGCGCTATGTCGCAGTTGGTTCAGCGTGAGATGTACCTCTTGGTCGCTACGTGCTTGACGACGCCGTCACTGAAGGAGGCCGATCGGAAGTTTTACCGCTTGCTTTCTCTGCGCACGTGCCAAGGCGGGTGGCCGCTTTTGCCAGGCGAAGTAATCATGGGGGAGAATGTGGAGCTCCAGGATTCCGAAGTGCTGGAGCCTTTGTTCAAAACCTGGGCTCGTCCACTTCAGTCAACGAACTTTTCCTTTGCGGACTACCTGCACAGCTTCATGAAGAGAATTGGTGCAGAGATCAGGGTCTTCGATAGCATGGATGGTCGGCCCTTGGTCTTCTACCAAGCTGTGGTGCGGACTTCGCAGTGGGAGCTTGTGGCTCCTCGCTTTCAAGAAGCTTGGGACTACCAGAGATTGGCCTACAGCCGGATCGTTGCAACGAAGCGGCATGCGCCGAGCATCTCAGACCACCGCAATGCACGCTTCGTGGAAGTGGACGTTGGGCCCATCATCCATGAGGAGTCGCCCGTTCAGGTGCGGAACACGTTCTTGCACTTTGCAGAGCCTCAAGACTTCACTCCGAAGCGACGGCTGAGTCATTGATGTGAGAGTCCAACGCTGCCCGAAGCTGCCCGAGCATGGGCACGGGCCCAGGGCCCGTCTTGGGCAGAGTCGGGGAGTTTCTTTTGGGCCCCATCTCCTTCCATATTTCCTGTTCTTAACGAGCGCTGTAGCCTGTAGCCTGTGCAAAGCACGGCGCTGCAGTGTGGAAATTCACGCTTCTGGCGTGCGAAACGCCAGCTGCAAAGGCGTTTTGTGCCGGCAGCAATGACATCCTTAATGCTTTCGTGTGTTGTCAAGTTGTGCCTGAAGCTTCCGGCTGATTCTGCAAAACCGTAGCCAAGCAACCAACCCATCAAAGCGGCCCAGGGTTTTGTCCTACACGTGGTTTTACCCTGGGCCGGTCTGGTGGTGAGAATGAGTCCCTAGGCCGTGTATTTCGCTAAAGATCAGCAAGTTCAGCTCCAAGGCATGGACATTGAGCCTGCATGAATCAGCCCAGAGCAGCATGACAGACCACGGTAAACACAGGCTCGCCTTGGGCCTTGTGGACATTGTTTTCGGGTCCGTCCTACAATTCTAGGCTTTTTGCAGGTGCGAGCACGGTGCACCTGTTGTGGTCGTCGCCGTGTCTTCCTCTTTCCTGATTTCTCTGCCTTCCCGCCGGTTCAGGTGGAGGGCATTGAAAATCGGGCTCAGGCGACATCTTCCACACAAGCATGGCCGCAGAGGATGAAAAGGATGAGCTATGATGAGCTATGAGCTCAGGGGGTGCCAGGGATCTAGCGGGATCCGTTCCCAGCACCTGATGTGTGGCGAGTGTTTTCGATGCGGAGTTCGAATCTTGACTTCTTCGAACCTTCGTCTTGAGTGAACCCTGGCAGCGGCATGCTCCCGAGCATGTTAGCATGTTAAAGCTCTTGACTTAACACCGAGTCCGTAAAGTTCATTCTATCCCTGAGTTCTCGTTGTCTTAACTTCATCCGCGGCTTCCGTGATTTGGTTTTGAAGTTGTAGACCCGCAGTCCTAGACTCATCGTGCTCTCGCAATGGCCGTTAGCGACGAGCTCTTGCGCCGAGGAGCTAAGGAACTGCTCAGTGACCAATGGCAAGTTCTGAGGAATGATGCTAGCGTAGACATCTCCTTCAAGAGGCTTAATGGGCCTTGCTTGCTACGCCTTCCCTACAAGGTCCCGATGCCGGGCAACGTAGACCTCTCCACTCTCGCCGACATGCCTCGCCCAGAGATCTTCTGCAACAGGAAAGAGCTGCGTGCCATGGGTGTGCAATTGGAGGCCTTCGACATCCAGCAGGTGGACAAGGTCTTCTCACCTGGAGATTGCTTTGTATCCAGCCGGCATGACAGCGAGTGCAATGACCTGTTTGCTGAAATGAAGCAAGTTGGTGCCCTTGTGGGTGCCCTCGCAGCCCCAGAGCCAGATTCGGCACCCAAGCCCGAGCTCACGGAACGCCTCCTCACCTGGCGCAACTTCCCCGTGGAGTCGGCCCTCACGATCATCGCGGTTCCTTTCGATGAAGAGGCCCAGATGTTCCGGTATCAGTACAGACAGCACTTCACTTGCATATGTGTCCTGATACCTTCGAGAGCCTTAGAAGCCGCGGACGCCCAACAAGAAGATGGCAAGAACGAGCTCCAGGTGCTGATTGGCTTGTTCACGGAAGACGTGGCTTCTTGGGCTACTGATGCCATCCAGGTCCTGCACGGCGCTATGTCGCAGTTGGTTCAGCGTGAGATGTACCTCTTGGTCGCTACGTGCTTGACGACGCCCGTCACTGAAGGAGGCCGATCGGAAGTTTTACCGCTTGCTTTCTCTGCGCACGTGCCAAGGCGGGTGGCCGCTTTTGCCAGGCGAAGTAATCATGGGGGAGAATGTGGAGCTCCAGGATTCCGAAGTGCTGGAGCCTTTGTTCAAAACCTGGGCTCGTCCACTTCAGTCAACGAACTTTTCCTTTGCGGACTACCTGCACAGCTTCATGAAGAGAATTGGTGCAGAGATCAGGGTCTTCGATAGCATGGATGGTCGGCCCTTGGTCTTCTACCAAGCTGTGGTGCGGACTTCGCAGTGGGAGCTTGTGGCTCCTCGCTTTCAAGAAGCTTGGGACTACCAGAGACTGGCCTACAGCCGGATCGTTGCAACGAAGCGGCATGCGCCGAGCATCTCAGACCACCGCAATGCACGCTTCGTGGAAGTGGACGTTGGGCCCATCATCCATGAGGAGTCGCCCGTTCAGGTGCGGAACACGTTCTTGCACTTTGCAGAGCCTCAAGACTTCACTCCGAAGCGACGGCTGAGTCATTGATGTGAGAGTCCAACGCTGCCCGAAGCTGCCCGGGCCCAGGGCCCGGGCCCAGGGCCCGTCTTGGGCAGAGTCGGGGAGTTTCTGACGACCCTAAACCTTATCTAGACCCTAACCCTTTGTTTCGGGCTTGGTTAGCCTCGTCAGCAAGATATCTCTTCCACAGCGAAAGTGTTGGGTATAGGGCTTGTGCGACAATTGCACATCTGTGCTTGCAATAGCTGCTTGCCTAAGAGACCCGTATCTCCTCGGCCCACGCAATGTCGTTGTCTCCCAATCGCCAGAAGGATATCACATTTGCGTCAACTGGGGCAGAAACACTCGCCCGATAGCAATCCACTCCTCCAATACCAACTACCCTGAACTGCAGTCTTAGTCTCGGCAATGCAAGCAGCCCGAAAGTACCAGTTACAAGTTTCTTGACATCAATGCAACCCAGGTCATGGTAGGATTCGTTTCGGGAGCTTGGGCAACCCTAGATTCCGAACTCTTAAACCCAACGCCCCTGAACCCATAATTCTCCTGGCGATGGTGGTGACACTAGGGCTGTGCAGCATCAGCTGAAGAATGTACAGCAGGTCCAAGCATCTGGCGGCGCTTTTGCTGCCATTCTTGGCGATGGATCCGTTGTGTTCTGGGGCCATGATGGCTTTGGTGGCGACAGTAGCGCTGTACAGCATCAGCTGAAGAATGTGCAAAAGATCCAAGCCGCTCGCAGCGCTTTTGTTGCCATTCTTGACGACGGATCCGTTGTCACGTCGGGTGCTGCTGACTATGGTGGTAACAGTAGTGCCGTGCAGAGTCTTCTGACGAATGTGCAACAGATGCAAGCCTCTGGCGGCGCTTTTGCTGCCATTCTTGGTGATGGATCGGTTGAGACTTGGGGTCATGCTGACTTTGGTGGCGACAGCAGTGCTGCGCAGGGTCAGCTGCAGATTGTGCAGAACATTCAAGCCTCTGCACAGGCCGCAGTTCTTGACAACGGATCCGTGGTGACGTGGGGTGCTGCTGACTATGGTGACGACACTAGTACCGTGCAGAGTCAACTGACGAATGTGCAACAGATGCAAGCCTCTGGGGGGCCATGCTGACTGTGGTGGCGACAGCAGTGCTGCACAGGACCAGCTGACGACCATTTAATAGATCTGAGTCCGCTTGTTGGAAGCACTCGCCGCAGCACAGCAATGGATTTGCAGATGCGCGTGCCAAGACGTGCCACCGAAGCGCTGACAGGCGCTGGTATCATGTGCAGAGTCTTAAAGCCAACCCTTGACTCCTAAAAACTCCTAACCCGGCACCTCAAATCCCAAAGCCCTTAAACCCTAAACCACTCTGAATTTTGAATGCCCGACCATCCCTGAAAGCCTCTAAGCGCTAAACCTTTGGCACTCAAGCCTAAGCCCCACACTCTCAACGCTGAGTTCTACTCCAGCCTTACCAAACGGCAAGCAGATGACTGACTCGACGCCTTGTAGATGTTGGTGTTAGTTGTCAAGGGTTAGGGATTCCCGAAGGATGTTCACATAAATTGGGTTGGGGTGTAGGAGTGTAGGCGTGAGGCGTGTCAGGGGTCTCGATGTGCATCCTCGGGTTTGGGGTTTAGGGTTTAGGGTTTAGGGCTAGAGCTCAACCAAGGCTCCTCAACGCCGCACTGTACACATGTACCTGCTCCAGTCAGCAGACCCCGAACCCTAAACCCTACGATTGCCGCCGACTCCCTATAACGTAATCTAAGTCTGAGCGGCCAAGGAGCATGTGGGAGTTTCAAGGGCTCAGGGGAGATTCAATTTTTTGAGTCCACGTACTCACATAGCCGCCATACCTTCCGCCACTGAACTTACTTGGTCTTAACACTGTGCTAGGATTACGAGCAGCCAAAAGGCTCCTATTTCGACATCTTTGGACCCCAGTATCCGGGTGGTTTAGAGGGAGGAAGCGCGCTCGGCCAACCACTCGGAACCCTCACCTAAACCCCCGAGCCTTAAGCCAACAGCGGCTCCAAAAGCCTCAAAAAGCAAAGCTCGTGCAGGGTTTGGGGTTTAGGGAAACCATGGGAAACCCTTAATCCTAAACACCGACATCGACAGCCTAATTGCTTGGATAGGCCACGCCTCAGGTGTGCCCTAAAGGCCTGAAGACCAAGAGCTTCTAAAGTCCAAACCTGAATTCCTTGGTTGCCCAGTGGTACCCTTTACCTTTTTTTTTGTTATGGGTTCCCTTATAAAAGAACGAACCCAAAAAAGGGTGCCCTTATTATAATATGCTGGGTCACAGACCCCTACCCAAATCGGCCAAGACTCCATTGCTAAGACTTTTCTTGTGGTTTGTGTACTGAAAACATGTTGCGTCTCGTGGAGTATGGTAGGCTCGATCCGCCGAATCCCACCAAGTCCTTGGACCCTTCAGGTCGCCCCAAAACCCAAACTCCCCCAACTGCCAAACTGCCAAACCTGAGATCATGAATCTTGATCCCTCTAGGCGCAAAAAACTTACCTTAATACATTAATGCCTTATAATCCCTAAACCCCTAAACCCTTAATGACCTTAATGCCCAGTCTTTCTAGCCTCCAGAGAACCGAAGGCTGCTGCCGGCTGCTTCGCCTCACGAAGCCAACTTCGGCGTGCGGAGCCTCGGCGCTTTGTCCGTGTTCCCGGAGACTCATCGAGGGTTTACAGGGCATAATTTAGGGCCTTAGGGTTTATAGGGAATATAGGGTTTACAGGGTATATTTAGGGTTTTGTATGGTATACAGGGTATGTAGGGTTTAGAGGGTTTACAGGGTTTGTAGGGGCCTATCGGGTCTTTCGGGTGTTTAGGGTTTATAGGGTTCAGAGAGTTTATAGGGTTTTGAGGCGATACGGACACCTGGTGCATCGAAATTCAAAGAAGAGTGATTTCGTACACCCAGTTGTTGATAGGTTTGCTCTGGGTCTTATCAGGAACCCTAAGGAACAATATTGGCAGCTATTCGGGTTTCGACGGTTGGGGCTTTGTGTTCCAGGGTTCAGAAGTTCCGGGATTTAGTCCCTAAACCCTAAACCCGAGGGTATAGAAAATGCAGGGTTGGGGGTTTAGAAGTTCGGGGATCTAGGCGCTTCGGAGTGGGCCCGGAATTTGAAAGGAGAGCTCACGAGTTCTGAATTTCTTGGCTTTGGGTTTAGGTTAGTGTTAGGGTTTAGGATTCAGCGAAGTGCTAGAGTTTAAGGCTTAGGGTTCAGGATCCTGTGATGTTTAGATTTGTAGGTGTCACACAACATGTTTCACAATGAGTGAGCATACACATGCGACATTGGCTCAAGCCGTCAAAAGTGATTGCACCTGCAGTGTTGGTTCTGCCTTAAACTCCGTTCATGGTAGCGGAGCTGTCGGTTTGAATGGACAGCAGACGCGACCTTGCTGACGAAAGTGCTGAAAGTGACAACGAAGGTTTTGCTGTGGTGCAAGCTCCCGCTGTGCACCGCTGGGAACGCTTGATCCGTTTACTCTATCGGATTAGGCGACTGCAAAGGATTTGGGGCCTCCTGGGCCAGCATCTCCAGACTTTCGTCCAAAGCAGCGAGTTCCGCCGTCGGCTGGCTAATCGTTTGCGATGAGCAGCCAGGAACAGCAACAGGCACAAGTGACTGCAGCGCAAGTGATGCAGGAGCTTGTGAATCTGAGAAACGAACTCACAAGGCAACGCGAAGAGAATGATCGGCTAAGGGCCGAGCAAAGCACAGCACTTGAGCGAGTGCGGCAAGAGAGTGCAGCTCAAGTTGCGGAAGTGCGAGCACAAGCGCATACGGCAGTGCAGCAGGCGACGGCTCAGATGGGCACGATGCCACAGTTGGTGAGCGACATGGTCAAGTCGAACAAGGAACTGGTTGAGGCCATGGCAAAGAAAGGAGGACCAAACGAGAAGCTCTGTTTGGTCGACACAAAGGGCCTGGGAAAGCCGACGACCTTCTCAGGTGAGAGTGAACAGTTCCTACCATGGAGGCATCGAATGTCGAGCTACGTTTGTTCGATCCACCATGATCTGCAAGAAGTTCTAGAGTGGCTCGAAGAGAGGGAGAAGCCATTCTCCTCGGAGGAGTTGGACACAGCCTTTGGAGAAAAGGCGTTGGAGGCGGATCGAGTTCCCAGACTGCAAGAAAAGTCGAGGGAGCTCGCGAACGCGCTCCAAATGGTTACCTCGAAGGAACCATTTACGATCGTGTGCAATTGCCAGAACAACGGGTTCGAGGCATGGAGACGCCTTACGAGGCGATACGATCCTGCGACTGCAAGCAGGAAGCGCACGATGTTGAGAGCGATTATATCGCCCCAGAAGCAGAAGCTGGAGAATCTCCCTCAGGCCATCGAAGAATGGGCCGACGCTGTGCGCACTTACGAGAAGCGCAAGGACAGCACAGGGCGACGAACGACCCTGGCTGATGAGATAAAGATGGCAGCACTGGAGGCAATGTTGCCACAGGAGCTGGAGTCTCACATCCAGTTGAACCAGAGCCGGTTCTCCACGTACGACGACGTGCTCGACGAGGTGACTCGCTTCATCGAGTACAAGACAGGAAAGAGTCTGAAGGTGATTTCTGCAGCCGCAGCCAGTGCGGCGAGCAAGGATGATCCTATGGACCTGTCGTATGTGGAGAAAGGCAAAGGAAAAGGAGCAAGCAAGGTCGTGTGCCACAACTGCGGCAGGAGCGGACACTATGCCCGCGACTGCTGGAGCAATGGAGGCAAAGGTTCGCAGCAGCAACGGGGCTCACCCAAAGGTCCAGGGCAACAAGGAGGAAAACCAAGCAGCAAAGGAGGAAGAGGGAGCCCCAAAGGAGGAAAGGACAAAGGAAAAGGTAAGAAAGGAAAAGGCAAAAAGGGAAAAGGCAAGAAAGGTGGTAAGAACAAGAAACACGTAGGAAACATAGAAGAAGGAGGAGAGAACACAGGAGAAGGAAACCAGGACGAGAACTGGCAGGAAGGAGAAGAGGATGAAGGCTGGGAAGACGGAGACTGGGGAGAAACCTGGGAGGACGGTTGGGAGGAAGCAGAAACAAACAACCTCTACGTGGGAGCGTTAGAAAGAGAGAGCCCGAAGAGAGAGAAAGAGAAGAAGGAGAAAGAGTCGAAGCCAGACCCCGGCAGTCGTGGCTCAAGTAGGGAAGAGGGCTCCGGCCCGACCGTGCTTGGGGCCATGGCGCCAAAGAACCCGAAAAGGAAGGTTCCTCCAAAGGAGGAAAAAGACGAGGATGAAAAGGAGCTGGAAGCTCTGGAAGAGCAAATGGACAGAGCAAGGGGTCAGTTCCAAGACCTGAAGGAAAAGGTGGAACTTGCGAGGAGACGTCGCCAGGAAAGACTTCTTCAGGAAGCGGAAGAGCTGGCAGAAGCCAGGAGACGTTCCCGCGGCGAGGTGCCAGGGCAGTCCAGCTTCGGAGCGTTTTCGTCTTCGTCGCGAGGACCTCCGGAGAGAGTGCGCGAGCCAAAGGCCGGAAAGAAAGAGGAGAAGAAGGAGGTGAGGTCTAAGGCTTTGGACACGGCACCCTGGAAGCGCGTTTCGCGCTACCGGGAGCCACCAGTGCCTGAGCCCAGGACCCCTCCAAAGGCGAAGCAAGAAAGGCCGAGAACACCGCCGAAGTCACCACCGCCTTCCAGGACCAAAAGTCCGCTTCTCAAGCCGAAGGTAGAGCCAAAGAGAACAGAGCCAAAGTCACCACCTTCGAAGCCAAAGGTAGAGCCGAAGAGAACAGAACCAAAGTCACCACCTTCGAAGCCTCCACCTAGAAGTGAAGAAGTGCAGCCAAGAAGCGAAGAGGTGGAGAGACAACTTGCTACCACAGCGCCGAAGTGGGGAGCCTCAAGGAGCCAAAGACCTGTGGCGAAGGCAAAGCCAAAGCTTCTAAGGAGTCCGGCGTCTTGGGCAGGAATGCGCTTCAGGGAACGTGTGGCCCACCAAGATGCCATACGAGACAAGAAGCCCAGAGGCACCGTCGGGGAGTCCTTACTGAAGAAGCAAGGCGAGGCCTGCTCCACCTGCGTGTCGAGGCGACTGAAGTTCAGGAGCAAAGCGTCCCTTCTGCTGAAGAAGAGGATGAAAGAGTACAAGGCAGCAGCTGCAAAAGCAGCGGGCTCCCACTACGCCAGGAAAGTTTTCGAAAGAGAAAAGCTTGTGAGGGCCGACAGGCCCAGCAAGGCTGAACTGAGGAGCGCAAAGGTAGCCGAGAAGGTGAAGCAAAGGGAGGAAGAAGCCGCTGGTGAAGAAGAAGAAGAAGACAAGTTTTCCTTGGAGCCGGAGAGCTCCGAGGACGAAAGCGACTTCGAGGATGACCCTCCAAGCGAGGGGCCCGAGGAGCCCAAGAAGGAAGAAAAGAAGAAGCCACCAAAGCAGGAAGAAGGAACCGAAGGAGCAACCGCGATCACGGCAAGCACCTCGAGCAGCATGCAGAGGATGCTAGCGTCGGGTCTTATGGAGACCAACCGTGCGAACCTCGCGGTCTTGGACCAGAGGATCGCGACAAAGAAAGAGAAGCTCGAGGGACGCGGCAGTGACCCAGAGCTGGAAGCCGAGATCGCGAGCCTGGAAGACGAGCGGAAGCGCCTGAAAGAGGAGCGCGAGCGCCTTAGGGCGCAGCAAGCGGGCGTGAAGAACAAGGAGCCCGAACACCGCAGAGGCCGGTCGGTGCACGACGTGCGCTACAAACGCCAAGTGGAAAAGGGAGACAGCCACTGGAAGGCTTGGCGTGCGGAAAAGGGACGAAGGAGAGCGCAAGAGCACAGACGCAGCGGTGTGGGCGAAAGAGCAAAGGAGAGGATCGAGGCCGACAAGAAGTGGCACGCCCGACACGACGTGAAAGTGAAAAAGGGCGACTTCCGCGACAACCAGAAGGAAGAGGTCGACGGCATCGACACGGAGGTTATCCACAGCGATGGGACGGAGGCCAAGCCCGAGCGGCGAAAGGACTACCGCCCCCTCACGAAAGCCGAAAGGACGAGCCACCGCGTGGATGCCGACGACGAGGAGGAGCTCTACCGGAAGGAGCTCGAAAAGCAGGAAAGGCCGAAGGCGACCGGGCGCTACTCGGCGGACCCGTCGATTGCGGCCGAGCAGAAGAAGAAGAGGAACCAAAAGAGAAACCAAAGGCGCAACAAGCTGAAGAGGAAGCTTGGGTCGACCTGGGATCCAGAGCACAAAGGAAGGAAGAAGGTCAAGAAAAGCGAAGACGACGACGAAGAGACTGTGCACTGTGAAGACTACGACGACCGCCGCGACCCAAGAGGAGAAGACCCGGAGGACCCGGGCGAAGGAGGCGTGCGCCAATCGGTGCACAGCTTCGAGACCGTGGATGCTGCCAGCCTGGGCGCTTCGCCAGGCGTGGCTAGCGTCGAGGTCAACTTTGACACGGGAGCGGCCGTGACCGTTCTGCCTGAGAAGTACGTGACGCAGCCAAAGGACAACGGCGTCCGCTACAAGACGGCGTCAGGTGAGGCGCTGAAAGACCAAGGAAAAGCCGAGGTCACCGGCACTTTGTCGGGAGGCCGTGGGGCCACGATCACCGGCCGAGGCGCCGGGGTCCACCGCATACTCCTGTCAGGAGCACAGGCGTGCAAGACGCATTTTGCGTTTCTGCACGGAACAGGAGGCTTGCTGGTCCCAAAAGGAACTGCTTTCGCTAAGGAGGCCGACGAGGCGTTGCGCCAGTTGGCTTGGAAGCACAAGGGTGTCGGAACCAAGATGCAAGTGAAGAACGGCATCTACGTGTTTCCTCTGCAAGACGAGAAGAAAGGAGTGAAGGGCGGAAGCAAGGGCCAAGACGGCCTGGGTTTCACGGGGCGTCCGTAGACGGTGTAAGGCCCAACGGGCTTAGCGTTTCACCCCTAGACGAAGAGGCTGAGATGGTTGAGGAAGCGGCCAAAAGGAAAGCCGCCGGGAAGGCAACGCTCAAGGTGTTAGCCAAGGAAGACAAGAAGAGAGAGAGAGAGAGAGAGAGAGAGAGAGAGAGAGAGAGAGAGAGAGAGAGCGAGAGAAGAAAGAGAGGAAAACGACACAACAAGGAGCAAGCGCAAGCATACAAGTGCCAGCAGCAGCGCCAGCAGCACAACAGCAACAACAGCAGCAGCAGCCAAGCGAGGAAAAAGGAGGCACTGAAGACGACCGCTTTGCCGAGGAGCCGGAGGCTCCAGGCGAAGAACAACAGAGGGCGATAGTGCCGAAGAGCCCAGACCAGCCAACAGCTGACCAGATCGCACAGCACGAAGCCTCGGGGCACGCGGTGCACCGTTCCTGGTGCGTCCACTGCCAGAGAGCGCGAAAGATGGTGAATCCACATTACCGGATTCGGAGAGCCGAACTTGAGACATCTTTGCCGACGCTACACATGGACTACTTCTTCCTGGGCAAAGAAAAGCAGGAAGACGACGTGATGCCGCACCTGGTGGTTCGGTGCGACAAAACGCAGCGCACTTGGGCAACTTCGTTGCCCGAGAAAGGCACGCATGCGTACAACGTCACGTGGTTGGCCAGCGTGATACGCGAGGCCGGATGGAAGAGGATGTGTTTATTCTCAGATAATGAACACGCCCTCCGTGCACTCAAACTCAAGGCCTCCGAAGAAGTCCAAAATGTAGTGTTCGACTTGAGAGAGAGTCCTACAAGTACGGAACACGAGAATGCGCCATCGAACGGCATACCCGAGGCCGCAGTGAGAGAGGTGAAGCGAATGGTCCGAGCTATCCTGTCGGAGCTGGAGACAAAGCTTAAGATCGAGGTGGGCGTGGACCACCCGATTCTCGCCTGGATCGCGAGGCACGCAGCGTTCTTGATGACACGTTTTCGCATTGGCGAAGACGGGAAGTCAGCTTACGAAAGGACGCTGGGCCGACCGTGGAGGCGACCTACCATTGTCTTTGGCGAACAGGTGATGTTCAAGCCAGTTGGTTCGAAACACAAGCGAGGAAGCCTAGATGCAAGAGTTTGCATGGGACGTTACGTCGGAACTGCGTCGAGGAACGCAGACTTGCTGATCATGACGTCCGAGGGTATATCCCGGGGCCACTCCTTGCACAGGAGGCCCGAGGATGAGAAATGGCCTGTTGAAGGTTTCGAAGTGCTACGCGGATTGCCTTGGAGGATGTCCGGTCCACAAGAGCGAGCGTCGCCCAACCGAGTCGGTATGCCCGCTCTCGAAGGCGAACAACCCGCGCCACAACACCGAGACTTCAAGGCACGCAACCTGTACGTCATGAAGTCCGACATTGAGCTGTACGGCTACACGCCTCAGTGTCCGGGATGCGATGCGCAGCTGATGGGTCTCCCGCAGCGAGCGCACAATGACGAGTGCAGGATGAGAGTGCAGAGAAGACTGCAAGAAACCGACGAGGGAAAAGAAAGAGTGAAAAGGGCCCAAGAGCGAGTTGAAAAGGACTACGGAAAGCGGGTCAAAAGAGACCAACCCGCGCTGGAAGGAAGACCTGCCCCCGACGCAATGGATGTTGCAGCAGAGGAAGCGGCAGGCGCACCTTTGTCCAGACCAATGGAGGTCGAGGACCGCGCCGAGCCGAAACAGCGGAAGCGCGCAGCGTCCAAGGACGTCGAGGACCTTTACCGGGAAGAGCCCAGCACGAGGGCTACCGATGGTCCAGATGTCGAGGTCATTGGAGTACACGTGCAAGGGGGAGCAAGTGGCTCTGCAGGACCCGGCCTGGACCACTCACACCAACAAGCACGAGCAGATGCAGAAATGTACGACACAGCAACGGCGAATCCGCCGCCAGCCAACGAGGAAGTGCGAATGAACCTGATTACGCGGATGTTCGAACAAAAGGGGCTCAAGTGCAGCCCGACCGAAGCGAAGGCCATAAACTCTATGGTTCTACAGTTGGGAGGTAATGGCAATTCAGCTGTGCCCTGGAGCATGGTGAATGAAGGCATTATCTTGCCAATGGACCAAGAGCCGCCGATGTTCGCTCAGGCCGAGCATTTGCGTTTCTTCGAAAAGCTGGAACAAGTGAAGCCAAAGCTTCTGGTGGGCAAGCTGCCCACTGGACCCTTCCAGTCAGTACAACGTGCTTTCGACATGACCAACAAGATTGGAGTCGAGACCAGACGCGGAAATTTGAGGAAGGCCCGATCTCAACTGGGGCTTTGCTTTGAGGCCTTCGAGGCACAGAAGGAAGCCGGAAACTACTTCCTCTATGAGTGCCCAAGGGGAACTAAGTCCTGGGAGCATGAACTTGCTCAAAGGATGGGTTCGTACTTGGTTGAAGGCCCAATGTGCAAGTGGAAAGTTGACGAAAGTGGAAAAATGATTGCAGGCCAATCCGGCAAGAAGCGAACCCGCTGGATTACTAATTCGGCGACGGTTGCAACAGCGCTGGAAAAGCTATGCAAGGGCAATGCGAAGGTATGGAACCGAACGCTAAGCTTCAAGGAGGGGATCGTGACGGCCAAGGCCGAGTATCCTCCGAAGCTTGAAAGAGCACTACTGGCAGGAGTGCGAGCACAACTGGTTCTGGATGGAGAAATGAAGGAGGTGGGCCATGTGGGTGGACCTGACCCACACGAGGAGCCACCGCTCGAAGAGTATCTCCATGATACCTTACCCAAGGCTGGGCAGCTTCACGTAAGCGAGCCCGTCATAGACGCAAACACAGGGGCACAACTTGATGCCAAAAAGGTTGCGGAAGCAAGAGCGTCAGAACTTGCCTGGGTGAAAAAGCAAGGTGTGTACGAGAAAGTCGAAGAGAGCGTGTGTTGGGACGAAACAGGTCGTCCGCCCATAACCTTGAAGTGGGTAGACCGCAACAAAGGGGATGATGTTCGGGAAAACTACCGCAGTCGTTTGGTAGTCCGCGAGGTCAAGTCACAGGGACAAGCGGCGTTGATACCAGACTACGCACTGTTTTCCTCAATGCCACCTCTGGAAGGATTGAAGATCCTATGCAGTCTGCTGACGACACTCAAGAGGTCAAAGAGCGGAAAGAAGCTCACGCTGAAGCTGACAGACATATCACGTGCACACTTCTATGGAAAAGCAGAACGACGTGTGTTTGTCACACTTCCCGAGGGAGATGAAGCTCCCGGCTTTTGTGGTCTGTTGAAACGGACCATGTATGGCACCCGTGATGCCTCAGCTGTATGGCAGAGATCGTACACAAGCCTGTTACGCAAGCACGGGTTTGTCGTGGGAAAAGCATATCCGTGTACCTTTTATCATGCCGAAGCCGACGTGAGATTATTGGTGCATGGGGACGATTTCCTTGTCTTGGCAGACGAAGATGGACATCGCTTTGTAGACAAAGTACTGTCTGAAGAGTACGAGTTCAAGTGTGATGGCCACATAGGACCTGAGTGTGAAAAGGACAGCATGACTGTCCTGAACCGGGTCGTGAGCTATGACAGCCAGACAGGAACTGTTACGTACGAAGCAGATCCAAGGCACGCGGAAGCCCTAGTGCGCGACCTTGGACTGGAGTCTGCGAAGGCGGCCAAAACGCCAGCAGAAAAGAAAAAGGGAAGTGACCTGAAAGCGATGCTTGAAGCACAGCCGTTGAATGCCGAACTTCAGAAAGCATATCGGTCTCATACGATGAGGGCAGCGTTCCTTGCGCAGGACCGTCCAGACATTGCCGAGGCTACGAAGAGCTTAGCGCGGCACATGAAAGAACCCACAGAGTGGGCATGGGCCGATCTGAAGAGGCTTGTCCGCTACTTACGCGGAAATCCACGGCTGATCTACGAGTACCACCCGCAACGGTTCAGCAAAGAGATTGTGATGTACTGCGACTCAGACCACGCTGGTTGCCTCATCACGCGGAGGTCAACCACGGGACTGGTGACAATGCTTGGATCGCACTGCGTGAAACACTCAAGCAACGTGCAAAGCACGATCTCCCTCTCGAGTGGAGAGAGCGAGTTTTACGCTATAGTTCGAGCAGGGTCAATAGGTCTGTCGCTACAGGCGATGCTAGAAGACTGGGGATTAAAGGTCAGTCTGCGGATTCGATCTGATTCCTCGGCGGCCCGAGGCACTACCCAGCGCCAGGGCCTGGGTCAAGCACGCCACGTGCAAACAAGATACTTGTGGGTGCAAGAGAAAGTCGCCACGCGAGCTCTGGAGCTAGAGCGTGTAGGCACGGAGAAGAACTACTCCGACATCTGCACCAAACCAATGCCCGAAGTGGCAATGCTCAAACACCTCAAGAACATGGGATTGCGTTTTCATGTTGGACGAGCCGGAGCAGCCAAACGGCTCGTGTGAAGCCAATGGGTCAAATGACCACCTGGCTTAGGAGGGGTGTTTAGATTTGTAGGTGTCACACAACATGTTTCACAATGAGTGAGCATACACATGCGACATTGGCTCAAGCCGTCAAAAGTGATTGCACCTGCAGTGTTAGTTCTGCCTTAAACTCCGTTCATGTGAGTAAGCCCGGGTTTTGAAGACCGTGCGTTCATAAACTGTCAACTCTTCAATTGCTTTTCGTTGGCAGGCTCAAGGACTGAAAGCCTGCTTCTTAAAGCCGGATCAGCACAGTCTGCCCAATGTTGGCCCTTGCAGTCCGGTTGGCGACGTTTGCACAACTTGCGCATGCTGTCGCGGGCAGTGTATGGAGGAATGATTTCTGTCCCGAGTTCGAAAAAGTCCAAGCGGGAACATTGCAAATTGAGAAAGCCCTTGTCGGAAAGCATCTTACGTTCGTTGTGCCCACCTTCGACATGACTGATCCGACTTCAAGCCACTGGAATGATGGACAGCCGGTTGGACCTCCAGAAAATGACATGGATATCACCCACAAGGTACACGGATACCACGCATCGATTCTGAAAGCAGTTTCCAAGGTCGCGAACTTCACATACACCATTCGCCTCAACACGGTTCCGGGTGCTTCAACCACCACATGGCTGTTGCAACAGTCTCCGAACTATGATGCCGTCCTCGGCTCCTGGTCGGACAGCCTTGTGCGCCGTGAAGCTGGCTTCCTGCAGCCGTACCCGCTCGTCACAAAGGATTTGAAGATGATCGTGCAGAGGAAGATTGACAGCCCGTCGGTATGGTCAGTCATGTTCACCTTCCTGAAGCCCTTCTCAACAAGCCTCTGGCTGCTGCTCTTCGTATGCTCCCTAGTGACAGCCGCGTTTTCTGGTGGCAGATCGCACTACATTTTGTTTTTTGTGCAAGGTATGCGCCCCGGCTTCTTCAACTCCAAATCCTAAACCCGTTTCGTAATTTCCAAAACCATCTCGTCAGGCACAAGAACAGTCAAGTAAACCTTGAGTTATATAACCCTAAACCCCTAAAGCCCCCCGGACCCTAAAACTCCAAACCGACCAAGGCGTTGCATACCCTGAATGCCCTAGAACTCCCGAACCCTAAACCCTAAACCCTGTTGAACCCTTGGGAGGTTCATGTGGTTTTTTGAGACGTCCCGGGTCTCCATCGAGGAGGGTGGTGAAGTGGAGGTGTCGGATGGTTCGGAGGGTGCACTGAAGTCGGTGTGGCTCCTCGGTTCCCACCTGGCACCCCCTTCTTTAGGGTTTAGGGTTAAAAGGGTTTAGGGCTTAGGGTTTAAGGCAAACTGTCTTCAAGGGTTCGAGGGCTATAGGGCGTTAAGATGTCGGGCTGCATCTCGTGCACTTGTACACCTTCTTTCCCCTCGCGTTCCTTACCTCAGCTGGGTAGCGGCAAAAGGGCACCCTATGATAATAAGAGGATAGTGAGAGGGGCCCAGGCCCTCTTCCTGTTTTTGAGTCTTTTTAGGGTCTGAAGGGTTTTGGTAGGGGTTTACTGGTGGTTCATTGAGGAGTTCCTTGGCTCTTCGCAGGACAGTGTCTTCACGGGTTGTCCCCCAAATTTAGGCGATCCACACAAAACGACCAAAAATCCTCTAAGCCAATCCTAAGCCCTAAGCTCTCCTTTTTTTTGAATCCTACCCCTAGCCGAGGCTCTCTGGCCTCCAGTTCACGGGGGGTGGGGGCTACACCCCTGTGACGGCGTGGGGTCGGCTGCTCCTGCTGTCTTGGAGCTTCCTCATCATGGTGGTCGCTGGCTCTTCATTAGGGTTTAGGATTCATAGGTTGGAATGCTCCCGCCTTATACTAACAGTCCTTAAAAAGGATTATAGTGCCCTCTATATTGATCCCTACGAAGGACTGTTAGTCTAAGGGGGCACATCCCAATTTATGGGGATTAGGGTGGTTGCTGGGTGTTAGGTTTTAGGGTTTGCGGCTCCTTGAGAAGCAGTGTTCTTAAACCTTTGCAGTAGTTTGCAGACAAGCCCTAGCAGTACTCAACGCAGTCTGTTCATCTCGGCGCAAAGGGGGTCTGAGGTTGGGGCCGCTTATACGGCCAATTTGGCCACCTTCCTCATCGTGCACCAGACCGCGTCGACAAGCCTCTCGTCGTTCGAGGAGGCCAAGCAGCAGAACGCCAAGGTTTGCGCACGAATGGAGTGGTCCATAGGCGAGTTCCTGAGGGACACTTCATAGCTGAACTGTCAAAAGTTTACACTTTTGTGAGATTATTATCGCTCCCCTTTGAAGCAGAGTCCTCAAACATCGAAAATCTTTTTTTTTTAAAGCGGCTGTTGAGAGCTCGGCAACTCAGGAGATCGCGGAAGGAAAAGTCCGCTTCGTGGATGTGAGCCCCAAACATGCCGACGGAATCCGCGAGTTCCTGGACGACGGGAAGCTCGGCGAGGACCGTAGGCCCTTTCCTCCTCCTTTTTGCGAGGGCCTAAGGCCTAGGATCCCTTGCTAAGCCCAACTTAAACCAAAAGGAAGGGCACCCTCTTTACTTCGAGGTGACCTTCTTGGGTCTAGCAGGTAGAGGCTTTTGGGACATGTTACATATGTCCCCAATGAGCCCAATTATAAGGTTCAGATCTCAAAGGGCCCACCGAGGAAGTGCGAAGCCTATGTCAGCTACCAAGACATTGGGAAGTTGCCAGGTGGCACCTTAAGGCAAGACTTTTCATCTTTCTTGTGGTCCTACAGGGACTACTACTACGACTACGACTACGACGACTACTACTACTATTTGGTTCCGAAATGCCCTAAGGCCGAAACCCCAAACCTTAAGCCCTGCAAGCCTAAACCCCCCCCCCCCTCCACAGGCTGTACTTGAACGAAAAAGCCTTCAACGATGCCTGCAAGTACGACTTCGTCGGTCCGAGCATCAAACCGCTGACGCTCCTTTTAAGGTTTAGGGCAGTTTAGGGCTTAGGGTTTAGGGTTAATAGGGTTTATGGGGTTTAGGGTACCCTAAGGCTCGAAGAGGACTCAGAGTTGAAGGCTGCGAGGCTTTGGGGCTATTTTGAGCCTTTTAGGGGGTCACGGTTTGGGCATAATCTATCCCCCAAACAATGTGGTAAGTCTGTGGTGCTCTTCCGTTCAATACAGCGAAATGATTACGGCGGCGCCGTGGCGTTTGCACCCACTAGTACAGGATGCGTTGCAAATTTGGTCCCCCGCAATCCTATCATCTACATCAGGACGGCTTGTTTACAGCGAAGCCGTGCGGCCGTGCACTTCAGGGGCGTCATTGCAAATTTGTGAGTCCCGCCAGTATTTGGGGGAAAACAGTTTCGCACTGGGTCCTGGTTCCGCAAAAGTATTTGGGGGAAGGCATTTTAGCAGTGTCCTGGTTGTCTCCTGGCGGTGTCCTGGCGTCTCCTAGTGGTCGTCTGGTTGTCGTGGTGCTCTTTCACTGTATGGGGATCTATGCTGCTGCTGGCGTATGTTGTTTTGGTTCTTGGTTTAGGCATTCGCGTATTGTGGCTCTTTGTTTGGTGCGGCTTTTCCGTTTCTGGTTTCATGAACTCAGGACGGGAGGATGGCCCATCTCCATCATTCAGCACGGTTGCACCTATCCCTGCATGTTATGCATGTTAGGGTTTCCACTTGCCACATCATCCCCGAAACCCTCAACATGCGAACATCAGCTGTTAAGGAAGAGGATGCCAAAGCCATAGTTCACAATCTATAGCCCCAAAGACGAGGACAGTTTACATTCTCCCTTATTGGGTCAGGATCAGGTGTTTCAAAAAGGCCTTACAACAACCAACCTAACAGAGGTCCCCAGCTTCTGCTGACTTCCTTGTCCGTTGCATTGAAGTACCTGGACAAGGAGGGTACGGTGAAGCGCATTTGGAGCGACTTCGCGTCAAGCAGGGCAGACATGGACCAGTCATGCAGTGTTCCAGAGGCTTCTTGGCTCTTCCCTATAGGTTTCGGGTTGCTGGGGTTTAGAGGTTAGGTCAGGGGGCGAGCTGCGTTGTCTTTGGCTGTTCTCTGGGTGGCGTTTGGGACCTTGTCCGTTAGGGGGCATCTCTATTTGGCAGCAAAAGCTCGAAACCCCGAACCACGATGATCCTCAACTCTGGCCAAGCCGTGATGGCTTGTGCGTCTATAGTCAGGATGTCGCATTTACAGTAAAATAATGACACCCTCAACCCAAAGAAGTGAGCCCAGGTTTCAGACAGTGCTTCGATGGGTGTTTACGACATGGCCGGCGTTCTCTCGCTGCACGCTTTGTGTCTGATCCTGGCCCTAGCATTTTGGGCCTTTTGCAAGACACAGCCACTTCGCGAAAGTATGGATGAGCCTAGGCCGTCGAGCTTGCTTTTGAGGTTTTTGCATTTTCTGAAAGAGAAGCCTTTTAGTATAGTAACGATACAGAAGGAACAACAATCACGAATTCAAGGGTCTCCAAGACTTCAAATACCGCCCAGGAGCGGACGACATTCAAAGCATGCTGGTACGAAGGTGGTGACGAAGAGTCAGTGTCACAGAGTGCCGATGAGACGAAGGTGCCTCGACTGCTGTGCAATATCGAGTCTGAGTACCATGCTAAATTTTCTATTTATCTCTAGTACTATTGAAATTCTTTCTTAGGGTTCCTGAAAATGATTGTAGTAGTCGTACAATGAATCTAGCAGCTTGTTCTATTTACGAAGGCCAACGAGTATGCGACAAATGTTTCACTGCCCTCGCAGGAACCGCCACGAGTAGCATCAGATGCATCAAAGCCATCGTCCTTCACACCAACATCGTTCCTATCAGTTATCAACACCACAGCACTTGAATTCGTGAACCTGGTGCTTTACTTGCTTGTAGCTTCCCCCCCAAACAAAGCCCAAGTACGCTTTAAACCCTAAACCCAAACCCAAACCGTTCAGTGCCAGGTCACACAGAATGAGGTCGACAAAGCCTGTGACGAAGCCATGCAAGCTCTGCAGCGCTGGAGACAGGTCAGACAATCCTATCAGGATGCCTGACATAGAAGCCTGAATAACATTCTTCCTTCAAGATTTCTTAATTATAGTTATACTAGTTAACTCGCCAAAGCCCTGATTCATTCAGCGCCGATATTGATTGCAATGATTGTTTTTGTCACGTTGTTTGTCGTGTGCGGCATGTACAACATGTTCTGAAAAGGAACATGGAGCCTTGAATACAAAAATGGAAGTCCAGTAGGCATTCTGGCATGCAGTGCCTGCCACCCGCCCGTGGAACTCGCGCTCCCCAGGAAAGGCTGCCCTGCCATTGCGCTGCTGCATTACAATTGGCTTCCGCGATCATGATGTTTCCTTTTCCTGTCACTAGCACCTCCTGTGCAAGCTTCCCCCCTTCGAGGTTTGGGAGGTCCAAAAGAATTACAAGGCACCTTTCATATAGACTTTAGACCCAGGAAAAGTTGCATGCTGAATATGAGGCTGTTAAATAGGCTTTGGCACATTTGGCGCAAGGTCTGCAACTTAGGTTCCTTGCAATCGTTTCAGGTGCCTGCTCTTGGTGCTTCTCTCCGTAGCCGGGTGCCTGCAGGGCTTTCAGAAATCAGCTAAAAGAATTTCTTGGTGCTTGAAGAGTCTAGAGAGAAGTCTTCTGAACAAGGTCCCCCGCACTACCTCATCAGAAGGAATACATCAGAACACCCACGGTTCAGGATACTTCGGTTTGCACAAGGAGCTCTCGTCCAGAGAGAGGAGGCACATGTCATGTATGATACGGATGTCTGAATAGTCAGCAACCAATAGCATGCCCTGAAATTCTCGATCTAGTTGTGCTATAGTAGACACCCAACCATCACCCAACCCCTATTTAGAAGCAATTGGTTTTTGGGTTCTGGTTCCCCATTTCCAAGACATTCTTAGAAGATCCTTTGCTTTGCCCACCTCTGATCTCTGATCCATGACTGGCCTAACGTTCAGACGTTGGATTGTCACGTCGAAAACTTCTCCAAGGTTCTACGGACAGAATGACTCGTGACGTGCAAGCTATGCCAAGTCTGTTACGTGCTCCTCAGAATCGGCCAATGCATCTCAGCCTCGGGGCTGATCACCCGCCTCCCACCCTCAAAGCGTTTTTTTTTTTCAAATCGACAACGCCTTCTGAAGATTCGCACCGATCGTTTTGGGGGGGTTCGGGGGAAGGGGGGTTCGGGGGTTCCTACTACACCAGGTGTTCTGTTGGCCTGCTGTACTGAAGTTACCTGGTCTTCACACTGCTAGGATCACGAGAAGCCAAAAAAGGTTCCTATTTGACATCCTTGGACCCCCACACAGTATCCGGGTGGTTTATAGGGAGTAAGCACACTCAGCCAACAACTCGGAACCCTCAGCTGAACCCCCCGTCAAAAACCAAGCTCGTAGGGTTTAGGGTTTAGGGAAACCCCTTAATCCTAAACGCCGAATCGAAAGCCTTATTGCTTGGGTGGGCCATGAAGACCAAGAGCTTCCAACGTCTGAACCTGGCTTCAATCACAGACCCCTACCCAAATCTGCCAAGACTTCTTAGACTTTTGGTGCTCCATTGCTAAAACCTTTTCTTGTGGTATGTGTCCTGAAAACATATTGCTTTTGGTGGAATATGGTGGGCTCGATCTGCCGAATCCCACCAATTCCTTGGACCCTTCAGGTCAGCAGTCAAATTTACCCAGGCTCAACGCCCCGAAACCCAACTGGAGATCCTAAGCCTTGATCTCTAGGCACTAAACCTTAATACCTAGACTTTCTAGCGTCTAGAGAACCGAAGGCTGTTGCCCGCTACTTCAGATACTCACAAGCCAAGCCTCCGCGCGTTTTCGTGTTTCCCAAGGCCTCATAGGGTTTTGGCGGTGAAACGGACATCTGGTGCATCGAAATGCAAAGAAGAGTGATTTCGTACACTCAGTTTGTTGTAGTACAGGTCTGGGTCTAATCAGGAACCCTAAGCAAGAATATTGGCCACTCAGGCTTCTAGATTCGGGTTTCGACGGTCGGGGCTTTTGTGTTCCAGGGTTCAGAGGTTCGGGGATTTAGGGTCTTCGGAGTGGGCCCGGAATCTGAAAGGAGAGCTCACGAGTTTCTCAGGTCTCTTAGCTTTGGGTTTAGGGTAGTGTCAGGGATTAGGATCCAGGGAAGTGTTGGAGTTCAAGGTTTAGGGTTCAGGATGCTGTGGAGCAAGCCCGGGTGTTGAAGGACTGTTTTCAAAAGTTTTCATAAACTGTCAACTCTTCAATTGCTTTTCGTTGGCAGGCTCAAGGACTGAAAGCCTGCTTCTTAAAGCCGGATCAGCACAGTCTGCCCAATGTTGGCCCTTGCAGTCCGGTTGGCGATGTTTGCACAACTTGCGCATGCTGTCGCGGGCAGTGTATGGAGGAATGATTTCTGTCCCGAGTTCGAAAAAGTCCAAGCGGGAACATTGCAAATTGAGAAAGCCCTCGTCGGAAAGCATCTTACGTTCGTTGTGCCCACCTTCGACATGACTGACCCGACTTCAAGCCACTGGAATGATGGACAGCCGGTTGGACCTCCAGAAAATGACATGGATATCACCCACAAGGTACACGGATACCACGCATCGGTTCTGAAAGCAGTTTCCAAGGTCGCGAACTTCACATACACCATTCGCCTCAACACGGTTCCGGGTGCTTCAACCACCACATGGCTGTTGCAACAGTCTCCGAACTATGATGCCGTCCTCGGCTCCTGGTCGGACAGCCTTGTGCGCCGTGAAGCTGGCTTCCTGCAGCCGTACCCGCTCGTCACAAAGGATTTGAAGATGATCGTGCAGAGGAAGATTGACAGCCCATCGGTATGGTCAGTCATGTTCACCTTCCTGAAGCCCTTCTCAACAAGCCTCTGGCTGCTGCTCTTCGTATGCTCCCTAGTGACAGCCGCGTTTTCTGGTGGCAGATCGCACTACATTTTGTTTTTTGTGCAAGGTATGCGCCCCGGCTTCTTCAACTCCAAATCCTAAACCCGTTTCGTAATTTCCAAAACCATCTCGTCAGGCACAAGAACAGTCAAGTAAACCTTGAGTTATATAACCCTAAACCCCTAAAGCCCCCCGGACCCTAAAACTCCAAACCGACCAAGGCGTTGCATACCCTGAATGCCCTAGAACCCATGGAAAGCCCCTAAACCCCTACTCCCGAACCCTAAACCCTAAACCCTAAACCCTGTTGAACCCCTGGAGGTTCATGTGGTTTTTTGAGACGTCCCGGGTCTCCATCGAGGAGGGTGGTGAAGTGGAGGTGTCGGATGGTTCGGAGGGTGCACTGAAGTCGGTGTGGCTCCTCGGTTCCCACCTGGCACCCCCTTCTTTAGGGCTTAGGGTTTAAGGCTTAGGGTTTTGTAAAGCTGTCTTCAAGGGTTCGAGGGCTATAGGGCGTTAAGATGTCGGGCTGCATCTCGTGCCCTTATACACCTTCTTTCCCCTCGCGTTCCTTACCTCAGCTGGGTAGCGGCAAAAGGGCACCCTATGATAATAAGAGGATAGTGAGAGGGGCCCAGGCCCTCTTCCTGTTTTCGAGTCGTTTTAGGGTCTGAAGGGTTTTGGTAGGGGTTTACTGGTGGTTCATTGAGGAGTTCCTTGGCTCTTCGCAGGACAGTGTCTTCACGGGTTGTCCCCCAAATTTAGGCGATCCACACAAAACGAAGCCAATCCTAAGCCCTAAGCTCTCCTTTATTTTAGAATCCTAAACTCCTAAACCTTCAATCCTAAACTCCTAAACCCCTAGCCGAGGCTCTCTGGCCTCCAGTTCACGGGGGGTGGGGGCTACACCCCTGTGACGGCGTGGGGTCGGCTGCTCCTGCTGTCTTGGAGCTTCCTCATCATGGTGGTCGCTGGGTCTTCATTAGGGTTTAGGATTCATAGGTTGGAATGCTCCCGCCTCAATTATACTAACAGTCCTTAAAAAGGATTATAGTACCCTCTATATTGATTTTTATGAAGGACTGTTAGTATAAGGGGGCACATTTTAATTTATGGGGATTAGGGTGGTTGCTGGGTGTTAGGTTTTTGGGTTTACGGCTCCTTGAGAAGCAGTGTTCTTAAACCTTTGCAGTAGTTTGCAGTACAAGCCCCAGCAGTACTCAACGCAGTCTGTTCATCTCGGCGCAAAGGGGGTCTGAGGTTGGGGCCGCTTATACGGCCAATTTGGCCACCTTCCTCATCGTGCACCAGACCGCGTCGACAAGCCTCTCGTCGTTCGAGGAGGCCAAGCAGCAGAACGCCAAGGTTTGCGCACGAATGGAGTGGTCCATAGGCGAGTTCCTGAGGGACACTTCATAGCTGAACTGTCAAAAGTTTACACTTTTGTGAGATAGTATCGCTCCCCTTTGAAGCAGAGTCCTCAAACATCGGAAATCGTTTTTTTTGAAGCGGCTGTTGAGAGCTCGGCAACTCAGGAGATCGCGGAAGGAAAAGTCCGCTTCGTGGATGTGAGCCCCAAACATGCCGACGGAATCCGCGAGTTCCTGGACGACGGGAAGCTCGGCGAGGACCGTAGGCCCTTTCCTCCTCCTTTTTGCGAGGGCCTAAGGCCTAGGATCCCTTGCTAAGCCCAACTTAAACCAAAAGGAAGGGCACCCTCTTTACTTCGAGGTGACCTTCTTGGGTCTAGCAGGTAGAGGCTTTTGGGACATGTTACATATGTCCCCAATGAGCCCAATTATAAGGTTCAGATCTCAAAGGGCCCACCGAGGAAGTGCGAAGCCTATGTCAGCTACCAAGACATTGGGAAGTTGCCAGGTGGCACCTTAAGGCAAGACTTTTCATCTTTCTTGTGGTCCTACAGGGACTACTACTACGACTACGACTACGACGACTACTACTACTATTTGGTTCCGAAATGCCCTAAGGCCGAAACCCCAAACCTTAAGCCCTGCAAGCCTAAACCCCCCCCCCCCCTCCACAGGCTGTACTTGAACGAAAAAGCCTTCAACGATGCCTGCAAGTACGACTTCGTCGGTCCGAGCATCAAACCGCTGACGCTCCTTTTAAGGTTTAGGGT